CAGAGCAGATTGTTGCAGACAATCAACAATACTTGAAGCTGTTGTTAGCTTCTCCAACCTTGATGAGCACAGATATTACAAGTGGGTCCCGACGTCTCGCCTACATTCACAAAACGTTTCTCCACTTCTCGCCACAGTCTCATGAGGCCAAAATTGAGGGCTCACTTTCTTCGACAGCGCAAACACCGCAACAGCTCAACACCTTAGTGGGGAGTTTGTCAAGATGGCGAAGGATAAAAAGGGGAAAAGCGAGTCCAAAAAGGCCAAGCTGGCCGAAAAAAAGCAGAAGCAAGAGAAGAAGGCCGAAAAGAAAGCCAAGGTAAAATCCGCAAAGATCGAGGGCAGCGACGCCGAGGATGTCGATCTCGACGCAGTCCTCGAGGAGTACAAGAAGCAGCAGGAGCAGTTTCTCAAGGTCACGGAAAATGTTGTCGACGAACCTCCGCGCGCCCGCGCCGCCTCTACTTTGATGGCCAGCCCCTCCAACAGCAACCAGCTCCTCCTCTTCGGCGGCGAGTACTTCAACGGCGCCCTGGCTACCTTCTTCAACGACCTGATGGTCTACTACATTGACCGTGACGAATGGCGCTGCGTCACTTCGCCCAATGCTCCGCTCCCGCGGTCCGGCCACGCCTGGACCCGCGGTGGAAACGACAGCACCGGCGTCTACCTCTTCGGCGGCGAGTTCTCGTCCCCCAAGCAGGGGACGTTCTACCACTACAACGACTTTTGGCGCCTCGACCCGTCCACCCGTGAGTGGGCGCGCATCGAAACCAAGGGAAAGACGCCGCCGGCTCGGTCGGGTCACAGAATGACTTACTACAAGAACTACATTATTTTGTTTGGTGGCTTCCAGGACACGGCACACCAGACAAAGTACCTCCAGGATCTGTGGCTGTACGACACGCAAAACTTTGTCTGGCACTCCATCACCCCGCCGCCGGCGCAGCTGAAGCCCGACGCCCGGTCGAGCTTCACGTTCCTGCCGCATGACCAGGGCGCCGTGCTTTACGGTGGGTACTCGCGTGTGAAGGCGACGGTGGCGGCTGGTAAGCAGACGAAGCAAGGAGGAGGTGGTGCTGGCGGCTCCAAGAACATTTTGAAGCCCATGATCCACCAGGACTGCTTTTTCTTGAGAATCACGCAGCCGCCCGCTGATGCGCCGCCCAACACGGCCCCCACGGTCAGGTGGGAAAAGCGCAAGAAGCCGGCCAACACGCCGAACCCCACGCGGGCGGGCGCCACCATGGCGTACCACAAGGGCCGCGGTATCATGTTTGGTGGCGTGCATGATGTGGAGGAGAGCGAGGAGGGCATGGAGAGCGAGTTTTTCAACCAGCTGTTTGCGTGGAACATTGAGCGCAACCGATTCTTCCCTATGGCATTGAAGAAGGCTAGGGCGCCGGGGAAAAAGAATGGTGCTGGAAATGGTGAGGGGAGAGAGAGGGTGGGAAGGAGGGACAGAGCGAGGCAGAACGAGGAGGAGTTGCTTAGACAGCTTGCGGCGCTGCAGGCGGGCGCGAAGGGCTTGGATGGTGCGGATGAGATGGAAATCGATGCCCTCTTGAAGAAGCAGAGGGGCGAAGAAGAGGAGGAGGAGAAGGATGAGAAGAGGAAGGTCAGGGATATGCCGGTGTCGATGGAGATGCCACATCCGAGATTCAATGCGCAGCTGGCGGTGCAGGATGATGTGCTGTATATTTACGGCGGCACGTTTGAAAAGGGCGATCGCGAGTTCACGCTGGATGATATGTATGCGATCGATCTGGGCAAGATGGATGGCTGCAAGGAGATCTTCAAGAGGGAGGGCGATGATTGGATTGTGAGTCGATCTTCACTTGGCTTCACCGAGGCTGGTTTACTGACAAAGCGGTGTAGGAATCCGAGGACGAAGATGACGATGAGGAAGACGACGAGGATGAGGACTCGGATGAAGAGGCGGATGATGAGGAGGATGCTATGGAGGTCGATGACAAGAAGGCCAAGTACACTCCCAGCGACAGGAAGAAGAAGAAGGCCAAGGCAGGCGAAGAGACCCCCGTCGCTGAGACTGCCCCTATCGCTGCGGCTCCTGAAGAAGAGGAGGAGAGCGAGGAGACTAGGGTTGATGACGGCCTGCCACATCCTAGAGTACGTTACACATTCTTGTCCCTTGCCTTTTTTTTTTTTTTTTTTTTTTGCGAATTACCGCTAACACAAATACCACAGCCTTTCGAATCCCGCCGCGATTTCTTCCAGCGTACCTCGGCCGAGTGGCAGGAGATTCTCATGACGAACCTCCGCTGGAAGGGTATCCAGCCCGAGTCGCTTGCCGTTAAAGAGATTAAGACCAAGGCGTTCGAGCTCAGTGAGGAGAAGTGGTGGGATTGCAGAGAGGAGATCACGGCGCTCGAGGACGAGCAGGAAGCTGCGGGCATTGGTGAGGTTGTTTCGCTTGCGGACAAGGCGGGCGCTGGTGGCGGTGGTGGTAGCGGTGGTGCTGGGCGTAGGAGGTAAAATTACCTACCTAACGTTGAAGAAGACGGAAAAGGGGGGTTGGGTTTGCAGTGGAGAGATATGCGATATACCCTGCCTTTACGATTGCTGTTTATCTACCATGTAGTAACAGTTTAGACACAAAGGAAAGCAAGACAAAATCAAAACTGGCTAGGTTTGGGCGACGGATCTCATACTTATCCCATCATGTAGTTTTGGTCACTGCGGTGTTTATTATGGGATAAAGGGAGCCACGAAAAGGGTAACATGTGGGCGCTGTAAGTCGCTGTTGAGCGAGCATGTGACTGGGCGTTTGCCCTTACCCTCAGCGCGACCCCTGCTGTTCTCGTCGACCAGACGCGGTGGCGTACGACGGACGGAAGGGGAAGCTCCCTTCACAAGGTTTTCAACTGCAATCTTCCGCACCAGGCGCGCATGGTCGATTAAAACCTTTCGTGACTGTCAAGCTGTTAAACTGTCACTGAGACTGAGTCTTCATCAGGACAATACATTCTACCACCACGAACTTGATCTCTCCACGCGCAAGTTATTGAGAACCTTGACGACTGCACAACCACCCCAGCGAACCCATCACAAAACCAAACAGCCCTTGAGCTCCCCGCGACAACTCCCACCATGCCCCTCGGCATTCAGCGCATCAACGCCAAAAAGTCGCATCCCAATGACCGAATAATATTCATCAAGCCCCTCAAAGGGCCGGACGAAGCCATAGCGCAAGACTTCCTAGAGAGGATAGCAGCGCAATGCCGTGCGTCTCCCCTTGCCTTCGCTTTTCCCGAAGCTTCTGATTTCTCTTGCCAATGGCCCTCTAACGCATTCCCCCCTCGTCAGTCCCCATAATGAAAGCCAACCATCTCTCCATCACCTCCCTAGAAGAGTATGAACCCAACCGCGAGTTCGTCGGCCGCAACTTCAACGCCGGCGAAGTTATTCAGCTCGTCCTCAAGTCCCTTTCGGGCCACTGGCTGCCCTTCAACTACGTGCAAATGGTCATGATGCACGAGCTCGCTCACTGTAAGCAGATGAATCATTCGCGCGCCTTCTGGGCCGTGCGCAACAACTACGCCGACGAGATGCGCCTGCTTTGGGGTAGGGGTTACACGGGCGAAGGATTGTGGGGCAGGGGAGCGCTGCTTTCCACGGGCGAGTGGGAGAGGAATACGGTGCAACCCGGTGAAGGGCTGCCGGAGCACCTGTGTGGTGGAACGTATAGGAGTCGGGGGAGGAAGAGGAAGGCGAAGGCTTCTAAACCAAAGTTGAGTTACAAGGAGCAGAAGGAACGGAGGATACTGAAGAAGTTTGGCGCAAATGGGGTTAAATTGGGGGAGGATGAGAAGGTCAAGAAGGAGTTGGAGGGCGGGAAGAAAGTGGTGGCAAAACCGAGGGTGGCGGGCAGTGCGAGGGGCAGGGAGTTGAGGGCTGCGGCAGCATTGGCGAGGTTTGAGGGGCTCAAGAAGGAGAAGGAGGAAGAGGAGAAGGTGAAGCAGGAGGAGATTGATGAGGATGAGACGGGCAGTGGAACGGAGAGTGAGGAGTATGAAGATGAAGATGATCAGGCTGGTGTGGCTGCTGTGGATATCAACGGGAAGAAGTTACTAGATGGCAAGGGTAGGGGAATGATCAAGGTCTGTGAGGATGAGAATCCCGGGGATCAGGATGCGCAGCGGGAGTTGAGGGAGTTGATGGGTTTCAATGACGGCGCAAGGAATTTAACACCTAGGCTATCTGTTGTTAAGGTCGAGCCATCATCGACGGATACCGAGATACCGGAGAATGTTGTCCGAGCTCCGGTTTCATCCCACAAGAACAGAAGAGAGGATTTGGGGGAAGATACAAGACAGAAGGTCTCACAGATCCGATCCACCGTTCAAAGTTTGAACAACAACCACCATGCCTCCACGACAACAGAGAAACCTCGAGGGGTAAAACCCGACCCAAGTCGCCCACCGCAAAAGAAGGAAAACATAGCCCCTTCATCAATCCCAAAGTCTACCTCCGAAGCCGAACCAAAACCTCCATCTTCAAGAACCTGTCCGATATGCTCATTCGCCAACGAGCCCATTTGCATTACCTGCACAATATGCGCCAACGTCCTTGACCCAAAGAACGTGGTTGGATTCTGGGCATGTACCAGTCAGACATGTCAGGGGAGCCAGTATCGAAATGCTGGGGACTGTGGTGTTTGTGGTGTGTGTGGCGAGCGGAAGCGAGGAGGAACAGGATGAAGGACCATTTCCAGGTTGAAGTGAATTTGATGGCCACTAGATCACAACTCTGCCTGCTGACGTTCATCACTTACTAGATTTTTCACTGCTAAAACGGGCACCATCTTTGATCCCAGCTTATGTGGTAAAACTTTGTATTTCGCAAGGTGTGTATCAACTTCTCTTCCAAATCAACAGAACCCAAGTCATGTACATAATGCCTTTAATCAGCAAGCCAATCCAGCCCCTAACCTTGTCTGCCAATAATAACATAAGAAACAGTTCTTTGCAAGTCGAAGCTTAACTAGTAGCAGAAGCAGTAGCAGCAACACTCGTCAGCGCCTCATGATACCTTCCGTGGATTCTACTCCCCCTTCCCGCCTTACTCTTTTCTTTTGTTTCCTTCTCTCCCCTCTTTATATTCTCATCAATTATCCCCGTTTGTTCCATGGCCGTAGTCATCATCTCCCTTTTTCCCACCCCAAGACGTTTCTCAATCCTACCAACCCGCCTGTTCATAAAACTCCCAGAAGGCGCCTCATTCCCAATCTCACTCCCCCCACTTTCATTCTCCCCCTCCCATCCATGAGATCTTCTTCTTTCCCATGGAGCTTCTCGTGGCCGTGGAGCAGCACCACCCATGTTCATGGCAGCAAGATACGACCCTGCTCCTGGCCCTGGCGCAGGAGGGCCAAGTCGCTGTATGCTCGTGCTGTTGATGGTGAGAGTTGGTTCGATGGTGATGGTTTTGAGGAGATTAACACCACTACTGCCGCCCAGCCCAGTGCTGCTGAAAAGGTCAAAGTTGAGGTTGAGGTCATCATCGGCTGTTTCACTGAGTGTGCGGATCGGGACGTTGTTGTTGGGATCAAAGTCAAAGTCAGAGTCGACGACGCCCCGACCGCCGCTGGAGGAGTGGCGGTACGAGTGGGCAAAGAGGTGTTTTAAAGGTCGTGGGTAGCGGCCTGGTCTTCTGGTGCTCCTGGGTTGTGGTTTTGGTGGTCCTGCACTGACACTCTCTCTTTTGGGCTGGCTCAGCTTCCAGGGGGTGGCAGCATCCCATAATGCATTCCCGCTCTTTTGTAGATGACTTGGCAGAGGGATAGGAAGGGACAGGAGAAGGGGAGAGGGAAAGTCCTTGTTACTGTTAGGGTTACTATGTCGTGTAGCCATGCGGCCGTTGTCGATCCTTTCGTAGTGGATTTGTGGGAGGGTCAGGGGTATGACGGGTTTGGGGAAGAGTTTGTCGTGGGACAGAGGGGCGGCGAGGCGAAGGGGAACTTGGAGGGAGAAGAGGAACGTGAAGACGAGAGCTGTGGGGATATTGGGTGGGAGTTTCATGTTGGCTGGTCCTCGTTGTTGAAGACAGACACTGTCATGAGTCTGGCTGATGACACAGTATGATGCTGGAAGAGGTGGAATGAAGGAGAGATGATGGGACATGATGGTTGATATACCGTATATTTGTGTAGATGGTTCAAGTTTCAAGCTCTTTGATTAGATCGGTGCAGTCGGATGAGAAAAACACTGATATTGACATTGACAACCTGGACGGGAAGGAAATCATCTTGAACCAAATAGGGATACTGTTCGACTGTCGTGCCGCTACGTTGCAGGAGTGTTAAATTCGAGTTACACAAAGTCTTTCCAAACGATTCGAATCGACATTTCGTTTCCTTTTGTCGCGTATGATGTTCAATGCACATATGCGGCTCAGTACTTAGTTTAGAGTTTAGAGTCTCGATTGAGTTGATGTCTTGAACTGACGTCTCCCAACCTATCAAAGTACATTCATCATCTCACACTCCTTTCAACAGCTACACTTAACCCGGAAATACATACAACCTCTGGTTTGCCCCCAACCCTATACACTGTCTAAGCATAGGGAATCTCCATCACGGCTGTGATATGTCTAACTTGGTTCTGTAACAATGAAAGACCGGGATACGGATGATAACTGTGGGTATTAAGAATCATCTTTATAGTCACAATCCAAAGCAGAGCTGGCAATCTGCCCGAAGGCCACTGACTTGGATTCATGGATATATCTAACCATATTCTAATCATACCATCGCTCTCTACAGTAACTCCAGTTTCCCAGCTGCTAACATGAAGATGGGTCGGATAAGATATGGTAGAACATGTAACCAGGGAGATATGCTATGCGATTGCCAAGCCAGCTGCATGCTCTCTCCCGAAATAAGCTTGAAAGGTTTGACAGGTATACACCGCGTGTTCTACCAACCCGCCAAAGCCAACACACCCATCAGGGGTTCGTTGAACCGGTGCAGGCCACCAAGAAAGCCTGCCTGGCCGTCCTCATCCATTCACACATGCATTTTCTGAACCCTCTGGACTGCGGCCTGGTACTGTCACTTAACTCTCCTTCAGTTACTGGCAAGGCGGTACTCGTCGAAGTATTTTTCTGTCTAATGTAACTAGTTGTGATTGGTGATGCCGGGAAGATGTGATCACAAGCTTCCACATTGCGGTTTCTTGACGTGAGTGGCTCCGTCGATCGTGATCTGGGTTGAACAAGCCGTTCGCGGATACGAGATAGGGTTTTCTTGGGTAGACGCGGGTGACGGTCGCTGACGGAAAATGAACTCCGTAATCCGCAAGGTGATGGTAGACGAACAGTCTTGACCGACCGGGAATCTGCCACATGATTCCTTGCGGCTTGTTGCGCATGCAATCTTGACGACGTTGTTACAGGAGTTGAAGCTGCAGATGCGAGGATAAAGGCTTTCTCTTCTGTACACGTCCCACAGCCTACTCCGTGTCTGTCAGAAACACTGACGGTATTCAAGACAGTTGACCCGCATCCCTTCTGGAAAGAGAAAGCCGAAAGTTTTGGTGGGGGTTTCAGCTCCAGTGTTGCGGTCTCTACGGAGGTAGGTTTCTGAAGTCTCTTCAACTTCTCTTGTGCTCTGATCATGGCAGCTCTGGAAGCTTTCAACTTCATGCTGTTGCTAATTGAGTCTCGTGAGAAATTGTCTTCGTCAAGATCTATCGTATTTTTAGAACCGGCTAAGCTCGTCATTGTTGCCTTGATGTCGAAATTAGATGTCTGTGTATCCTCTTGAGGTCTGTCAAAGGTCATGTCTGGGCGGGCAGATGGTGAGGAGCGTATTGGGACTCCCCGTGTGCAAGATGACGTGCTGTAACAGCAAGGCTCACTTCTAGCTGAACTGGACGGCAGATCTGGCAATGCTTTCATGAGCTTTGGGACACTGTTTTGTAGCCGGAGCCTTTTGGCCGGCGAGACTGGTACAGGCTGCAGTATAACGGGCTCTGACCGACTGGTGGCGCAAGTAGTGTCTGTGGAGGATGTTGTCGAGAATTCACTAGTCCTGATCCTGGGCAGAGCAACTGTTCTTTTATGTTCAAAGGGTTTAGGATTTTTGGTCCTCAGGCACCCCTCAAAACCAGGAGCTTGGTCTTGTCCGTCCTGGTTCTCCGTAGAGTCTGGTGCTAACTGAATTGCCGATATCCGATCTCCAGCCTCTACAGACGACTTCAGGAAGTCCATCGTTACATTCGATTTTGGCAGATGATTATCTTCAGAAGCCGAATTTGCTGCAACGTCGAGATAATCTACAAGAGATGCAAGATCAGATAGGCCCGGATCTATCGAGAAGAACTTGCTCCGTCGCAGATAGCCGCTGAATGTTGACGGAACTCGTTCTCCTGCGTTCAAGCGAAACGATTGACGCTTGTCAAGGGGTTCCGAATTCGACCTGTATAGGGAGGTTCTCGCTGACAAAGGATCTTCTAGTTGAGGCACATGGATCGCATTGTTGCCAAAGCTCGACCTCGAGTTCTCGTTGTCGCCTTCTTCGAGGCCGTCGCTCTCATCATGCACCGTTATCCGCCTGGCATCAGAGTTCGATTGTTCATCTGGATTCTCCGCTGTCGCAGCTGCCAGATCGTCCGATTTTTCTGAGATACTAGCGTCACTGTGGTGGCAGCTCTTTCTCTTTTCGGTACTGGGCATAGTCATAGCCTGCAGTGACGATACATTGGTGGCTCCGTTGACATCTTTCCTTCCTACCATAGAACCACGAGGTGAGTCGTCATCAGGGTAGTTGAATGGTCCTTCTTCGCCTTCATGTTCCTCAATCGAGTCATGGGCGATGTTTGACTCGTGGGTCTTCATGGTATTTGTTGCGCCAGAGTAATTTTGCGGACCCTCGCAGACGTCATCCTGGGAAGGATAGCGGTTCATGTTCAGGAAGGGACCAGCACTGCCATCATTTAGTATCCTCGCTCTATACATGTCGGGTACTCGAGTTGGGACAGGCGCCAAAGGTCCAGTCCATGCGGGATTGCCATCAGGGAAAGTATCAAAGTCCTCCGAGTAATCGTAGTAGAATGTTCTGCTGGGCAGTCGATGAGATCCGTATTTCAAGTCGGGTGAAATTCCTGACGACGAGCGGTACATGTCGACGATGGAAGTCAAACTTGGAGTCCTCGTATTATAGTCTGATGATTCCATTTCAAGCTGTCTGCGAAGGCCCGGACTCCAAGCAGCGGAGCCACTCGAGTTCGTTCTCGCATAGGATCTCGGACCCGGCCTCGAACTGTGGCTTGAGAGGGATGAAACGGATCCATATGGATGGAGTCGGGACATCGCGGGTCCTGATCTGCGGCCATATTGAGCGTAGGTGGACATATACGATCCATGGATGGTTCGCTGAAGATATTAGTAGATGTACATCTGATATAAGGGGAAGGTAGCATACCTGTGAAGCACGGTCGATCTCGACCATTCTACTATAGTCCACAGCGCCACTCTCTGTCACGGCGGGAGAGGAAGGTCGAACTCCCGGGCGCTTAAGTCTGGTTGGGTAGGGGAAGGGGGAGCGAGGTCTCTGTAGAGCCGGACCGCTGGCTTGGCTCTGCATGGTGCCAGTAGACGACTTGTTGGGTAGCGCTCGAGAACTGCAGCTCGTCATGGAAAACGACCGCTGGTCATCGCGATATTTGGGCGAGAATGGGCTATAGGTAGAACGTTGACTGTCAGAGGCATACATCGAGATGATCTCTGAAGCAGTATCTCGGTACGATGGAAGACATCTCCGATCGTCTCTAAGGCTGCTGTGGGTATCAAAGCTGTCGCTGGTCGAAGGTCTGGTTGGACCAATGTTGCTCACGGGCGTTCTGGTTCGCATTGGCACTGTCAAGCGAGGCATGGAAGCAGACTTCGCCTGTCCATGGCGGGCGGGGGTAGGCGGACATGGGATATTGAGAGCGGATATTGACCTGACTGGCCTGATAGAGAACAAGCCAATATCTCCAGTCTCTGTTGTTGTCCTCAACATACTCTCAAGCGGTCCTGGTGATGGCAAGATACGCGCGTTTCCGTTAGGACTTCGTAGAGGCCGCGAGAAGGCGTGAGATGAAGGGATGCCAGGATTTCTGCCAGCATCCGCGGCATACTGGCGGCCGAGAGTGCCATGGCTGGCAGCACGTCTCGCCGTCCGCACCTGATCCATGAAAACGAGTAGGATTAGCGACCACGACCAGATGATTTAGGTATCCAATTGGAAGATGGGTGCTGGTTTTTATTTAACTGTTGCACCAACACTCCAAAAAGGGATAAAGCTGTTGCCTCCTCGATGTGCTGGAAGCCCCAAAACCACTCAATCAAGCAACGACACTACTTGATGTCACTAGAGACGAGTGGAAAGCCTCGAGATTCGGGTGGGTGTTGTTGTCGTCGCCATCTCCAGGTCCATCGGGGGACGGGAGACTTGATCGCTGTGTAGTCGGAAGGCGGTTGGTAAAGTCGGCGGTAGTCGGCGGAAGATAGCCGTGATTCCTTGGCCATGAAAGGAAGAGATTTCGTCTGAAGCTCGAACCTGTGTCTGGTGTCGGGTTGCTCAGGAAAGGAAAGCACATATGTCACCCGGGTACCTCGGTGTTGTTGCATTTTCATTCGCTGCCGTGGTCGATATTGGAAGTCCCCGCGCCTGCCGTATGAATGAAGGGGATGCCATTGAAGACACCAAATTTCTGGCAAGGGAGGAAGGGACAACACGATGTTCGGAGTCCATTCCAATCATGCTCCCCAGGGACCGATTTCCAATCCCAGTGCTCCCGGCCACCATCATTCAAGGTCATTGCCCGAGCTAAGTAGCGGCCTGTCCATCTTTGAGGATCCCAATCATCCCTTCCTCTTGTTTTCCAGCCGTTCGATCTCGTTGCCATACGAAGAGTCCCGACCCGACCCGCTGGAGTCGATGACAGAATGGGTCCATGATATGGCCTTCTTCTTTTCTTCTGTGATTCGATACGACCTGCCTGCCCCCGAAGTCTCCCCTCGCACAACAGACACTCGTCTGTTAGCATCGACGTGACATTATTGATCACAGCTGCAAGCGCTTTCTCACAAGCATGTATCCTCCTGTCGATACTCATCCATCACCATCGCCCGTGCTGCATCTTCGCAGAGACATAAAAGTAGTTGACGCATCGCAACCCCCACAGGCTGCTGATAGATCGAAGAAATAACAGAGCTATCCCAACTACCTGTGGCATCGGTCTTTCGAATGTAGATCCTGATCTAAAGCATCGAACTTGATGCTGGTATATGCTTATTGTCAGCGCGTTGTAAACATGCAAGTTCTTGGATAAGGCCGGGCCTCACCCATTCGGATATAACAGAGCGACATGATCAGCTCACTATCCTGATCGGTGCCAGCATCAGCCCTCACAACGGCTCCCCGACATGTGCAGTGTCATAGTAACGATGATATATCCGAACGTGGTCGTATCTCTTCCACACTTACCGTACAATTGCGCGCGAATACTGAACTCAGCCACTATGAGTGCTGGCTTGGGAACGACAGCAAAGTTCCGCCGAAGAGGTCCGAAGCTGACAACTGAAAATAGCGAGGTGAGATCTTGCTGAGTCAAACACAAAACTGATATTCTACCGGTTCAGCTCATCAAGCTCGTCAGCTTATTGAAGGACACCACTCGCAGCGCACACCTGGCATGAAATGGCTGCCATCGACATGGACTCGTGGCAAGATGTAGTTCAAATTGCCCGATGGGGAAGACGGAAGCACTGCACTACGGCCCCGTTCTGCCAGCCCATTCACCCAGTGGAGTTTCGGTCCCTGAGACCATGAAGGAACGGCGTTACAGTACGCGGCACAGCAGCCCAGGGCGGCACAGAAATGGTGTTTCTTGGCTTGCGGGGAAAGCTGTCCGGATTCAAAGCTGCCCATCCTCTTCTGATGGAACCCCACGCACTGATGCAAGGTGGCCCTTACTACGGGGCGGAAATAAAGGGGTTCTGGTGCAGGAACGGATGGGATTGTTAGTTGAGAGAAAAGGTGTGGCCAGCTCTTTGAGAAGGTCCAGCCAACATGTTGATGTTTACCTTAGAGGTAGTTTGAGAAATCTCGTTGTATGATGTTCACTTTCCACTATTCCAACCCATTTGCGACAAAAATGGCAAAACATGGAACGGTACTTAGTAAATCTGTAATGCAACATGGGACTGATGATCCGATATGTAATCAACAAACAGCAAAATGCCACCTGTATCCAGGCTTGAATAATGAATGACAAAAATCGCCGCCCCTGGCATCCGAAGGATCCCTTTCATCCTTCGTTGACAACAGGCCAGTCTCGGGGTTGTTCTCCGCCTCGCGGCCGACAGCCGCAGGCCCCGCGAGCGAGCTCTTTGACCCTGGCGCCCTGCAGCACCACTGCAGGTGCCGCCACTGACCACTCAGCAGGCTCCAAGGCTGATTGACCACTGGCGTGTACCATTTTCGTAGCGGCGGAGAAGACACCTGTTCACTCGACCGACAGAAAGCAACCTGGCTTATAAACACGGGCTGGAGATAACACATTAAAAAGCAGATCCCCCTTCTCGCCTTCACCACCCGCCTGCCTCTGTTTCCGGGACATTTTCCATCTTAAAAATTCAACTTCTCTCAGTCACGGGTCCTAGTTCTTCCCAAATCCCAGGCCCCTTTTCTGCCTTTAAATAGCCCAGAGTAAGTGGTACCCACTACCCGGGCACGTTTGCCTGTGTACTGCGGCCCCGCCAGAGCTACGACCTTCCCGTTGAACAACCTAATCCCGTCCATTCACGACCTCCGTGCTCCGTCCTTCCTGTTCCACCATACAAACCCCCACGACGGCTTTGAGAAGCAACTTCAAAGAACAATATCCAAGCATCATTTTTTATATACCAACTTCCAAAGCTAACTCCGCTTTCCCAGACAGCCGGGAAACGTAAATATGCACGCACCTACGAAGTTTGCCCTCGGGCTTCTCGCGGCGGCCGCCGTGGCCACTGCCTCCGATGTTATCCAGTTGAAGAAGGACACCTTCGATGACTTCGTCAAGACCAACGACATTGTTCTTGCTGAGTGTAAGCTACCCTTGAAATTCAGCTAAGTTCTTATGTAGGTACCTACCTAGTTCTTGCTAACATTCTTGCTGTTCAGTCTTCGCACCTTGGTGCGGCCACTGCAAGGCCCTTGCCCCCGAGTACGAGGAGGCTGCTACCACCCTCAAAGAGAAGAACATCAAGCTCGCTAAGATCGATTGCACTGAGGAGTCCGAGTTGTGCCAGCAGCACGGCGTCGAGGGCTACCCTACCCTCAAGGTCTTCCGTGGCCTCGAAGTCGTCTCCCCCTACAAGGGCCAGCGCAAGGCTGCTGCCATCACTTCCTACATGATCAAGCAGTCCCTTCCCTCCGTCTCCGAACTCAACAAGGACAACATTGAGGAGTTCAAGAAGGCCGACAAGGTCGTCATTGTCGCCTACCTCGATGCTGCTGACAAGGCCTCCAACGAGACTTTCTCCAAGGTCGCCGATAAGCTCCGCGACGAGTACCCCTTCGGTGCCAGCAGTGATGCTGCTCTCGCCGAGGCTGAGGGTGTCACCGCCCCTGCCATCGTCCTCTACAAGGACTTCGATGAGGGCAAGGCCGTCTTCACTGAGAAGTTCGACCCCGAGGCCATTGAGAAGTTTGCCAAGACTGCCTCCACCCCCCTCATCGGTGAGGTTGGCCCCGACACCTATGCCGGCTACATGTCCGCTGGCATTCCCCTCGCCTACATCTTCGCCGAGACCCCCGAAGAGCGCAAGGAGCTTAGCGAGGCCCTCAAGTCCATCGCTGAGGCCCAGCGTGGTGTCATCAACTTCGCTACCATTGACGCCAAGGCTTTCGGTGCTCATGCCGGCAACCTGAACCTCAAGGCCGACAAGTTCCCCGCCTTCGCTATCCAGGACACCACCAAGAACCTGAAGTTCCCCTTCGACCAGGAGAAGGAGATTACCGCCGACTCCATCAAGAAGTTCGTTGATGACTTCGTTGCTGGCAAGGTTGAGCCCACGATCAAGTCTGAGCCCATCCCCGAGACCCAGGAGGGCCCCGTTACTGTCGTCGTCGCCAAGAGCTACGACGACATCGTCCTTGACGACACCAAGGATGTTCTTATCGAGTTCTACGCTCCCTGGTGCGGTCACTGCAAGGCTCTCGCTCCCAAGTACGATGAGCTTGCTACCCTCTATGCCAACTCCGATTTCAAGGACAAGGTTGTCATTGCCAAGATTGATGCTACCCAGAACGACGTTCCCGATGAGATCCAGGGCTTCCCCACCATCAAGCTCTACGCTGCCGGTGCCAAGGACAAGCCCGTTGAGTACTCTGGCCCCCGCACCGTTGAGGATTTGATCAAGTTCATCTCAGAGAACGGCAAGTACAAGGCTTCTCCCCCGGCTGAGGCTGAGGAATCCGTTGCCGCTTCCGCCGAGTCTGGTTCCTCCACCGAGACTGGCACCGTCGAGGAGCCCGCCAAGGAGACCAGCCACGACGAGCTCTAAAGGGTCAGTCGAGACGAGACATTAAGTATTTAATAGCATCATCATTCATGGGTTTTACTGGGAACAAGGGTCTTTCGTTGGGCAACAGCAATTTTCGGGAAAGAAGCGGCCTTGTACGGATCTGGGAGTAAGATACCAAAAGGCATGTTTGTAAGGGAATTCAATATAGTCCATCAGTTGTTAAGGAATCTACAAAAAACACGCACAAGATACAATCTAGCCATGTGTTCCTTTGTTCGTGATGAATTGTCAATTATCGAGTCGTTTCCTTTGTTCCATTCCTTCCTGTCCTCTTTGTCTTTCCAAGCTTGCACCTTGAGGGCCTTATCGCGATCCTTATCAGTTCACAACCGGTTGATGGCAACGACCTAACCCCCTCGAGGACACGTCCACCGTAACAAGCCGATTGATATTCTGCCTCCACACTCCGCCCATTTGTTTCCCTCTCACTGATTGGCTCAATTGCGCCCACCACCAAGACCCCTGTCATGCCGTCACGACCTTTACTTAGCCGTTCCCGCGGGGTGCCTGCCCCGTCTGGCGATACTGACCTGACGTCGTTTCAGTTTCCCGGTTCGGTTGGTTTGGGTTCAGTCCCAGCGTCCATCAGTCGCAACCGTCGCTTCAAACCTCGCTGTTTCCTCTTTCCTCCAACGAACCAGCGAATCGATCGAAACCATCCTCCTCGCGCAACTTTGATATCCTCGATAGCATTATAGCGAGTACTACGACGAACATTTCAACGACCGAACGAATTTGACACAGTAGCGATCGCAATCGCAATCATAAACGCGGCTCCAATTGGACCAAACGAAGACAGACATTTACACCACACAAAACATAAAATGGCCTCCAGAGTCCTATCCGCCGCCTTCCGTCGCGGCTTCCAGACATCAGCAAGGAGGTTCGAGTCTGTTGCTACGACCTCCAGCGCTGGAGTTCCCGGCGCGGGCGCGGTGCCACCGTTGCCTGCTAGGAAACCTGTTGGTGCTTTTCGTGGGGGGTGAGTTTATTTATCTTGGGGGTTCATTTTGGATTTGGAATTCGCTTAGGTTGGGTCGGGAAGTTGTGGACTTGGGGATGCTACTGGATCGGGTGGGCGGTGCATGGGAATGGGCGAAGGCAGCAAGAGATGATCCCGAAACGACCAAAGAAGGGTGTAAGAAGGTTTGGATAAGGGGTATTGATGAGAATGACTGGTCATTGGGATGAGAGGGGATGGAGATGCGACGGAGAACTGTACGTTTGGGGCTGGAAGGAGACAAGCAGCTTGAGGGAAAGCTGGCGACAACTACGAGAAGGAGACGGGTTTGATACGTGCTTTGCATAGACACGAGGAATGCTAACCCGCCGATCATGACACAGGCTCTTCGGCTTCTTCTTCGGTAGCACTCTCGCCGGCAGTGCTGTCTACTATTATGCGCTCCAAGAGTACAAGGCCTCGAACGATCTCTTGACGGAAGATATCTACGTAGGTGGTCATACAACGACATAATTACCATAAGGGAAAGACACAGTGCTGACATCCGAAAACACAGGCTCTCCAGAATGCTGTCGACAGGCTGAGCAAATATCTTGTTACCTTGGAGGAGAAGATGGAGGCGTTGGAGAGGAAGAGGAAGTAATCGATATCTTACGGATGAGGAAGGAATACATAAGACGTTTGGGGACACGAGCACATAATCAACCGTTATGTGAAAAACAAAAAAAATAAGAACTAAGGATGCGGGATGGGGTTCTATTGACATCAAAAGATGAAGTGCGAAGTGGTGTTCATTTTCGTGGTTTGAATTTGGAGCAGAGCTTGCTCTGGTGGCAATCGTACGGGAGCTTTCGCTGTAAATCGAAATTAGGATGCTTGAAGCCAGAAGAAGTTGGAACCGACATGGAAGAGGTTTTCTTATCACTGGTACCTGGACACTCAAATGCCGGGCAATTCTAGTGTATGGTTATACATTCAATAAGCATAATCACAACTCTTTATTACCCTGTCGAGGTACCAGACGGGACCTCTGAAACCGATGTTCGAAGCTCAACCCACAATGAGCTCTCCCATTGGCTTTCCTCGTAGACTCGTAGACTAGGTGACCCTGGGCTTGAGTGGACGTTCAGGGGTAGCTCTGGCAGATCCAGTGATCTCGCGCCGTTTTATAGCAACCCCGGACCCCGGCCTAGCGCTGTAAACGCGCCACGCGGTTCAGCCCATCTAAAACTTCCCTCTTACATCACCATTTGAACTTTTGTCATTGCGCCTTACCAATCTTGCGACAACACACGCTTCTGCATCTCTCCAATACCGCAAACAGACACAAACACCATGAACAATTTTGGCGTCATCGAAGTCGCCAGTCAAAAGACGAAAAACGCCCCAGGTTGGGCGTACGTCCCAGATACCGGCCTTACGCCCGCCGCGGCCGCCGCGCTACAACCTCTCAACCGCAAACGTGCTGCACGCGACAAGGCCAACGTCGGCGCTCCCGATCTTACTGCCAGACAGGATGCGAAGATTCGGAAGGATCTTGAGGCATTGGACAAAGATTCACATAGGGATGCGCAGATTCCCATACCGCCCAAGGCGGGTGGGACTAGAGGTGCGCAATCGTCCGAACCTTTTATCCTGAAGAGATGACGGAATTAACATGGCATGGTGTTGCAACAGCCCAAAACAAACACACACCGAACGTGCGCAAGATTCTACAATCACAAAAGACCTTTGCGAACCACTTAGACGACTATCAAGCCTTCCTGGCACTGGCCGAGAGCAATCCTCAACTCGCAGCTCAAGTAAACAAACCAACACCGACAACAGCAGCAACAACAGCAACAACAACAGCGAGGAACTCGCCCGCTCCATCGACTATCACCACCGCAAGTTCAAATAAACGCTCCTCGGCCGCTCCCAAAAGGGCAGCCGCGACGGCAGCAGCAGCAGCAGGGGCAAAAGAAGAAAAGGGCGGATCCAATAAAAAGCTCAAGACCCAACCACAACCGAAACCCGTCGCCGGCAACGACGATGTAGAGATGACCGATGGTCCTGAGGCCACACAAGAAACCATGACCCCAGACTCCTCAGAACCATTTCCCCCACGTCCCGACACACCCACATGCCTTGAGCCCTCAACAACAGCAACACCAACAACAACAGAACAACCAAAACTCCAATCCTACCCACCAGACGGCACCATCCTACCAGCCTACAACCGACCACCACCCACTCCCCACCCAGGCGACGACGACCCCCTGCTCGTCTCGCGCGTCCCTCCCTTCCCAACGGACGAGGAGCTCCGGGCGTTGATAACGGCTCCACCGCTGAGCTACCTCGAGGCGCGGGCGCAGTGGACCGAGGAGGAGGAGGGTAGATACCCGGCTCGCAGGTTTTGCGAAGTGTGTGGGTATTGGGGACGGGTGAAGTGCATCAAGTGCGGGGCGAGGGTTTGTGCTTTGGAGTGTCTGGAGGCGCATCGGGAGGAGTGTTTGGTTAGGTATGGGCTGTAGGTTTTAGGGTTTTAGGCGGGAAGATAAGAGGCAGGTAGGTAGGAGATGTGGAAGCAGAAGGATGTGTCACTCACCTCGGCCAGTACTCATTGATGAGTTACCATTGAGGTCCGTCTCTACTAAAGTCTTCATCTGAAAGGCTATTTATTGATCCGCGATCAGTATGATGCATAACATGGCAACAGAAGTTGAAGAACCGAAATGCAGGCTCAGTCCTCTCTTCTGGAGTGGAACCTCCTTGGCCGAGACGAGTTGAGGGCAACTTGACTCTTTCGGCGAGATTTAGGCCTCGTTCACATATTTCCCATGATCGGAGCATTGCACTGAAACACCATGCACCCGTTGTTGAGACTTGCACTATGAGCAACAGTACTGGCAAGCAATGCCGCATCATCGAGCATCGATATAAAGCCCATTAATTAATTGGGTTCACAGAGGACAAGGTTGCCAGGAGACTCTATCAAGGTATTGCTGGAAGCGGCTAGAAAGATGCTACTTCCCACACCCAGCACGAGCGATAACTAATATACTCTCATGCCACTCACCGTCGAGTCCTATGGTGGTGGTGGCTTCAGGATTGCCCCTGGCGAAGGGCGGGAGCGAGTCATTCTGCTTTGGACCCCAATGTCGAAAGAACAAGTTCCGTTGTTGTCACTACTTATAGCTCCTCCGACGGTGATCGAGCAAGTTCCGTCGCCAATGGCTCTGACAAACGAAGAGACGAAAAGGACGGGAAAGACAAGAAGGGCGGGAAGGTTGGAAATGATTTGGTGATGGGTTGGTAAAGCGCCAACACTCCGATTAAGCTCGGGTCACAGGACTGGATGGTATGGTAACTTAACGGGTGGTGAAAAGTTCGGATTTTCATTTCTCGCCTTTGCACGATAAAGTCGAATCATATGTTCGGAACACTTTTGCGCAGTTCTCCTATATGTTTTATTTACCTTCGAGCTGAGAGAAGGCAATACCTTAGACGAGACCAATGGCTTTGTGATGTTAATGGCTTTAGCTGGATACCTCGACTCTTCACTACATTTGCTTTTCAAGGATATATGGAGCCTTTCCAACACCGCCATGTCGGACAAAGATGATCCCATGAAGGACACTATGGGGAGATAAACATTGAGTTATGGCAAACCAGGGACTCAGACATACACTTGGGTTTAGGGACGGGGTAACAATGTCCACGTGTCCAGGAGACAGAGATAGTGCGACTTGGGAGGTATTAAATACTGAATCAAGGCTTGGGGAAACAGATGAGCAACGAGCTATGAGTATCATACAATCGAGTATAATACCGAAAAACATTATGGCAAACTGAAGAGTAATGAACCATAGTTAACAGCCTATATAAAAAAGAACAACCGATATATATGTGTGGTATCTCCCTAAATGACCAGAATCAACAACAACCCAGGAAAGCAAACCGAAACATGCCGTACACACCAGAAAACCATTATGATACCCAATGCTAATTCGTTGATATGATCATCAAAACACACCACCCCCAATGATAAATAACCGCTCCTCCTCTCTCTTCGCCCATTGCACTACCTTGTTTGCGCACTGTGTCATGATTCCACTCGACATATTCGGTCCCGCTACACAATAGAACTCGAACACGGGCGTGATCCAAGCCAGGCTCGCCGCGTCCTCGCTCACCAGATGCAAGACTTTCAGGTGCGAGTGCTTGGCGTGAATCGAAGCGTGTAGGTGGTGGTAGAGCGTCATTAGGCGGCGGCGAGAGACTAGTTTTTCTGTCGTCTTTTGGGAAAAACCGTTTTCAGAGGGTGAGGAGGATGGTAAAGGGAGGGACGAGGTTTCGAAAGCAGGAGAGAGACTGGATTGGCAGAATTGAACATTTGCGCGGGATTTATAGAGAAAGTGACTGAGCTGCCCTTGTCCCTGGCCTTGTCCTGCTTCTTTGGGGAGGGGTTTGGTGTTCAAGATGGTCTCGATACGCGGCCGGCCTTGACGGGCTGCGGATTGGATGAGTGCCAGAGAACCGTTCTTGGCCAGTTGAAGGGCGAGTTTGTCACGCATGGATTTGAGTTCGAAGAAGGATTCTTTATCGGCGGAGATGAGGATTATGGCAATTTCTTCGTCTGGTGAAGTCACTGGTTTTGGTGGTGGTGGTTGTGGTGGTTGTTCTGGATTGTTGGTGTTGTTGCTGTTGTTGTCTTCCGCCGTCTCTACCGAGTCAAAAAAGCTCACATACATGTAAAGATAACCGCGGTTGTTGAAGGCTGGTAGGCACAGCGGTACCCAGTTCTCGCCGCCGCCGGCGCGGATGCCGCCGGATTCAAAGAGCATGTTGAAGATTAGCTGGAGGTCGCTTGGGTGGAGTGAGTGTTTGCGCGGCCGGATCACGCTCACTAGCTTGCCCCCCGCTACGATTAGGCCGTAGAGCAGCTTGTCGCTGCGGCACTTGAGAAAGGCATTGTTGATGGTGGCCCGGTGAGATTTGCGCAATCTTAGGCATTCCAAGGCGCCGAGGAGTGCAGAAGGAGAGCCCTTGGTGAAGGAATCGGCGAGGGAGGAGAGGAGGGATTCGGTTCCCTCCAATGGCTTTCGGAGGTCGGTTGAGGGACGATGCACAAAGATGTTTTTGAGGGTCGGAAGTGTGAGGGTGGACAGGATCTGCATGTATAAAGCGTCTAGTTGACTTCGAAGCTGGGCATCGCTCTCGCCTAGTCTGCTAATGGCCACAAAGTAAAGGGGGCCTTGAGTGCTGATGACGAAGCGAGCGTTTCCGGCGGTGAAACCTAGTAGGGGGTCCTTTGCGCCTTCGTAGAAGGAGATGATGGTTTGTACGACTCCCATATAAGAGTTGATCAGACTTGTATCGCCGTGTCGACTCCAAATGGGCTTTCCGGCGGAGGATAGGATCATGTAGTGTTTCATCTTGGATTTCCAGAGTGACAGCCGCTGCTCGTCGGTGATGCCCTTCTCGCCTAGTTCGGGGATCTTATCGAACTCCTTCTCGAACCCGGCCAAGCTGTCGCATGCGCCGGTCCTGCTGGCCTCGAAGGGCTGCACAGAGGATGACTGAGTCCTCAGCATGGACCATGCCCGGCTTCGCCTGTTAAACTCGCCGGTGACAAGATCTGCCAGGTCGCCAGGTGGACGGAGGGTTGCGGGATAGCTCGCGACGCTCACGGTCTCGGCCAGGTCGGTGCGCGGGGAGGTATAACCGCTGGCGCTCGACTGGGGCGAGGCAACGGATCTCGTTGCGCTCGTCGCGCTCGTCGAGAAAGTGCCGCGCGATCCATCGGGAAAGGACAGAGTAGAGATATCGATGGTCGACACTTGGGTGGTGGGCCTGGAAGCGGCCGCTACGTGTAGGGCTGCGGATGCGCCATCGTCCGACAACTTGGGACTGGGACGGCGCGGTACGGGAGGAACATGATCGACCGCTTCGATGTTGCTTTCGGGGGTGTGAGGGGGTATGGTTGTGTCGTTGTTGTCGTTGGTGCCATCGTTGCTTCCGGCTTCAGTGTCCCGGTCCATTGTTGTGAGTAAGACAGTGGCAGGTCGGCGTCGACAGGTTCACCGATGTCGAGCTGGTCGAACTGGGCATTGTCGGACGCTTTCGTTCACCCTTTGGTTATTTCCGCTGGCTTATTCGCAAGTCCGCTCCATGGGGGATGGAGATGTCGGGGATCTGTGGTCCGAAAATGACAGAGTTCGGATGAGAGATGGTGGAAGTGGAAGAAAGGGGACAGAAGGACCCGAAAGAATGACGACAATGAGAGCGGTCACACTGCCATCCCCCTGTACGCCAGAAGGGGGTTCAATCGCAACTCGCAACCGCCAGACCTTCCAGAATCCAAAAATGTTAGCGATAAGATAGCGGGCCGCTCCTGCAGCTGGGTGTTTTAGTGGGGAAGATCAGTGATTGGATGGAACCCCGTTAGCGGGTGCAGGCAACGGCAGGGTGGGAGTGGTGCGCTGACGAACAGCATCAACAGCGCTGCTCCACTGTGTCTTACACAGATGCCCACCCTAACAACCTAACCCACAGCCTCACAGTGACACCGGGCGTCGACAGCTCCCGCCTGCTGCACCTCAACGTCCAGTCGTCGTCAACGACACGGGAACCTGGAACTGTCTGTTTGGAGTGGAAGCTACCTCTACCGTGACATCTTTCAGTGGAGTTCTCTTTGGGTCTAGTACCTTTGCGACTCAACACCAAAGACACCATCCATCCCGTCCCCCGTTTCCCGTCGCCCCCTCCGAGACGGCAATGACCTATAGCAGTCTGCCTAGATCAGGGGACGTCCTGTTCTCGAATCCCTAGACTCTCAAGGTCTCCTCCTCCCACGATCCCCATCACCCGCCGCCAACCATGTCTCTTGATCCTACCCGGCCGAGGTCCATCTCCCCCGAGAGCTCTGGCCGCGAATCTCCGGTACCCAAACAATGGAGGAACCAGCTTGGGAATGGTATGCCATGTTCCTCTCCCTCCCTTGAAACATGCCCACTAGAATACAGCTAGCAGGTAGCTAACCAGATGATGGACAGACGAAGTTACGCCGAAGGATAAGAACTACCGCAAGTACGCTTCCGGCGTCGAACGAGCTCTCTCCCTGTTCGATACAGCCCTCCAAGAATGGGCCGACTACATCTCCTTCCTCAACCGCCTTCTCAAGGCACTCCAAGCTCGACCGTCCACGATCAACACCATCCCCGCCAAGGCTACCGTCGCAAAGCGTCTGTCACAATGCTTGAACCCGTCTCTTCCGTCCGGGGTTCACCAAAAGACGCTCGAGGTCTACAATTTCATATTCAAAGTCATTGGCAAGGATGGTCTGTCGCGAGACCTGCCACTCTATCTCCCCGGCCTTGCGTCGGTTCTGTCGTTCGCCTCCCTTTCCGTCCGGACCCCTTTCCTCGACCTACTTGAACGCCACTTCTTGGGTGTAAACCCGCGATCCCTACGGCCTGCCTTGAAATCGATCATACTTGCTCTTTTGCCAGGCCTAGAGGAGGAAACCAGCGAGGACTTTGAGCGCACATTGAAGCTTATGGAACGCGTCAAGGCCGCTCTCCGCCCACCAGAAAGCGAGACAATAACGCCAACTCACTCCTCTGGCGACGACTTCTTCTGGCAGTGTTTCTTTCTGGCTTCCATAACTGGGCATAGCAGGAGGACGGGGGCCTTGGCATACCTTATGCGCGCCTTGCCTGAACTGGGACATCAGTTACATTCAGATGGCTACAAGGCTGAGACTCGCAATGGCTTGGATCCCGAGGTTTCTGCCAAGTTGGTACAGCTGGTAACGTCTCCCGAGCCAGGATTGCTGATCCGCTGCTTTGCTGCTGGTTTGGCCGATGACCAGATCCTTATTCAACGTGGCTTTCTTGATTTGCTCGTTACCCATCTTCCGTTGCACTCCAAGGTGTTGCAAGCCAGGGCCAAGACCGACGACCTAGAACTCCTCCTGAAGACCGCAGTTGGGGTAACGACCCGGAGAGATATGAGTCTAAACAGGCGGCTGTGGACCTGGCTCCTTGGCCCCGAGCCGACAGCTGCACACGAGGGCGAAGGCGGCCCTGATTCTCCCACAACTACTGCAAGCACCCCTGCCTACTTTATGTCGAGGACCAGCTACTTTGAAGAATTTGGGTTGCGACCCCTGACTCGGGCCCTACTCGGCATGATTAACGCTAGTAGAGTTGGGAACAATCCGGCAGACCGGGCGAAGCCATATCGTATCTGTCTTTCCTTGATGGACAGGTGGGAAATTGGCGGCTTGGTTGTGCCTGAGGTATTTCTTCCCATTGTTGACAGTGTCCGAGACTTCAAAGCAAAAGCAGACAGCAAATCAGACTTCACCGAGGTGCTCCGAAGTGCAAGTGTTTTCTTTGACGGAGTCGAGAGCGGGTTGATATACAGCGAAATTCTCAACCTCATGGCGCAGGCTATCAGTCCGGGCAAACTCTCAGTGACTGATCGTAGCGATAAGCTTGACCTTGTCAAGTTCATTCTCGGCCATTTCAACGTCAGCGAAGAAGAGATGATAACCATTCATGCTCCGCTTACGGTGCTCTCCATCTTATGCATGATCGAGGAGTTGAAGGGGAGTGATGCTTATGCGACCACTCTGCTACCAGACGGTACGACTTTGTTGGTCCAGGCTTTAACAACAGCTGCAAGGTTGTTGGAGCTCGTACCAGAACGAGCGTTCCCGACGAGCGCAAAAGCTAAAGCTATCGAGTCCAAGGTTTTGGCCGGAATCCCGAATGTTGAACTGCTGAAGAAAATCAAGAACTTCTACCACGCCGAACAAGGAAACTTGGACGCCACCTCTCCCCCATTTGTACCGCAGAATGTGGCGGAACTCTTGTTGCAAAAAGCTTGCGACATGAACTGTGAGAGTTTCAGTCAACGCGAGTCCGGCCCGACTGTCGCTGCAAAGAGCAAAGTTCTCTTGCTTCTTCTCACCAAGACACCTCACAGATCGTTCCTCGATACGAAGAAACTTCTTGCTTCCATTCACGGGTGTCTGTCATCAGATGCTTTTATTACCTTTACCACCTATTATTCGCTATTAACCCTTTCTACCCACCTTTATTCTGCCGACCGGATTTCCCATGTGGACCTCTCTGAGTTGGTTAGTCCTTTGGTACGCCACGCATGGAGCTTTTTATCATCGTCAGAGCCGAAGTACCACGTTGAGACGGTCCGAAGTCTTTGGTTACTCCAGACGGCTCTGACACCAACCAATCGAGACATCGAGGCAGCCATATGTTCTCTAATGCTGGAGAAAGATGTTTCAGGCACATTTATCCAGCGTCCTGCCGACCCTGGAAGAAGCTTCAGTGTGCTCTGGTCGCATAGTCTTCAAGATAACCCCTCTGGGAGCGATCGCCGAGGACCCAAGACCCCCATCTTCGACGCAAAGGCGCCGCCACGTCTTGGTGGTATAGATAATTACGAAGTCATGCTTACCCGCCCGTTATTCCTAATGTTAGATGCGCTCACCGATGAGCGGACGCAGCTGTTCATGACAGTCAAGAGTTGGCTGAGCAGCCTAGTCGGGATAGACAAGTATGACCCCAGGCCTTCTGGGTCACAAGTCACAGCTTGCTAACGCCTGTGCTCCCAGAATTTTCAACATCTTCGTGTCCAAGTTCGCCGAGCTATCATGTCTGAGGCGCCAAACAACCTCGGTTGAAGCCAAAGAGGTTCACAAATTCTCCGAAGAGGATGATGTGGAGCTGGCTGTGTATTATCTCCGCTCCTTATCCAATGTCTTTCGCTTTACCCCTGATAGCATTTGGGCGTTCCTTGCGAAAAAGACTATCCGCCCAGATTCTTACTTCCCATCATTATCCGAGATTAGTAGGTTACTATCCCATTCGGGCGTCTTGTACATGAAAGCTAACCAGATCAGCCGGATCCGAGGATGATCTGACCTTCCAGGAGTTTTTCCTCAAGGTTGCCATGCAATGCATGGCAGACGTCAACACTTTGAACGACGAAAGCTCCCAAATAAGGGTGACACAGCTTTATCGTTCAGCATTGGGCGTAATGCACCCTATCCTGGTGAACCCCTATGCTGAACCACTAGCACAGTTGCACCTTGAGAACCCTCTCATCGATATGCTCACCCAGTCGCTTTCAGGTCCGGAGCCTTACGTCCAGACCTTGCTTTTGGACGTTGTCTTTGCGGCCCTCAAGCTACGTGAATTAGCACCAGTTGAACTTCCAGAATCACCAACCGCAGAGAAACGTGCCGCAAGTGTTACGGCAGACTCGGCTAAAGCCTTCCGCGCTGTGGCTGGAGGGAAACCACCATCCGTTCTTCAGCCGCCTCCACCCACGCTGCTAAAGTGCATCCTTTCCGGACTCAGTGCACCTAGCAGCCGACACGTTTTGGATAGCTGGATTAGCTTTCTCGCTGAGTGCCTACCGCTTTACTCAGATTCGATCTTTCAAGTCCTGATTCCCTTGGTCGAGACACTCTGCAGTCAGATTTCCACCACCTTCAGCCGTTTACAGCAGCTCTTCCGAGCCTCCGACGAGCCTCCAACGCACAGTCAGATTGGTCCCGAGACTACCTTAATATCCCTACTGAATGGCCTCGAGCAGGTACTGGCAAGGGGACACGACAGGCTACTGGCTGAAGAGGCCAGAGCCCAGGTTGTCAAGAACCCAGACCAGCCTCAAGGCTTTTTCGGCAACATGGTCTCCGGTGTCTTCTCATCCGACACACCGCAGACCCGGAGCGCCACAGCTAACGACCGACTTACCGTCCTTTTGGCCTTCCAAGATGCGGTGCGCATCTGCTTCAAGATCTGGTCCTGGGGTCAAGGGAGCGATGCCTCCCTGCAAGACAGCTCTTCGGGTGCTTCGTTCAACTACACCTCTTTACGAATGAGAAACCGAGCGCGGAGGCTCCTCGAGCATCTTTTTGCTGCTGAGACGCTAGAGTGCTTGGAAACGGTCATTGGCATATGGAGGGGTGCACTGGATAGTTCTGATACGTCCAAGGCTGCCGAGGTGTTCAATCTCTTGCCTGCCCTTGATGGATCGCGGCCGCAGCATACAATCCCGGCACTTTTCAACGCTATATATAGCAGGACTAACCCGGGCGCGCTGGATCCCTCGAGGAGGTCGACCCTTACTATCGAGCTGCAGGATACAGACGTGGTGATTTTCCTGGTTGATTACGCACGCACTCTGGAGGATGATGCGATGGATGAAATATGGCAGGACTGCATGATCTTCCTGAAGGACCTCCTAGGCAACCCACTGCCCCATCGCCAGGCGTTGCCAAGTTTGCTGGAGTTTGCTGCGATTCTGGGTGAGAAGGTGGACAACACCAACTTTGGAGAACAGAGGAAGATGCGTCGTGAACTGGCGGATCTCTTCCTCCGTCTCCTGGCGGCTATCTTCACTACACGGCCAACCAGCTTCGTGGAAAACTCTTCGACAAGCTACTCCTCATCCACTACCAACCTTCTCCTCTCGGAAAAGAAGCCAAATGAGGCCCCTCGGACGCTTTCCGTAGCAGCCATCCGGACTCCATTCGAACGCGCAGACGATGTCGTTGGGATCCTCTCCAATATCGTTCCCAACCTGCCCAAGATCCTCGTTGAGAATGACCGCATCCTCACGGCTGCCACCTCCATCTCGGCCAACGTGATCGGCCCAACGCTGCGGTCCAAGTTCTTCCCCGACACCGTGTCAAAGAACACCCTGGTGTTGCTCCACCAACTATCCCGCCTACCCAACAACCAAAAGTCCTGGAAGAAGGACGTTGCCGATGCCTTCAACGATTCGCGCTTCTTCAGCTCCAACCTTAGCCTCGTGCAAACCGACTGGCTGCCCCTCCTCAAGCAATGGACCGTCGCAGACAAGGAACGCATGCCCGAAATTCTCGGCCGCATCACCCCGCCCTCGACTGCGGGCATTGTCTTCGGCGTCGGCGCCACCTCCGCCCGCCTCGAAGCCGACCGCAAGACGCAACTCAACCTCCGGCGCATCGCCACCCTCATCCTCGCCGCCACCGACGACACCTTCGTAACCGAGCTGCCGTCCATTCTCGACAAGCTCGTCGAGCTCCTCGGCGCCACCGCCACCTCCTCCCCTTCCTCCACCACCCGCGCCGAAGTGTACATGGTCATGCGCGCCCTCGTCCTCCGCACCAGTGCCATCCACCTCGCTCCGCTCTGGCCCGTCGTCAACGCCGAGCTGCACGCCGCCATCTCCTCGGTCGTCGCGCCCGACCACTCCGCGCCCAGCGACATATACGGCAACCCGGCCGTCATGCAAGCCTGCAAGCTTTTGGATCTGCTCGTCTGCGTCGCGCCCGATGACTTCCAGTTGCATGAGTGGTTGTTCGTCACCGACACTATCGACGCCGTCTACCGGCCCAGCGCAGCCGGTTATCAGCCCGTGGCGCTAGTGGATGAAGTCTCTGAGGAACTCAACGGTTCTCTTGTCACTCCCCACGCCCACCACTCCCACTCCCGCTCCCTATCCGAAGCAGGAGCCGCAGCTCTAGGCCTAGATCCGTCCTCGCTCCTTTCCCCCACCGATGGAATCGACGGTCAAGGTCAACCCCTCCGCCGTCCCCTGCTGGGAAACCTCCCAGGTCAAATCTCCGACGAAGTAGGCATGGAGCGCAAAGACGAACTAGTGGCCAAGGTGCTCCGGCCGTTTTTCGGACAACTGAGTATCTTTGCGTTTGAGACAACGTACAAGATGACGGAAGTGGACTGGGAGGGGTGTGTAAATGGATTGTTGAGGGATCTGTTTGATGAAAGGAGTGTGGTGAAGGCTCTTTAGGACCGGGCCGGCTCTGCGTATGGTGGTGGAGGAGCGGCGGGGTTGAGGGATGTGAGAGAGTTGAGAGGGAGGGAGAGGGAGGGGAGGAGTAGGTCGAGTTCGAGGTCGGGGACGGTGAGGTCTAGGGCGGAAAGTAGGTGGTAATTGGGATGGAGGATGCTTTGAGCATTTCAAACAAAAAAGAAGTAGGTTTGAGTAAAGTCTGATACTGTTTGGTTTACGTACTAGAGGTAGCGTATTTTGTTCCTTGATGGTTGTTTTATGCTTTGTACAATATCGATAGAGGGGGTGTTTGTTTCCCGTCTCGTTGAACTCCTGACAATGACTCCTGACGGTGATGGTAATAAAGAAGGCCATCAAAATGGGGAAGAAATCTCTTACAGTATGTGCATGCTCGTGTCACATCCGTCCAACGTCAATTGTCCATATCATGTCCTGTTCCTTAAAATTCTGTCCCAATCCCGAGGCTTCATCAGCCACTTGGTTCCCGAGCCTAACCATAGTAGTCCGGGAGATCCTACTTCTTTTCCTTCCCATGGCCGCAGTGATTGCTAGTTGTTGTGCGATGAGCGTCTCCTTCGTTTTCGCTTCCTTTTTTCGGCGTTGTCCGCTTTGGAGGTGTCGATTTCGATGTCCTGGGCGTAGGAGGTGTCGTAAGCGTCATGGGCCTCCAACGCCTCCTTTGGCGCCTCGGGGAGGAGCTCTGGTATTGTTTGCTCCTGCTCGTCATCCTGTTTTCTCTTCTTTTGCCCCCTATTTTCCTCGTACTGTTTCTTTTCCTCCTTGTCGGCGTCAATATTCCCCGGCAAATAAGCCACCAGCGCCTTGCTTGCTCCTTTTTGACAATACTGAATCACGTCAATCTTTGGAGCACCCTCCGGTACCAGAGCGGCAATCTGGTTCAAATCGCTTTGCCTAGGCAAAAACAGCGCCTGCGGCAGAATATGCTTTTGCTTCTGCGTCGATGGGTGCTCCTCCTTTTCTTCTTCCGGCATCGTACATGCCTTGTACAGCTGCTCCAGGTTATACGGCTCCATCTTGCTAAGATCGAAAACCTCCTGATCGCGGTACGAGACGCCACCCCAGGGCGGCGAGGCGAAGACAAGACACTCTTCTAGCTTGAGTCCCGCTAGGAGGCCATCCAGTTCCTCGTTGTCATCCTCTTGTTCCTGCCCCGTGGCCACCTCTCCACCCTCCCTTCCCCTCCCCTTCGTGCCCTTCGTCTTCCAAAACCTTTTCATAACCTCAAAGCAATCACCATGCACCCACGTAATCTTATCCAGCACATCATACACTTCCGCATTATGTTGGGCACAGGCCAGCGTCGACCTGTCCTTTTCGATAGCAATGATGCGATCCCATCTCCCCGAGGAAAGAGCAAAGGCAATCACGTTGCCTCCGGCGCCGCCGAAGAGGTCGATTAACACGCGTTTTCCGTCAGCGATGGGGTGAGTGGAGAGGTCCCGTGCGATGCGCGTGGCTACCGGTTCGGGCGTGACGCCGAACCAGGCAGAGTCGGTGAGGTGGATGTCGTAGGCGTAGAATTCGAAGATTGAGAACCGTTGGTGCCAGTATCTAGGGTGGGGTGAGAGGAGTGTTAGTGAGGTTTGGATTGGGGGACAAGGGACGATGACGAGAGGAGGGGAGTTTACTTACTTTTGGATGTCCCAGGGGACTTCACCGAGTTTGGTGTAGTGGTGACAATTTTCATCGAGAGGGAACTTCTCCCCTTTCTTGAGAAGTTTGGGACCCATGCTCCTGATGACTGTAATAGGCTTGGAGGTATTGAGTTTTGTGTTCTTCGGAATGGTGTTGGTCTTTGGATTGTGAATCCTGATTTGCTGTGGTAGACTGGCTGAGATTGAGGACCGGGACGTTTAGCGACAAATTAGTTGAACTTCTTGCCTGTGTCCCCAGGAATGATATGGTTGAGAAATCACGGACAGATCCGATGGAAAGACCAAAAGGTTGTGAATTGAGTCAAGAAGTGAACCTGAGATGAATGTAGAGAAGTACTCAATACCCGGGAGGTGCCGCGGTCTGGGTGTACTGTGTAAGTCGCAGGGACTAGACTAGTCTTTTCCCCCAATTCATTCAGGAAACCCACCTAGATTTGCGCAAACCCCACAGCGTGCCTGGAATTGGGAGCTTTGACCATCAAGGTCCACGCCAGCAGGAGCACTGGGCTGAAGTGGGGCTCGCTCTTGCTGCTGTCGTTCATCAACGTCCACCGTGACACGGAAGCTCCGAGTGCTGTAAATGCCAGGGTCGCTTCCTTCATGCCGTGGACTTGCATTTCGACTCTCTGACGATCAACATCCAAATTGCGGATGACCACCAATCTTTAAACTAACCCAACATTCGTTCGGACTTCACAGCATACTAGCATACAACGATGACAACCATGTTTAATGCCCTCAACCGCTTCATATCCCGGCTCGACGGCGATGCGGCCACGTCCAAGGAGAACCAGCCTGGCGGATTTGGCTTCCAAGTGCTGCGAAACACCAACCCAGACCTGGCCATTGAGCCATGGTTTGACTTTGTCGTTGGAATCAACGGGCGCATGATTGTATGTTCGAAACCGGTTCATTCCAGAGAGCCACGAGTCTAACAAAGCGCTGCTCTAGGACGACTCTGACCCGAGGCTCTTTGCCCAAGAGGTTCGAAACTGTGCTGGCGGGGTTGTACAGCTGGGACTTTGGAGCGCAAAGGTATATTACTATCATGAGCATGCCAGGTTTTCGATACGCAATGCTGACACCTTTTTTTCTCCTCGACAGGGCCAAAGAACTCGAGCACTCCACATCCCCGTTCCCGCCGACACTGCCTCCCTCGGCCTTACCCTCCAATGGACTGCCCTCTCCGTCGTTACCAACATCTGGCACGTCCTTGACGTTCCCGCCAACTCTCCCGCCGACGTCGCCGGTCTTCTCCCGTACAGCGATTACATCCTAGGCACCCCCGAGGGTGTCCTTCACGGCGAGAGCGGGCTCAGCGAGCTAGTGGAGGACCACATTGACCGGCCCCTGCGTCTTTACATCTACAACAACGAGTACAACGTGACCCGCGAGGTGACCATCCAGCCCAGCCGGGACTGGGGTGGTGAGGGTGCCCTCGGCTGCGTCTTAGGCTACGGCGCTCTGCACCGGCTGCCAGCGCCCTTGAGCGAGCCTGTGCACGCCCCCGGTGAGACCATGTTCGACGGCGACTCGGAGCAGTACGGACACGTCGGACAGCAGCAACAGTATCAACAACAACCCCAGTACGGATACAACCCGAGCGCACCACCAGCAGCTAGCCAATTCGCCCCCGCCACTGCGACTTTCTCTCCGCCACCACCCGTCGGCGGTGGTGAGTTCCTCATACCAGCGCAGATGGTCGGCACACCACCACCCCCAGCAACACAGTTTGGCGGCGCGGTCGCTTCTGCTCCGCCTAGGGGGAAGAAGAAGGAGAGACCGGCGAATAGGGGAGGGTTGGGCTCGATGGATGATTACTTCAAGGAGCAGGAGAAGAAGAGTAGGGAACTGGATAATGCTCCTAGCAGGAAGAACACACCAGTACCGCCGCCGCCAATGGGAGGTCCTCCCAAGGGTGGGCCGCCCAAGACAGTGTCGTCGCCGCCGCCTGGCAGTGCGCAAGGCGAAGATACGGCTGACCGAGGCGAGAGCTAGTGGCTTAATGTGGAGTATTGGGAGAAGTTTTAGTCTAGGAGTTTGTGGACGACACCTGGGATATGATGATTACAGATACCCAGGGATGGGACTTGGTGACTGTCTTTGACAATGGCGGTGGACTTTCCGTCCAGTACTTGGCTTTGGGAACTTGCGGGCATTGAATTTCGTTGAAGAATCCCGTCACCTGGCGTCGTGACAGGCCTGAAGTTGGTGAGGTTATGATAGGACCCCTCACGGTAGTATACTTTACACTAGTGTGATCATTTTCAGCGAGTGGGAGAAGGAAGTGGAATAATCCAGCTTGAAGCATCATTTGTACATACTATAAATCGAAAAGAAGAAAGGTATAATAAATGCCAACCTGTTTCAAGTTACCCTCCCGCCTTTATTTTGTCTTCTGCTGGCTCCTTTAAGATCTTGGACGGTTCTGTTCTTGCTTGCTTGCTTGCTTGATCACTTGCTTGCTTGCTTGCTTCCTTCATGTTCCCGTCTTTCAATCATTTCCCACTCATTTACCTGGATCTCGTTATCAACCCCTGAATCGCAGGACAATCCTCCACATCCCCGCTGGTGCACTTTTGACCCCTCGCTCATTCGCTCGCTCATCCTTGATTGGTTTCTGTTCTAGTTGATAAAGTTGACGCAGAAGAAATGCAGAATCAAACTACAGACCAGGTAATCGGCAAAGGCTCTATAACCGAGACAAAGTAAGTCAAAGTTAGCACAGCTATCCCACCAACACTCACTAACCCGGACATTCCTCCTGCAAGGAACCCGCATTTCACGTACCGTTCAGGCGACACCGAAGGGAAATCACTCTTGTTCGCCTCGCTTGTCTGGATCCGTAGCGAGGCCGTCAGGACGAATTGGCCGACTGTTGCTGAGAAGCCGGAGAGGAAGGCGTTGAAGGGCTGTTGTGAGACGACGACCATTAGTCAGCCAACGCTTGCTTCTCTTCTACTGATGTTTCTTGCGTGTCTGTCTTTTGGCTTTCGATCCACCATTGAAGTTGTTCGGGAAGGGGGGGGGGGGGGGGGGGATGGATCAGTTGGGTTGGGACGGATGGTGAGAACCCTCGGGAGGCGGCGAAGAACGACGTACATAATTGCCAGCCAAAACACAATATAAAAACTGTAACCCGCCCACTACCACCAAGAATGCCATGAAGGCATCAAGCAGCTTGGTCCGCTGCGGCGTTGTGTCCTGGTAGTGTCTCAAAAGGTTGCTGAAGACTTTGTTCCATGCTTGTCCCCCCGCCGCCGCCGTCTTGTCAATGTTGCTGCTGCTCTTGCTAGTAGTCCCACTGGCTTTTGTGGTAGAGGTGGTAGTGGTGGTCGTGGGCTCAATCTGAGTGCTGGTAGCAAAGGCATTGGTTGTCGTGGCAATGGGAGGAGCGGAATCTTTGGGTTGGACTTTGGTTGTGACTGTTGCTGATGGTGTCGTCGAGGATGCTGAAGGGGTGGGGGAGACGCCGCGGGCGGCCGCGTTCTTGCGCTTTCCACCCATTGTGTCGGATTGTTATGATTGTTTGGGGATTATGGAACGTTGCGATTGATTTGTGTCTCTGCGCTGTTGCTAGCAGGTGGTGTTGGTTCGAGATGGTCAATTCGAAAATTCGTTGTCGCGATGTTGTTGAAGCTGTAATGGTGTTGGTTTGTGTAGGTACCTTGACGGGAGCTTCCGATTCCACACACTGCTCGCTGTGTCCAGTCGCTAAAACGGCCACGAAGCTTCATCTGGCTGTCATCATCGGGGACAGGGGTACAATACAGTACTTCCGAACGATGGTCGCACACGCCGCAATGCTTGTGTTTGTTGAACACTGTGGGGAGATGTCAATTGGAGCTGGCGCACGGGCCAGGCGGCATGGGTGGGGAGAGAAGGGATTGGATGGAACTATGGAATTGGGGACCTGTTTCCAAGCCGATGGAGCGCTCCCATGCCATGCATAGGTCGTGGAGAATTGGTGTCGAGAGTGGAGCAGGCCTGCGCCTTGCTTGTTCAACTTCACTTCTCTGCAGAACAACATCCTATGACTGATCACTGCGTAAATAAGCTCGAGTTTTTGATGTGATTTGGTGTGATCTGGCTCAGAATCAATCACGGGTATTGAAGTTATAGTCTTCCTCCCTTCTACTCACCCGGTTCTTGAATCTCGCGCACTTCTGCCGTCCAGATTCTCAACCTTCCGATTGGGGACCCTTTGTTGACTTACACCCCCCCGGTGACGACATCCACTCACAACTCACCACTATCCCTTACCATACACCACAACTATAAACATACGTACAATTATGGCCTCCATACTTGAGGTGTGTTATCTCCTCACCAGATACTTATACCAGAGTCTCAGGAATAGCTAACGAAAATACAACAACACCCAGGCCCTCCAGCCCCACCCAGAAGACCATCTCCACCTCCGTCTTCACCGAGCCCGCTCCGTCATTCTCACCAGTCAAGAGTACTATTTTCCCTCCCCTTAGGTCTCCCCGCCCTCTTCCCATTTCTACCCACCCCTTTTCAGTCGGCCAGTCAGTCCACCAGATTTATTAACAGTTAGGTCCCAGACTGGTTGAAATCCGCGCCGCCCAACGGACCTTTGAAGGCGCCTACATGCGCACCGCCCTCTCACAATTCTCCTTTGCGCTCATCATCCTCAAGATCTTCACATCGGAATTCTACCCCATCGGCGCTTTGTTCGCCGTATACGGAGCTGCGGTCATGTTGGTGGCAATCTATCGGCGATATGAAGGAAATCGACAATTTTTTGATCAGGAGGTTGAGGAGGACTTGGATAACGACGAACGTCATGGGGCCGGGACAGCGACAGCGACAGGCTTTGATGGACAGATGCGACAGGGCGATGAACTGGTAGTTGATGGAATGGGAGGAGGAGGACAACGGTTGGAAAGGAGAAAGACGGTCATGGTAGTCAAGAAAAAGTTTAGGACCAGCACGAATAGTGTGGCGTTGTTGACGGGGTTGAGTTTTGCGGCGTATGTGACGTTGATGGTGTTGTTGTGGGATTTGAGTCGATAAGATTAGGCTACGCCGGGTGGAAAAGCTTTCCTTGGATCACTTTGTTTCCCTTGTGTCTTGCGAGTGATTTCACGCAAGTATATATAGCATTCACATGGCAATTTCTATTTGGACTAAGAGTTCATGTACATTAATTATTCCGTGTGCATCTCTGCGGCAAGTCTCAAACGCGAAGCAAGTATGGTATCAGATTCCACTGAAATGATCATGGGGATAATCCTTCTAGAGCAATGAAAAAATACCCATGAAAATGCCCGTTAATTACGTCGAACCAAAACATAGATAAGTACAAAGCAAGAAGCAAAAAAGGCAAGAAGAAAGTTGTAAAGCCAAACAAAAAGATATATAGGCCAACAATGAATCCAGCTATAATCCGTGTACCGCTGCAAATTTTGTTTCCCGTCCCAGTCGCTGATCATAATATAAAAAAAAAAAAGAACCAAAAGGAAGTTTATCGCCCTGTTAGATTTACCAGGAGAGATAAAGAGAGAGAGAGAGAAAAGGAAAAAAAAAAAAAAAAAAAAAAATCAACAAAATAACAATAACAAATTCTGAAGAAAAGAAGAAAGTATTATCAAGTAACGGACGAACAAGACGCCAATGGCAACATCGCCACGTAAGCAGCGCTTCTCCAAATTGCTGCTCTTCTCTTTTCACCAAGCCGTCAGGTCGTTCGCGCCGTTCCGTGTGTCTATCCCGTCCCGATTCCGTAAAAAATTCTCCGAGAAATATGGTCAAGTGTGAAGCAGTGGTAGAGGTCCATCCAGAAACTGTACCCGAGTCCTTGAACCAATGTCTGAAGTCTCCTCTTGCTTGGTCATTCCCTCTTTTCCGATTTGAGGACCTTAGATAAACGGTAACCCTTGTACGCACATTGAGTCGCATGACCAGCCAAGCCCACTGCAATTTGACGATGGTGGTTTCATGGCGGTTGTACTAGTCAAAAACTCGATCTCATCATAACAAGAGTGGGTAACCTTGTAAGATATCATCACGTCTCGACCTGTCTAATGTGATGCATCTCGTGCCGCAATAACCCCATTCGATGTCACTGGGCACTCGGTTTCCCGATTCTCTCTCATGCATCTGAGAGTTCGGGGGAGGCAAGCCTTTTGATTAGTGGGGGTTGACTGAGAACCTTTGTCGAGTACCACAGGGGAACGTCTTCAGCCGAGCCGCATTCTCTCCGCAAAACCGCCATTCTGCAGCCAGAAAGGTAGAAAGCGGATAACATCAATTGGTGGCCGTAAAATAGAGGTCTCGACTTTCCAGAACCCGATAGCCCTCAGAAGATGTCTAGCGGCCAAATTCAACCAAGCTTGAACTCAAAGTTGAGTTTAACTCTTTAATGCATCGACTTGCCTGCCATCGCACTTGAACATGTCGTGGCCCGAATAGCGAGCCTTTTTGAGTGGGACTTCAACCCCTACATCCCATGGCCCTGCTGGTCTCCTCCTTCCCCATACCACGCAGAATAGCCTTCAGCAGACTTGGAATACTGATAAGGTTGCTGCCACGACGCATAACCGGTCGGGGGAACAGCTCCAGCTGAGACGGCCGGATGGGGATCCTGACTTGTTCCCGAGACGGTATCAATTCCAGGCATGATATTGGCAATTGGGGAAGGATAGATATCACTGGAAATGGCAGACGACTTGCGATCGTAAGGGCGACCGCCACCGCCCGTTTGTGAGGCTGGGGGATATTGCTGGCTGGCTATGCCCTCACCGCCGCCGCCAAAAGACATGGAGCGAGAGGAAGGGACGGGGTAACCGGATGATGACCATGCTAACTCATTCTGCGAGGATTCGGAGCCCATGGATGCTGCTGACCAAGTGGCTGATTGGGGAGCGTGCGGCGTGTAGGGGGGGAAGGCGGGGGTGATAGGGGATTCACTCGTGTAGGATCTCCAATTCGGGTTTATATCGTTCGGTTTGGAAGTATTCGGACCGGCGTCATGGGAAATCCAGTTGGCCATGCCATGATGGCCAAATTCGTAGGATCTAGTGCTTGTGGCAATTGGGGGAACTGTAAACTTTGTCAGTAAAATCCACACCATGTCTGTTTGGGTTTTGACCTACTCTTGGGATCTGGGGTGTACTCTTCCCTACCCGAAGGCTTCATGGGGGGTGGCATGTTCGTGATTGATGCTAATGACAAATGCGGATAACTTGAATGACTGTGAACTTCTGAGAGGGCCCCGCTCTGTATCGCCGGTGATGAAGATGTGGACGTGATCTTAGGCCCAGTAGAAGACCGTTGTGCCGACTTTTGTCGGGTTTCTTGCGAGGGTTGTTGGTCCACTGGGTAGAAGGTGCATTCTTTCTTCAGGCGAATGCAGTTGACACATCGAGCCTGTATGTCGTTCTGGGATGGAATACACCTAATCTTCCTGCGACGGCAATGTCCTGCATTTACGGTCAGTGCACACGCAATAGTTACTTTGGTCTTGACTAGAACTTACCGCATGCCACAGAGGTCCGATGATACCCTAGTTTGTTCCTTCTTTTCTCTCCCGAAAGCAGACCTTGGTCGGGCGTCGTTGGATCTCGCGGGGTGGGCGGCGGTTGACTTGTTTGTGATGCAGACATTGAACGCTTCGACTTCGTCGCAAACGGATAAGAGTCCGATCGATCTCTGCCCATATCTGGGCTGTGCCTAAGATCCATCCCTGAGGACCCTGGAGGCGGAACGGCATAAGGCAGGTACCCGGAATGTTGGATATCCATATCTGTGCCGTTCTGTGACGGTGGCGGAGGATACTGAAATGACATCGTGTCTGTCATAGGTACTGACAACACGGCAGGATATATAGCGGAGTTGCCAGATAGCCAGCCTTCAACTATGGATTTAATAAGGGGCAAATGGGCGGTTTTTATCAAACAATCCTGCTCTGAGTCGTTCTACTAGCTGAACGGCGTACTTCAGGGTTGCCGCACGTTTCAGCATCAAATAAACGAGAGATGGCGGGAGGCGGGTAATGACCGGAATTGCGGATGTAGTGGTCGATCGTGACCGAATACTGTAGCTCTTCAATGATCGGTGCTGATTCTCCGTGTCTGGGGTAAGGGTATCTATGTGCAAATGCCTTGAGGAGAGGAATATGGTTAGCGGGTGGCCTGAGATGCCAAATTTTGGGCCATGGGTCAAAGCCAGTGGAAAAGAGATAAGCATAAACTAATGAAGGTATTGAATATATGAAAGGGGAGTGCAAGAAATACCTCTATGAATAATCAGAGTTGATGAGCCGGAGAACATGTAGCGAGTAGGCGGGCCAATGAAGATGGCAAATTATTTGGTACTTCCGGAATAAGAGGACCAAAGCAATATGAGCGGCGTTGGACACACCCTTTTTCTGATTCTAGTTGGGCTGAAGAGCAGTGGCAGCGGCAACTCTCTGAGCGGTGTTGATGCAAGGTGTCGACGCAGCAACAAGGAGTCGGGCTATATTCGATGTTGGATATGGCTACACCTAGATATGAGCTTGTGCCAACGGGAGGTGGAAGCATATCAGTGATCTGATGCGTCTACCTACCTTTAGGTATACTAGGGAAATGCGGGTACTATCTGGGGAAGCCGACGCCTGCTGACTGCAGTTGAGGTTCAGGGAGTTTTTCCACCGTGCTGAAATGCACAAGCAAGGAGGTGCTTGGTCTGAAACCGGAGCCCCAAGATATCCCGTTGGTTGGGTTAAAGGCTTCACACCCCTGATGTGATAGTCTGTGTATATCGATGGAATATATTCATGTCCTAGCGAAAATATGGTCAGTAGCCAAGGTAACAGATTCCGTCGCCACCGTTTGCGGACATTTCCCACCAGCTGGCGCTGGATGTTGTTTTAGAAGTTGCAATTCCGCGCTTCCAGGTTTTAGCAGAGTCGAAGAAAGAACTATTAGCCGCACGTATGATGGACGAGCGTATAGTGCTTGTGCGTTAAGATACTGCAATCGATGATGCCCAGCTGCAACTTGCAAGGGGAAACGGTCGAATCTGGCTGAGTGAGGGAGGGTTCCGGCAGGCTATGAGGCGTCGGCCACTTGCATATGTCAAAGGAGCCGCGCCAAGTTGAGCAATACTGGGATCTAGGCAGCTTCGTCGGCTAATCTGGTGTCGACTGCACAAGTGATTTCGCAGTGGTGATCAGGAAGTACTTAAAAGCTGGGGCGCACTCAGCTTCAGCTAGATATCTGCTGATACCATACCACGAGAGGTGCAACTCGCTGATCCTGGGAAAACGCACGAGCGATAAGCCGTGAGAAGGTCTTGATCATTCAGCTTGATCGATTTCAAGCCGCTTTTCGTCGACTGAGGGGAATATCAACCCTGCTTGATCAAAGCAACCAACTGAGGACGATGCGGGAGTGATATAACAGCATCTACGCCACACAACACTGCTGGTTGCAGATTTGATGGTAGGCCGGGGTAAGCGACAGCTGGTATATAGGTGGAATTGCTGATATGAAAAAGTATCGACGATCGACGAGCCCTGGCAGGCGCTTTCAAAAGTTGGATACGATTGGGAGATTAAAGGTGGTGTTGTGGTCTTTACGCTCTGCACTTTCCTTTCTTTTTCTTGACTGCTTCGTGGTTTTTGCCCGACTGCAGCGGCTGTTGAGATTTTGATTTGTAGGATTTTTGCAGCGAATGAGCTCTCGTAGCCAGATGCTGATCGGGAAAAGGCGTCTAAGGCTGAACGCTTATGGTTGATTGCTGATCAAGTGGTCGTTGAGGCTGGTGCTCGTTATAATAACTCAATCGTTTGAGGTCGTCATAGGTCCGAGTGAATGTGTAAGGTTTGAAGGTAGGCTAGGTTTTTTGGGGGGAAAAAAAGACGGACTTGACTTAAGATGAAATGAAACGACCACGCGTTGACCAAGTAGTGTAAGTAATGCAGCTTCATGCATCGAGATTGGTTGAAGAATGAGGGAGTGTTGGGGTGTAAAGAACAAGGCAACGTAGGCCGAAACCTCAAAGTAAAATATGATGCAAGAAGGAGTGGCGAGACTGGGCAAAGAGACGACGCACAAGGGCAACGGGACAGAAAGGTCACATCAATTAATGGCCATGGAACATATTAAAAGCTCTTGTTCTTCTCTCAAATCTCTTTGTCCCCCTGGACCCCTCCGATCTTCGCACAGTCATTCTGCCACTGGCAACGTAAAAGGAAATGGGCAAGGAAAGGTGCACTGCACTGCAAGTGTGAATGCTGTTGGGGCTGGAGCATGCCAGACAATGAAGCACCCGGACATGGAAGGAACCCAAAAATGTCTTCAGGCAATCATAATTCAAGGGCAGAAATTGAGGAAGGAACCCGAAGTTTGTATCCTCAAACGGTTTCAAGGGCATGTTCCAGCCAAAAGTTCGGGTGCTCGGTCAACTCGACATGCCTGTGACTTTGATATCAGTTACTGCTAGCTTTCGGTGTCATGAAGTAAAAGTAAATTGAAGGCAATGGTCCGTCTAGACCTACGGGTCTTCCCACCCCATGTCCTCGCATGACGGTGGATGGGATGCTCTTTCAAAAGCGGTCTGAACCACAATACTTACCTTGGAGCGGCGGAGGCTGCCTTCGTCTTTGCCCACTTCCCTTTGAACAGTGCTAAAGGCTGAAGCACCACACTGAACCCCCCCTGATCAGCCATCGGGCCTTTCGGAAGGAAAAACTCTATTTCCTTCCATTGCTTCCACTGCTAACTTCATCAACCGACCGGGACTTCCCAGACTCCGGTTGTTGTTTCGAGGGATGCAGCACCTCTACCGAGCACCATGGTAGGCTGCACTCAACATCGATGCCACATTGGTGGACTCAATGATGTTTGGCAAGAAGTTTGTACATGCATGAGGTACCCTTCCTATGGTCGACAGCCATCCCCCAATGTCAGTCTTGTATCCCTGCGCGCGCATGTAAGTACCTGTACGCAGCTGCTCGGGACTGCAAGGTACCTGAGAACCCAGACTTGGTACTTGGTGTCTCAGGCACAGTAGGAGATGCTTGGTCGGTTGTACTTGGCTAGACCCCTTTCCTGCGTATATCACTGGAATGATTTGACCAAAGTGTTGTTGCCTTCTGCCCCTCTCTCCACTTATCGAAGCTTCTTTGTTGCCACTAGGCCGGGCCAAAAGAAGACGCTGAGATGACATGCATACCTAGGATGCTTTAGTGTAGTGCAGCTTTGTACCCTTGTTGACCGCGGTCAGGATCATGCGCGAAAGTGGCATCCAGCGGGAAGGGTAGGGTCCCTCGTGAACAGGATCGGATCTTGGAGTCCTGAGATTTCGACATTGGAAGATGATCATATGGGGAAAGCTTGTGATGCTGTGTTGATGCTGTCGGGTCTCTCATGATGAGACCCAAGTAAGGACCAGCAAGGAACCGAGAGCCTGTGAATAGTGGCCACGAACGTTTCGTAGTGGATGCCTGCGCGAGGCCTGCGTGTCGGAGCCTGACCTCGGTTCTTTGTTGAACAGTCGGAGTAGCTACAAGGACATTGTCCAAAAAGGTTTATCGTGGACTTTGTGTCGAAAAATGCGCCGCTGCCAGGCTCAAAAAGCCCGCTTTTATCCCTGGCAGGTCCGTGCAAATAAATATCAAGGATCACACACCTGTGACTGTCATGATAGGTTGAGGACTGTCTGATCCCTGGGATCAGTCCCGTTTGGAGTCAAGCGTCTGGTAAAAGCCACACCACTTGTAAGGATGCCAAGAATGCGTAACCCCCCTCATCCGTCATCCTTGGCCTCGTTGTTGCAGTTGGAGGTGTCCTTCGTTCGGGAAGGGATTATTCGATTCTTTCACTAGTCAACCAAAGCGTCATGCTTGTGGCTTCGTTAATCGTCAACTTGCACCCATCTCGTATTATGCCGAGGTTGATTTGCGCCGGGACGGATATCAGTCTGGCTATTCTCTGTCTGGAGGGGACACGATCCGTCGGGGAAATGCCATGCTGGGCCGAAGTTCTTATCAGGGGCTTGTTGATCCTTAGCAAAGTGGCAGAAGAAATTTACCATGGTACCTGATGCGCTTTTTCGATTAGTACTTTCATACATGTGTCTTTTTTAGCCCGGGCCAGACTGTTAACGAGTGTCAGAAAGGTCGACTGTACCTTGCATCAGCTAGTTGAAAGGGTGAAGACATATTTGTGTCTGCCGTAGCAACAGTATGGGGCCTGGTATCCGGAAGAGACGATGATAACAGCCAATGTCGCAGCTTTTCCGGATTGCTCTCTTCCTCTCCTCTTTCATGGACCGGTTGCTCCAGCTGCAGTGCGACACAGGACTGTAGCTGCGATATTGGCTATCTGGCACTTGCGCAGTGATATGGCAGATGCTGCTATCGCTGAACAAGACTCAAGCTGGTATAATGCTGACTAATATATAGCGCTACTGGGTCGCATTGGGAGCCATGGAAGCCTCCCTGCGATCATGTAACACTATATGGGCCGCATCCCCGAAGGGTCGTCTTGATGGGCGCCTGGGGGACAATGTTGCGAGATTGAAGTTTTCCAGACCAGGTCTAGAAGCTGTTGCTGCTGAGCAAGCGGGTGTGGCCTATATCGTCGGAGGCTTGGACTAAGAGACCGGTGAGCGACATCACGCTATCTTTCAAGCAGAGTCCATGACTTGGGCAGTAATGCTTAACCTCAACGCTCAGCATACCCGATATCAATCCCAGCCTCTCAGTCTGTGTAACAAGCTTTTGCATCCTGGAAAACCCGTCAACCAACGGTCCCAGCAAAGAGATATGTCGATGCTTGGTAGGCTACCAGACAGTGTCAGGACGGGGGAAATGGAAGCCCAAACTCCATGATGACGTTTCGTTACTGCGTACCTCTAGTCTAGGGATCTGGGGATGTCTCTGTTCTGACATGTGGGCATATGGATCAGCCCGGATCTCGCAATATGTACCAGCGCGCTTGTTGCAAGCAGTGTGTCGATGGGAGATTGATCGTCGCCAGGGTCCGATTGACAGCCAATCATCCATGTGTCGGTCGGGGACAATGGCTGCTTGGATGTGCTGGTTTAAATGACGTGCGAAAAGGGCCGGTCTGAGTGTCGTTCCGTAGTGTACAGCGCAACCGGACAGCCGCCCATGTTCTATTGCCAGGATTCGTAATAGTGGTGGGTGACTCGGAATTACGCTGCCGAAGCATGTACAGCTGAAGCGATCGATGACTTCACTATTCATACAGGATTGAAGAGAGAAATCCCCTCAGAGAAGTAAAGTCGGAAACCGCCTGGTCGCGGTGTTCCTGCTGGCTCAGTGCAGTCTGCCTGCCGCCGGCAAAGCACGTACCCAGCTGCAGGAAAAGAAACGAACGGCCAACAATGAACAAGTAAGAGCTAGGTGCAAGTGCGCTCATTCAAAGGTGTAGAATAACAGTCAAGGTGGAGATTAGATTGCTAGGGCATCCTGCTTCCACTTGGTTGCAGCTTTTCTTTGCACCTGCCCTGTGCGATTTCTTGACTCCGGCCCGAATCGGACATGGAATGGACGAACTACTCCCGTACTTTCCCTCCCTGACTTCTCGACAATTTCCCTTCATCCCAATTTTCCAAACTTTCACAGCAATGGCTCAATACCTAGGTAGCGAGGTGCTCCTGCCTCGGGGAGTCAAGACCGCCACCCCGACAGGCGAATGAATTGGATGCCGGTGTGACGCAATGTCGCTGAGGTGGTGAAGTCCAGAATTCGATGTGGGGTGACATCCAACGAGGACACTCAACCCTCAAGCCTCGAAATAAGTTCTACTGGCTAAATCAACTATCGCTACAGTATCTTCCGTTGGGAACGAACATTTCTGCATTGCTGCTACCCATCAGCTCTGTAAGGGCACAGTTAACATGCACACAGGATTGACTAGAGGTAGGTATACCCTCGTATGCAGGGCGAGCTCGACATGGCCGGCACGACAGTGAGACAACCAAAACACTTGATTACCTCTATACTAGTCACATCTAGATATGTACATCCACATCCACATCCACATCAGCACAACAGCAGGCGACGGGTAATCCACCGAATCCTCCCGCAAAACGTGACCCTGTAACGGCTATCGTGACGCTACACAGCCTGTCCCGCTCAGCCCTAGCTGTGTCGATGAGGGCGGCACGCTTAGCTTTGTCCACTTGCCGCTGCGGCTGGTTGCCATCTCCGGTACTTGCGAACATTAGACGCTCTTGCGCGCTTGTGGCCGTTAGAAAAAAATAGATGTGATGAGCCTCGCTGATAGTGACGACAGCTCTAGGACCTGATGTTGGTGATATCTTCAAACGAAAGTACCATCGACCGCCTCTGGCTATGGTCAGATCTCGTAAATCCACTCACTTTGGTCCTTGGGCATTTGAGCGGTTTCCTGCACGGCCATACAGACGCTTCCATATCGTCGGCTTTTCGGTTCACCTTCCTCCAGCGTGTGGCAGACGAGCCTTGGCAATGACAAGGGTTTGCTCACGACTTTGACACGTATGTTTTCCTCTCCCATTTCTTCCTCGCACATTATCCAGTAACCGGCAACCAAGCGCTGCATTTCCGATCAAGCGAACCTTCTACAGTCCAAGATCCCAGCAATACACTTTCCGATAAACATTTCGGAACCATGCAGCTACATGTGTCTAGCCACGGCCATGGATGTCTAGCGGCGTCCTGGTTTGATTACACCATCTTGTCACTGGAACAACAATACTAATACATTCTCCCTTTAGCCAAAATACCCTTATACATGCTCACAGCCATACATTTTCATGGTGCTTAGGCCATAAACTGCCTCTGCAAAGCTGGTGGATGGTCCGTCTAATAGCGCGGGCATTGACTTTGCGCAGGTCAATATCGTATTTAATCTACCTCTGCGCTGACGATGGTCGCCGTTCCGGCAGCAAATGCCAAAGATTGGAATCTTGCGTCATGAGGAGCATACCTGGCGCATTTCGAAAGAATTACCAATGTACAAACCTCTTTTCGAGCTAATCCGAGCTAGTATGCTTCTGATACCGAATGGCGCGACAACCCCCGGGGCTTGTTGATACTCTCCGAGGCTTTGCAGCAACAAAGCACGAGAGTGGTCGAGCTTCTTATCCGTCGACTTCCATTCCACAGCCCCTACATCCTGAGTCTGGCTTTCTAGAATCCTTCCCTTTTTATGCCGGAAATTCGTCCTACGATTGCAGCAGAGCTAACAGGAATTGCGGCGACAACAGCGAACTAACAATCCGCTTCCACTTGCCTCAAACTTGTTACATCGCATGTTGCCTTCGCGTCTCCTGGGCCATTAGATGAAACGCTACCTGCCCTGGAAGCTGTCCCTGCCCTACGATGCAATCCTTTGTCGATAGACACAACCAAAGCCGGGGCACCAAGATGACAGTCTAACACAGTATCTGACGAGCCCACTACAACTCATACCACTGCACTGTACACATCAGTCCTGAAAAGTTTGTTAGCGGCATACACGCCCCACATCCTTTTATAAGGGGGTAACAGGGGGGGTTGCAGGGCGGGATTAATCTATCTACGCATTCTAATTAGTTAAAACTACCTAATTTCAAGGTGAGAAAGAGGGATTCAAGCTGCCACACACAAACCTCGTCAATCCCCCTTATATTAGCTCAGAATTACTAGAATTACCCAGAACCCCCCCTCACTACCTTCTATAATCGGAAAAATTACAATACATTTACAGGGCACTCCAATATATTTAACCAATCAGATTTTAGGATTATTCGCTAGAATAACTAGTAAATTAACGATTTTCTAAAAATTATAATTCTAACTAAAAGCACACAGATTACCCAGATTACTTAGATGGATTTAAAAAGTGGTATAAATATTAAATTTCGACTAGAATCAACGAAATCTGAAACTTCAAAGTACATATTTACTTCGCGCACATACTACCCTCTAGCCCGTACACAGGCAAACACCAGTAATCAACTAGTAATTAACTAATTAATTATATATAACCCTCTCTTTTAAATCTATTCTTTCATATACAACCCTCTTTTACCTATACTCTTTCAAATCCACTTTTTCACCCTCTCATACCCACTTTTTATTTATCTTACTAATTATCCTTAATTTTAATACTTTATTAATTCCCTTAAATTCTTAACCCCCTTTAATAATAGGATGAATATTATAAATTGGATTATAATACTAATTACAATAACGAAGAGAGCTTTGTTTATATTAGCGAATTAGATTATAGTTACAACGAATACGGTACCGAAGTAGGGAGCCCGCTGTACAATCTAGAAATTCTCCCTTTTACCCTACTATAATACACTACTACGGCCATACTTAATTAGTACTTCTACCTTCTAAATTATTATTATACGTTATTTATTACTAACTATTATCCTTAGTACTTCGCTTACAATTATCTTCGCTTAAATTCGAAGGTCCTACTCCACTTTAATTATAATACGCCCGCAATACCCATAATACTTACACACTACTATCGTTATTACCGTAAAACCCTCTATTATTACTTTCGCCCAGCGTTAATACTTTATTAATTAACTCCGCCGAATTATCCTTTACTTCTCAATTATCCCCCCCTAAAAAGAAGGTAGTACCAACTACGTATAAGGAGCGCATTATTTATAAAGTACTTCATACGTATATAAAGATAGATTATAAGGATATTACTACTACCCTTAACTTTACTATCCGGTAAGTATAATATACCTATTTCTATAAGGCTATACTTTATTACTATACCGGGGGTAAATTTCTTACGGTTCCGCCAACCTTAATTTATATTCTTTTTCAATATATAAATACGCTTATAAAATCGAAGAAGTTCTTATTATAGGAGGAATTAGGAAGGCGTATCCCCGAATTTAACTAATACAACCGTCATACTATATAGGCCGTAATAAAACTTCAAGAAATCCGTTGTATTAAATAACCAATTCGCCTCCCGCTTAATATAATAATCCATTATACCCGCCTATAATTTACTTTATAATAGGCTAGCCTTACCCTATTCGAATAGGAGACCTAGATTTAATTTAATAAAATATAGGTAAATAGTATTAATAAAGGTCGCCATTTCGTTACTATATTTAAAGGCGAAAATCCCAATAACTTTACTAGAATTAAGTAGAGAGCTTACGGGTAAATATACTAAATTTACTTTACTAGTACAATAAAGGGTACTACCCTATTTTAGAACTATAAAAATTAGGGTATAATTACTAATAAATCTTATTAAGCCTATATCCTTCCTCTCCTATACTAATTCTAACAGTAAAACCCGAATTTCATTATTATATAGGATAACGCCCCCTTTTACAATTTAAAAGTAACAAGGGTATTTATAGCTTAGACCTTCAATAGCGCTAAATTCGTAGTATAGCTACTACACTCACCAAATCTTAACCTAATTGAAAATATATAGTATTGGATAAAGAATTAGATTGAACGTAATTACCTAATCCGGCCAATTAGACTTACCCTCAAATCTACAATTGAATAAGTATAGGAAGCAATACTAATTAACTACCTTCGTCGGTTAGTATACTCGATGCCTAGAAGAATGCAAGCGGTTATTATAGCGAATAGTGGATATATTGGATTTTGAGCGAGGTAACGGATACGAACCGGTACTCGGAAACCCTGGTTTTTAGTATAGTAAATTGACTGATTCTCCGTAACTCCTTTCTCCCTGTTCGAAATTCCTGGGCTCCACATGTGCAATTCTATTGGATTTATTCCCTGTCACCCCCCTTGTCATTCCCCTGTCAAAATCCCCTGTAAGTACCGAGCTAACGAACTTACCAGGGCTGATGTGTATGTATGTCCTATAATCAGGCTATCATGGGATACTTTGCACAACCAGCATAAATTCTGGCTGATGATGACTGAATGGGTGAGAGTCATAAGAAGGAGGTCCACACAATCTACTACTCTGAGTAGTCTTGACGATAGAGCTAACATGCTCGAGATAGCAGCCACACTGAACGCCTCATCATTCAACAGCTACGGAAACTGTAACTAGGCAGTCAGGTTTCAACCTCTCTCGGTCCCGAACTTCCTTTTGGTTGCTTTGTAGTCGTCAACCAACTATAGATGCGTAACACCGGGGCAAACACATTCCGTAGAACCCTCAAAGAACCTGCGAACTTGCGAATGGGATCATAGATTATCTCCATTGCAGCATTTCATGCGAACCACGATTCGCCCTGGGACATGGCAACAACAATACTGCGTCAACAGGGAGTAGTGGGCTGGTCCGGGGCTACCTACGAGTTCTCGAAGGGAGAAGTATGATTAGACGTAGAAGTTGATTGTCAAACGCCGCCGACAGTGTCAACTTTGCCCAGAAGATCCAATTTCCGTTTGACAAGAACCGCACCAGTAAACCCCCCCCCCCAACAGAGTTGTAAGTCTTGTTCCCTTCCCAATGATTTCACTTAGTAAATTTGTTCTTTGTCACTCGCCTCAGTCTGGGTTTGGGGCTTGGGTAGGGGATGAATGCAGACTGATGGCCGACCCCTGAGCAACGCCATCGCAATCCCGTTCAAATACTAGCAAGAGACGGGAGGATGCGAAGATATCCTCCGGTTATGCAATGCCGTGGTGACCGACAACGATGACATTGACGGCGGAGTTCTAGGCACGGTCTCGGCACCGGTAAAGAACTTGGCCTCGTACTTTGTACAAGAGTTTCTCGACTCTAGTTCATCCTTCTTTCCATTTATCTTTCAATTTTCCCTACTTAACTTTTCTCTTCACCCCTCCCACATTCCAAACCACTAACCTCTCACTGCACCAAAGACAGAATGCACCTACTTCGACGTCTGGAGCCAAGACGGCCCCCTCTGGTGCCTCAAGATGCACGATCTTTTCCATCCCTTCTTCAAGCCTGCACTGGCAACCCCTGACGGACGTGGTGAGCCACTTGTACCATGGGCCACGAAGGCGCCCAAGCACAGTTGAAGGAAAAAATATCAGATACTACAGGTATCTACAGGTATGGCATCACGCAAACTCACGCCCGAATACTAGCAACGCCAGTGCGAGATGCACTTCCCCACGGCCGAGAACGGCGACCATTACGGTGGTACCAAGGGTAAAATGACGATGTTTGACTAAGAGAATGGGTGGCTGGGGAAGGGTGAGAGAGAGAGGAGGATTATTCAATTAATGGGTGAGTTTTCTAACCCTCCCCTACCCAACACAACACTCATATCGTTGTCGGGACAGAAACAAGTGTCGATTTGAAAACACATGGTAATGTACCTCTTGGGTTGCTTGAATATATTGTTCCGGATGATGAGACTTGATGAAGTTGAAAGTGCAAAGCAACAAGTAATTATAAGTAAGCTACCAAGATATTATGTAAATGTCTCCTCAAGGGTGCCAGATCTGCCACTTTTCGACGGCAGTCCTCTCCCAAAGTCAGAGTGTATGACCGCGAACCCTCTGATAAGTGTCCCAACGAATGCGAAAAGAAAAGAAGTGACAAATAAAAGAAACAAAACAAAAGAGAAATGTGTCGCTTTTGGGGACCACCGTGTATGTTACTTGTAAGTACAAGTACATCCTCCAGATACAATTCCCAAATCCAGAGCTCACCAAAGCTCGTCATCTGATCTGCTGATCAATCACTTCCTGAGCGGGCAGCGTCCGCAGCGGACCAGCGGCATCGCCAACGATGGGACCAACCACAGGAGCAGCAGTTTCAACGCTCGGCATCAACAACCTCCTCAATCATCCCTGACCGCACTCTCCACACCCTCGCCAAGAAGCCCAGTCAGATCGACCACAACCCCCAAGTCCAAAACGGGCAACTTCTCACCCCTGGGACCGACAAACCACAAGCAGTTGTCCACGGTAGTCGTGCGATCGACAGTAACGCCCAAGCAATCCCTCAGCGTCAACAGCTCGAGACTAGCGCGGATAGCATCCTTTTCGCAGCGCTGGATGCACTCCTCGATTGCGGAGCTGCCGGAGTTGTCGCCATCGCCGTTGCCGTTGCCGTTGCCATTGCCACCATCAGGTCCGTCAGTGTTGTTGATAGGGATGGTAGTGCTGTTACCACCGGGAAGCGAACCAAGCGAGGTACCGCAGGGCAAAGTGCGGAAGCGAGAGACTTGCGTGGTGGGCAGGTTGGAAGGAGAAGCAGGGCGATTGTCGGCTCCTAGCAGGTTGCTGACGGAATCCAACAGAGAGGAGACGCCGGAGGTGAGGGAGGAGAGGTCGAGGTAGAGCTTGAGGTCGAGGTCAAGCAAGTCGGCGAGGGTGGTGGAGATGGAGAGGAAAGGGGGGAGAGGGCAGGAGGTGGTGGTGGGTGTGGGGAGAGAAGTCCGGATGGCGGTGGTGAGGGTAGTGCGGGTGGTGAGGGTGGTGGTGGAGGAGGGGCTGGGGTTGTTATTGCCGTTGCCCGGTCCATTGTTACCGGAGCCGGGACCGTTATTGCCGTTGCCCGGTCCATTGTTACCGGAGCCGGGACCGTTGTTGCCAGTGCCCGGTCCATTGTTACCGGAGCCGGGACCGTTGTTGCCAGTGCCCGGTCCATTGTTACCGGAGCCGGGACCGTTGTTGCCAGTGCCCGGTCCATTGTTACCGGAGCCGGGACCGTTGTTGCCATTGCCCGGTCCATTGTTACCGGAGCCGGGACCACCGTTTCCGGGACCACCACTGCCAGGACCACCAGGTCCAGAAGGAGGTCCAGTAGGGATAGGCATAGCCGTCACGAGTCCTTCCTCATCGCAAGTGGTAGTGACAGGCCACTGAGCAGATCCACCAGGACCAACAGAACCGCCGGCTCCAGGACCATGAGTATGGTCACCATGAGGAGGAACAGTGACAGTAGGACCAGAGACGGTTACATAGATGGTGGAAGGCTGAACGTCAACCGAGTGAGGCTGGTTGGGGGGGACGCCGATCTCGATGGAGGCGCAGTCGGGGAAGAGAACGGTGAGATCGATGCGGCAGACGTTGTCGGCTGCCGCGAGGACGGAGAGGGAGGGAAGGCGGGGAATGAGGTTCAAAGCCATTTTGAAATGAAATCAAAGGAGTGTTTTGTTGCTGTTGAGTGTCTTTTGTAGAGTGAAGGTAGTGAAGGAAGAGAAGAGGTTGAGAGTGATGAGGAGTAAAAGTCATGTCGATGATGGGCTGCTCATCTAGTGTTATATAGACTTTTGAAGGGTCGCCAGGCGATGAAAGTTTTCGCTCGGTGCGATGTTGTTGAGGCTATCACGCTTTGCTTCTTCTCCATGATCCAGATCTCGCCCTTCGCTTAGGGTATCAAAACAGTCTCCCCTTTCTTTCTTTCTTTTTTTCTTTTTTTCTCTCTTTCTTTTTTTGGGGGGTTCGCAGCCGAGCAACTGGCGGTATGTCTTGAAAGCTCACGGTTTGTCTGGTCAACCATAGTGTACACTAATCTCTGAATGCAGGACGTACATTAGTGCCAGGCGTCGAAATTTGAGGGTGGTTGACTTCGGAGATTTTCTCGCCTAGACAGTGTTGGAAGGAAATAATGGCTTTGTTTTCTCAAGTTCGCATCACGGACGTTCAGTGTTCAGTCTCTTGAGAACAATGAGATGCATACATGTGTCCCTTGATACAGGCCAAAATCCCTGGCAAGCCAAAAGGGGGAATGTCAAGTCTGAGTGTCTCATCGTGTTCTTGATTCCGTGCTTGGAAAGGCAAGTTCCCTAGATTTTGTTATCCAAACGGAATCGTGAGCAAGGAAACGATAAAGGGAGTATGGTATGGTCTGGACACCAAACCACGATAATTTGGGGACCCAAAAGTTCGGTTGGAGAGAGTCAAAACATGCAACTGTCTCATCCCACAAATCACAACGGCTTGGTGACCCGAAAAGTCGGTTGGAGAGAGACAAAACATGCAGCTGTCTCATCCCTACCCGTTGGGGAAGGGGGCCAGGGGTAGGTCAAGGTAGGGTTATATACAAGCATCAACTAGCGCAGCCACGCTCCACGTTGTGGTGTTCCACGGTGCAAGCACACAGGCTGAGACTGCGTTTTGAGAGAGAAAAAAAAAAACCACAAAAAAGGAGGAAAAAAAAGGGAAAAAAAGGGAAAAAATAAGGAAAAAATAAGGAAAAAAATAAGGAAAAAAATAAGGAAAAAAATAAGGAAAAAAAAGGGGAAAAAAAGGGGAAAAAAAAAGGGGGGGGGAAAAAAGGAAAGAAAGAAAGAAAGAGAGCGAATATTTCTCCCATACAATACACTTTCAGAATCCAACTCCTTCCTAGCTTCATAGGTAACTGTGAGTAGCTATCTGCGGAACGGCAAGTCTACACTGACTTCAGATGTTATGGACTTCGCTCTTTCAGAGCAAGTCAATCCTGCCTTGACTGCTTGAATTGGGCGCGACCAAGACAGGAGCTCGTTATGCATACACTAGTTCTCAAGCTCGACTCAAACTTGGTCTAGTTCATCTTCTGATTAGTGTAAGAATGATTATCAGACTGACTTGGAATACCTATTTTCGTATGCCAAGTGCCCAAGTCAGACATCCAATAATAGCTTGGCGGACCGGCCGCTACTAGAAGAGAACCCCAAGGAAGAGTTCGTCCATCAAAGCTACAAGATTCAAGAATTTTCAATCTCGGTCAAATCTCTGGTGATAGCTTGCTTCTTCTTCCTCTGGTCTCTTTATAAGCAAAGTCAAAGGTTCTACCCCCTCCGTGTCAGCATTAGCGAGAACTCAATCACCAAATCTCTCTAGAGACCTCAGCAACTCGGAAAACGTGATTGTAAAAGGAAGTTGAACTTCTTTCTACTTTCAAGATAGTTGACCATGGTAACGACGAGTTGGCACTTTCAGATCCCTTGACTATAGAAACGATAGAGAAAGAAGATCGTGGCTCATTCTCGTGCATCTCTATCATCTTGGTGCCTGCCAGGGTCGAGAAACCGGTCTTGCGGGGCCGTTCAATTCGCGGGGCAGGGAGCCCAGCTACAGCCGCAGTTCGAAAACTCTGGCGATCTCGTTTTTCTTTTTCCTGGCGACCTCTCCCTTGCGCGCTCTCTATGCAACGGCACCACGATCCCGTGAATAGCATCAGCTGCATTTCTCGGCACTAACGCACAGTTAGAAGCTGGTGGTAAGACATGCATGGGCTCAGTGAAGCATCGTAATCTTAAAAATAAACAAAACCTATCAATTGGCCTCCAACACCGTAATGTAGCGCTATGAGATGGGATGACCAAAAATCCCCCATATCGACGGCCAAACCTGTTAGTCTCATGAACAACAAGAAAAACGACATGATGGTACGCTTCAAAAACGTTAAAAAATGCTAAACGGGGGGTTGAGAAGAATGGAAATGTTGAGAAATGCCCAACGCTATTGCCGGCTCTCCGTCGGCCAACATCCTCCTCCTGGAAATGCACAACAGAATTGAATATCCTTTCGACGTTCCCTTGCTCCTACGTATCGTTGAACTGCAGCTTAGACCTCGCCTCACTCGCAAGCAAAACATCGTCACATGTCTTTTGGACATGCTTCTCGTCAGGCTTTGTCGCCTCTGGGTTGTCACCCTATGCAACTCGAGCAGCAGACGGTTTAACTCCTCGCCGTCCGAGCAAAGTGGCGCCATCCAGATTGAGCTCAAATGCACCCTTTTGTCGATTGCGTTCGCGAACCTGTTGTCTGGCGGCAGCCGTGACAGCTGCGGAGTGTTGACCATAGCCCCTTTGTTCAGCGGCCGCTGGGGGTGGGTGAGCCTTCCTCTCGCGGTCCCTACCGCGTTGCTCCTGTTGTTGATCCCTGATTTGGGCATTGCGCATGCTTTGCTCAAGAGATGTATGGTATTGCTTGCCATTCACGACATCATGCATAGCAACATCCTCTCCCTCGTCGGAGTTCTCGTCGAGGCCTACCAGACGAGACACGCCCGCCTTGGCTCCAAGGTTATGACGTCTCTTGCCTTCTTCCTCTTGGCGATGGACGGCATAGCCAACATCAAACACTTCGCGCAAATTGACAGCACCTGGAGAACGGAAGTCATAACGTCTGTCTCCATCCACAATCTTGGATGCATCGAAGGCCCGCAGCACACCGTCTGGGTTCTTCCGCTCGTCTCTTGGCGTAGGACCCGAGCCGGCAATCCAAGGATGCGCGAGGAACTCTGTGATCGTGTAGCGCTTCTCGGGATCGACGCACAGAAGATGCGAGATAAGATCCTGGGCGGATTTGCTGATATCGTCCCACCATGGCGAAAGGAAGGTATACTGGCCCTTGGCAACCTTCTCCGTCAAGACCTCAATGCTCTCATCGTAGAAAGGTGGGAAGCCGCAAAGAAGAGTGTAGAGAACGCAACCCAGCGCCCACATGTCGACGGCCTTGGAGTACCGCTCATCCTTGACGATCTCGGGTGCTGTATACCCGACAGTGCCGCAGGGAGTCATGGTTTGTTTGTCCCAGACGATCTTGGATAAGCCGAAATCGGCTATCTTGATCTGACCAATCCCACCAGAACCTACGCCTTTGATGAACTCGCCCTCGTCAACTTTGTCCTCATCACCTGGCTGCTTGGGTTTCGGGTGCTTCGAGGGGATAAATGGAATGGGGCTGAAGAGGATGTTTTCAGGCTTGATGTCACTGTTCAAGGAGTGAGCAGAGATTCACTAACGATTGGCACGATGATGTGGGTCAACTTACCGATGGACTACACCCTTCTCCTCGTGCAGATACTCCAGAGCCTTTGCAACCTGTGTGATAACGTGCCTGGAGAGATCCTCACTAAAGTACGTCAGACGCACAATCTGGTGGAACAGCTCGCCGCCAGGTGCCAGTTCAAGAATGATGTAGTAGTATTGGCGAGACTCGGCGAAGTCGACAAGCTTGATGATATTGGGATGGTCAAGCTGGCGCATGATTTGCACCTCTTTCAAGATATTGGCTCGCTGTTCACAGTCATTGTTAACTCATCAGAACATGAGTAGGCGGGCACGTCCCTACCCCATTGCTTGATCGGGATAGGGACAGGTCGTCAATAACAAAGCAGTCGAGACATATGAGGAGAGGAGAGTACATTGACGACCAGCAATGGAAATAGACAAAAGAGAAATTTCTCGCACCTCTGCAGCCTTTGGTGCCTTTGGCTTGAAGTCCGGATGGAGATGTTTGTTGCTCTATAGTGAGCCCTGGAGGTTGGTATTGAAACCTTATAAAACGGCAAAGACGAAAGGAAACGAGGATGGCGAATATGAAGAAGAGGGCATCCCCGGTGTGCTGTCACGTACCTGCATGTTATTCATCTCAAACTTGCGAACAACTTTGATGGCTACTTCGCCCGCGTTGCCCTCCAAATCCCGTGCGCGGTAAACGTTGCTGAAGGCACCGTCGCCCATCTTCTCGACGAGCTCCCATCGCTCAAGGCCGGGGTACCTGGGAAACTTGCTCTTGCTTGCGTTTTCTTCCGCAACAAGCCTGACAATATTCTCGTCGGGAACCTTGGTCTTTGACTTGGTCTTGTGTGCTAGGTTTTGGTCGGCCTCGGCATAATGGGCAGCGGCATGGCCAGCCTGCGCGACACGGTTGTGGCCGTCAACTTGCGTGTTCGAGTAGGCATCTTGAACGGGCGCTTGGTGGTTGCGTGGCGGAGAGCCTCCCAGGTTGGGTTCTGAGACAGGGGCCGCCATCTTTGTGGGCTGGTGGTGATGTTGTGTGGCAGAGTGGTCGGCCTGTTTTGTCCGCGCCGGCTCTTCAGGGTTTGCAGTGCGGGCTTGCTTTCCTGTTTGATCAAGGCCGATATTAGCTTGTGACTCCTTGCCATCGGGAAGGGAGGAGTGGGCTTGAGGAGACGGTAGGTGAGAGGCACTGCGCGCGGGCAGGTGCAAGCAAGCATCTCAGGCAGACATACCGTGTCGGATGAAGTTCTTCAACTGTTGTATTGTCGACATTTTGTCGGATATTATTTGGGCTTCTTGATGAGATGGCGATTTGGTTGAGGTTTGTGAGAGTTGGCTGGTGAACAGCGGTGGGAGGATGCACCTGGATCCTCGCCTTGGTGCTGAGCTGGTGTTGAGCAGAGCTAGTGAAATTAGGTGGACTGTTATTCGCAATTGGGACTATGCGTCGTCACAATATCAATAGGTTGCCGAGAATGCGCAGTGAAGGACTGTTGAGTGTCTCGAGTGGTGTCCTGCGGATTTCCGTGCAGGCGGTCGTCTGCGGGGTCGGGCAGTGTTGGGCGGGATCAATGTGCCGATTTGCAAAGGGCGATGTGGAGAGATGAGCACGGAGGTGCTATGGTAGGGTGAGCGCGGCTTGGAGGTGGAAGACAGGACGTTGCTGTCTCTGGGCTGTAAATGGTTTCCGGGAATGGAAAGAGTTGAAAATGACGATCGCAGACACGCGCGCTGGTGTCGAGAAGATATTAACCGTCTGTCGGAAGTCAATGACGATGGAGGAGGAATGCGTGGGCGGTAGAAGGGTACCTCAGCAGTCAACAGGAAGGCTTGACTCGGGGCAAGCGGGCGCTACTATTGGCTGGAATTGAGGTCACAGTGGCTGCACGACCGAACCAAGGAATAATTTGCAAAAGGAAGTGACGCAGTTGTCAGGTCCGCACGTGAACAGAAGGATGATCCTGGAGACTGGACGGGGTTTCGTTATAATGTAGTGAAAAGGGCGGACGATGCCGACAAAGGACACTTCTCAATCAGATGCTGGTCGCGCAGAAGGCAGATTGACTGTGTGCAGTGGTGCTTGGTAAGGTGGGGGAAAACAGGATGGAAAGGGCGACGGGGCATGGAGGGGTTTTGTTCTTATTTTATTACCGGGACTGGGAGTGACCGGGACCTAGTCGGGTGGAGGGTGTGTGGTGTGTTCCTTTTTTTCTCGCTCGTCCCTCTCGGTTTCATCATTTCTTTCATCATCGGGCGCATACCACGCATTACTACACTACATCAGACTATTATCCATGCTGCCATGCCATATGCCATGCTACCTACCATTCAAGAGACCAGACAGACTCCTGTCTAGACCGCAGCTGTTGAGCCTAACCGGACCCACGAGGGGCGGGCACGATACTTGAGTCGATGTTCAGTCCCGCCAGTCAGTCGAGATGACACAAACCGCTCATAGCCACAGGCGCTACCTGGAGTTGAATACGGGCCTCCAATAACTACCCTTTTTTTTCCTTTTTTTTTTTTTTTTTTTTTTTTTTTTTTTTTGCTCCTCCGACCAGAATACCATGTCTACACTAGAAGGGGCCACCCTCGTCCGAGACAAAATAGATGAGACCAACCAACAGGTTAGGTAAAACAGTCCGCTCCCGCTCGCCGAGATGGAAAGACTGTGATAGGGATTACAACAATTCGAAAAAAAAAAAAAAAAAAAAAAAAAAAAAAAAAAACATCACATCGGCTAGAGTCCCATTTGGATATTTCTATCCAGGAATTGTCTAAATCTCAAGATCAGAGGTGTAACAAAGACGCTGGATGCGTAGTACATAGTAGGAGTGTACCCAAGGTATAATGTCAAAGGTCTCAACTATTTTGTCCAGGACAAGCCGCCCTTGTTTGTCGGCGGTGACCGCGCGTGATGGATGGGGATTGGGACGGGTTTGAACGATGGGATTGGGCACAAAGCGCAAAATGCTGCCTCTCACTCTCGAGCGCTGTTCCATGCTTTGGCATCCACTTTCCGCTTCACTAACGATCCAGCGTCTCCACAAGTCGGCAAGATCAGATCCAAGATTCCCACTTGTATGACGTAGCTGAGCGTCATCCTGGCGTTCCACCACCGCTTGCCGAAAGAAGCTAGCGCGAAAAAAGGAAACCACCACGCAGTTATGAAACCACACTGCCTGCGACGACGACGACGACGAGATGATTGCTCGCAATTTTCCAACATCGTATTTCGTCCTGAAAATTCTTCATTCATTGAGCCATGCAATTGAATCCCATAAGATTCCGTCCCGAGTCTAACAAACATCAAGGTGATCATTTTGCATCCTGGTCTAGGTCTACCTAGATGGGCATCCAGACCAAGGTCAGATGTCAAACCAAGTTCAGCTCCAAGGCCCACCCTCTTTGGCGTCCGGGTTAACGCATATCTCGTTACCAAGCTATTGGAAGGCGCGTTCGGAGAGCTTGCATTCCGATAGGTGTAAGAAGTCCTCAGTTCAAATCCAAATCGATGCTTCATTCAAACCTCTTCGTATTGCATGAGTCGCGTGGTTCAAAACTGAATCGCCCAACTGCCCTTGCCAGCCGAGCCTCCCTGCCTGGTCAGCCTTGGAGTGGCATTCAGTTCCCTCTCCGATTTCATATTTGTCATCCGGACGTAGCCCCTATCGGCCACGCTGGGCTCTTGAAGCATACATAGACTAGTACACTACCTACCTACACATCCAGTATCGTGGGGAATCACCACGTTCCCTACAACTAATCGACACTGCGCATGGATCGACATGCATCATGTCAGATCCTCAAACATGCACGGTATTGACAGACTGATAGCGGCATCAACGAGAGGTAGCCGGTGCTCTTTTGGATTTGAATCACATCTACGGCACGCACAATACCCAAATGTTCGTCATTCATGCCGATGATCTTGAAGGAAATCCTTCTGATCCTACCTGAGACGGCTTGCTTGATAGGGGCGCATTTGTCACACGGGTTACCTACAAGACCGCAGATCGTGTTCCGTTCTTGTCTTCAACGGTCGGTTGGCATGCGGCTCTAGTGATAGGTATAAGGTACTCTTGCCCCCCGCGGCGCGCCCGCGCGTCATTCCATCGGTTCCCATTGAAAGGACCTTTACCACGCACGCCGAGCTCTTGGGAACCACCTCTACAACTGCTTCAATTGGTCAAGGGGTTGGCTGACTTCTCAGTTACGCAGGAGCGCCCCTGACGTCATAAGGGGGCTTTTTGTACGAGGTGAGTTGGTGTTGTGGTATCCTGACGAGTATTGGCGAGCATGGAACGAACCAAACCATGTGCCCCGATGTCCGTCTTTCAAAGGTCTACAATAGGGCGACCGAGGCTGTGATACCATGTCGTTGCAGTGTGTTCAAGAGAGTGCACCTATGCTCCTGCTACGTGGACCTGCGAATACAACCACCTCTAAAAGGTCTTCTGGAAAGATATAGGTCATATAGGTTGTTTATCGGGTTAGCACGTGGCATGCTGGCTTGAGGGTCGGCTCGGATGAAGAATCATCCCACTGATACCAAAGCATATCCGTGTACAAAAGTACTCTTCCCGGTGTTCCGATGTCCAAGTTTAGCCCCGTCCAAACTCAGCTTCAAACCTTGGGGATTTCCTAACGCCTGGGCTATGTCCGCACTAGACTTACTCGAACAAGGCCTGACATATAAATGGACGGTGATATCCTGGAACAGAACGTCTTGCTGACGGCGTGAGCATCTTAGAGCACAAACGTAACGGATTTCGACCCAATACATTATTCATGAACAGATGATCTTGGAATTCGGTTGTCGTTCTTGCATTGTCGTGCTCACCTTGAGCTAACCATGCCGAGATAGAAAATGCTAATAGATGTCGATAGAGTGGCTTCTGTGGTTTGTTCGCGTTAGTGTTCCACCAAATCAACGACAATCCGATTGTCAAACAGAGAGGCCGGACGTGAAGCCTTCTTGTGCAGAATAAGACAATACTCATGTCGGATCTTCTTCCATCGCTATTGCGTGAAGGAAACATCACGACTTTACAGTTTGATAGATCCAAACGCTTGAAAACCAAAAGTCGACGAACAAACTGGGGCAAGAATACTAAAACAAACAGAGGGCCAGCCAGGAAAACTTCCCTTTCCGTCTGCTTCCTATGCCCAATGTCAGCCTTTTATCACCTCGTGTTTGCTTTCCCCGGCTGATGAGACAAATCGTTAGATGACTGAAAACCTCGGCCGGCATTCGTTCCTTCCAAGTCGAATGCAAAGGGTGTGTTCATTACCGTCAAGTATGTGAAAATTACTATCCTCTATCCAACGGAACCCATTCCTTCCTTCCACGGTCACAGTTCCAATAAAATTTCAGTACCTTCCATTCCAATCCTTACAGCTTCTCTGTTTCAGGCTGCCGTCGTCGGCGTTGACATTTCTACCCCGTCGAAGTTCAAGGCCGCTTGTCGGATAGTATTAGTACATCCGTTTTTCGCCCGACAATCTTGAGTTGAAGCATTTCTGCTTCCTCGTTCCCCTCCCTCCTCTTACCTCCAATCTTACATTTGGCGTCCATCTTGTTTTAAGTCCACTGGTATTTGGGCATTGTCTGCCACGATTACTTAATCGTCTTCAACGTTGGGCGGGTCTCTCGTTTCGATCTCCATTTCCTCATCCTCTCAGCGGCGCCCGCTTTGGTCTGGCCGGATGCGATCACTTCCGCATCACGCACTCAACATGGCCAACCGCGACGAGTGGATTCAACTGAGCGCTACGGTACTAAACTCCCATCCTTTCTTTGTTAACCGTATTGCTGACACAGGCCTCTACAGAGAGACGAGATCGTCCGTAGCAATATTTTCGTCAAGCTTGAAGATGGAGACGGATGGAAGTCAAAACCCGAAATTCCCACGGCCAAGGAAATCCTTCTACTCCAGAAAGAGGCCGAAGGTCTGCCTGAAAATGATGTAAGGCAGCCCTGGAAATCCAAAGAGGACTACTTGAAGGCTCAGTACGAGATCCTTCGTCGTGAGGGCACTGAAGGTTTGCGATTCGCTGTCAACAAATACATCTACAACAATAACCACGGACTGCGCCAGGATGACGATCAGCACATGTTCGTTTATACCCAGGTTCGCATCAAGTCGTACATCATGACAACACTAGGACCTCTTGCGCGTGTTGAGTTCATGCCGCAGCGAGCCATCAAATGGCTGAAGTCCGGTCGCCTAAAACCCGGCAGTCTTCTTGCCCTCACCACCAAAGCCGACAAGTTCAAGACCATCTGCAAGGTCGCCGTGGTTGCCCAAAGACCGTACCTGCTTGGACTTGATCAAACCCCTCCACTCGTCGACCTCATGTGGGGCAACCCAGAAGATGCCGTCTTCGATTGTGATCTTGAACTTGTTATGATTGAGGCTCAACACGGCTATTTTGAATCCTCGCGTCATTCTTTGGTCGGCCTGCAACTGGCTGCGCAGGCAGAGTATGTATCGCAATCGAAATCAAAGCTTGAATGTATCACGCAGGCTAATCATGTTTAACTTAGTACTCCTATCGACAAATACATCACCGGTAGTCACAGGGAAAATGAGACACCAAGCTTCATATACCAAAGCCCTATTATGGACTTCACTTCTGTTGTGCGCCAACCCCTTGCGGACCTTGAGAAGCTCAAATCCCTGCGCGAGTTCAATGTACTCTCTGGACTCCTCCCAAAAGATGTGGAAAGTATCAGCTTTCTCGACGCCTCGCAACTATCCGCTCTTCATCGAATGGTCTCCAAGGAGCTTGCCATCATCCAAGGCCCTCCCGGAACGGGGAAAACTTTTACCTCGGTGGAGGCAATCAAAGTCATGCTTGCGAGTCGCCGGAAGCGTCCAGGACACAACCCGCCCCTCATTGTCGCTGCGCAGACAAATCATGCCTTGGATCAGCTGCTTGGCCATTGTCTTGAGGCGAACGCAAGGATTCTGCGTCTTGGCTCAAGAAGTGAGAGAGAAGACATGAGGCCTTACAGCTTGTATGAGATGCGCCGCAAATGCTCCCGTGGTGGGGGTGGAAAGCGGTTCAGGGAACTGGAGGATGACCGTCATACCAACATCGACAGAGTAGAGGCGCTGGTCAACAGTGTTTTTGGGGACAGTCTCATCGACCCACGCCAGCTTCATGCACATGGCATCATTACCGAAGCGCAGCTGGAGTCTTTGTACGATGATGAAATGGAGACAAGCCCGGAGTTGGAGAAGCTTGGTCCCTTTTCCTTATGGTTGGGAGACTCACGAATCCCGGCTCGGATCGTTCGCGACAGGCAGCCTCTCATATCCGAAACATTGGAAGCTGACGAGGACTTCGATTATGAGCGCGACGTAGAGAACATCGCGTACGATGAAGAAGACGCAGACAGGATAAACGGCAAGGAAATCAAATTGATGCATATATGGACCGGAAAGTAAGTTTGACGATTACCCGAGGTTTTAATGGTCCAGTCGTATCTACGTTGAAGAAAACTGACCATGTATCGTGGATCAGAGAGCCTGGACACTTCAAAAGCTGGAATCATCGTGCACAACGCTTGCTCAGAGAGAATGATAACCTCTTTGATATACCCCAAGACTGGAGGGGTGCAGTTTACCAGCATCTCCAGTCCAAACTGGTGCAAGAAACCACTCCGACGCTGGCTGGGCTGCTGGCCAAATACGTTGAGATATGCAAGCGGCGCAGAGCACTCAAAGCCCGGCAAGATATTGACATGGCCTTCTCACAAGATATTGCGGTCATCGGCTGCACAACAACCGGCCTTACAAAATACCGCGCGTTTCTGGCCGGGCTACAGCCCAAAACCCTGCTTATCGAAGAAGCTGCCGAAACAAGGGAAGGCAACATTACCTCGGCCCTGTACCCTTCCCTTCAGCAGCTCGTTCTGGTTGGTGACCATGCACAGATGTCGCCCCGATGCGACATTCGATGGCTCGGTCAACATCCTTACAACTTGAACGTCTCTCTGTTTGAAAGGCTTATCAACCTTAACATGAATCACATCATGCTCAATCAACAGCGCCGCATGCGGCCGGAGCTGAGACACATAGTCTCTCCATTCTATAATAACCTACTCGACCACCCCAGTGTTCAATCTCCGCAAGCACGTCCGGATGTCCCTGGGATGGGTGGGCGCAATTGCTGGTTTTTCGATCACGAATGGATTGAGCGAACGAATTCTGACAACAGCAAACTCAACGACCAAGAGGCTGAGATGATCACCCTCTTCTTTGTGTATCTTGTGTCTAATGGTGTGTCTAGTGAAAAGATAACCATTTTGACATACTATAGGGGCCAACGAAGTCTTCTCTTGAGAAGACTAAAAGGGCATCCATCGCTCACTGGCTGTTACTTCAACGTTTTTACAGTGGACTCGTACCAGGGTGAAGAAAATGATGTTGTTCTCTTGTCTCTGGTGCGTAGCCCTGACCCAGTCTATGGGCGCAACATCGGCTTTCTTGACAACCCACACCGAGCTGTGGTTGCTATCAGTCGCGCTCGGCAAGGGTTCTACATATTCGGCAACGTCAATAACTTACTCGAGGCTAAAACCGAATCTTCGTTTCTATGGGGTCTTATTTTCAATAGATTCGCCGATCAGGGCATGGTCAACCGAGAACTTGGGCTTCCTCTGGTTTGCCAGAATCATGGAAATGAAATCTGGATCAAGGAGCTAGAGGATTGGGCTGACAATACTGGTGGCTGTCACGAAAGATGTCGAGAGACTAGGCCTTGCGGCCATCCTTGCACTCTAAGATGTCATGCTATCGCGCATGAAAATCTTCCCTGCAGCAGCCCATGTTTCCAAATCGTTCCTGAATGTGGGCATCCTTGTCACGGCCTTTGCGGTGAAAGATGTTTCCACGACTGTGAGCGCTTCAGGCAAGCAAAAGCGTCGGTCAAGCAAGCGCAGAGGCAAGGTACAGACTCACCAAAGGGCAAGACCATCGAATCTCTTTTACTCCAGCATGGCGCTCACGACTTTGGGCATGAGGAGCCAGTCAAGCGCAAAAGTATTGTATCGACGGGAAGTCCTGGTCGTGGGCTTTATAGTCATTTCGGGGAGCTGCCATTGCGTCCTATTGGTGACAATTGGAAGAATGCCGAAGCCGTGATCCAGCAACAGGACAGAAAGCTTGACAAAGAACTTGCAGAGAGGAACGAGAAGTGGCTCAGCCAGACTCATCATGTGCAAGATCAATGGATGCCAACGGGCGTCACGGCTTCCGGGACTCGTATTCGTGCTGGTCCAATAATCACTCAAACCCTCCAGCTTCTAAGCGACTTGCCGGCCATGACCACCACGACCACCACAGCCGCTGTGACGGCTGGTTCTGGGAGCCATTTGCGTACTGGCTCTGGTACTGGTCCAATCTTTGCGCCCACACTGAATCAGTTCCCCAACACCGCCCCTATCGCTCAGCCTGAGCTTCTAATTCAACTAGAGCAAGACGACTATGCGGTCTCTGTGTCTAATATGAAACAGACAATAGGAGATTTGGAGAATGATGGAGAAAAGGACTGGTTGATTGACTTTGAGGAACCCGAATAGGGAGTCGCTACTTCTGAGGCTCAAGGGGCATGCGTGTGTGTTCAGCGATATTGGCCTCTCCCAGGCTTTTGACCACACCATCGCACTGTTCAGAGAACATTATGACGATAACATAGGCCCTCAATTCTTACAAAGGCAAGGGCATCCGTTTTTAGGTGGTTGAGATCTCTTCTATGTCTGGACCACCGACGACCTCACTGTCAGCTTGAGGTAAGCAGGGAAAGAGAATAGGAGAAAAGGAAGTGGACATTCAGAGGCGACAAAAGGAGATGCGCGGCAACGCAACTGAACGCGGAGACGACGGCGGGGGCCCCAGGCAGAGTTCTCTTTTCTTCTCAACGGTCTATCACCTTGAAAACCGTCTGTCTGGAGATAGGGTTTAATGGCCGGAAGAGCCCAACACTTCTGTCGTGTCCGGTGCGCTCTCGACGTTCCTTGAAAATCCGCGGCAGGAAACCAATTATTTAGATTCTAGGTAAAGTAAAGGAGGCAGCAGCTGCTCATTTTCTTGCTTGGTCGTGACTGGACCCGTATACAATATCGGATGGACCCAAGGTCCGAAGCGAAAGCCCCCGCCGTTAAGCAACCTCCCAATCACTCGCTTTACTTAACATGGGTGAAGCGCCTAGTTATCTTCGCCGCTTCCATCTCAGCCCTTCTTCTCACCCCCCACAGCCCAGATCTACATACCTCCCAAGCTCTGTCTACCCTGGCCGACGAATTTCAACGTTACCACAACTAAAGCGAGCCTAACGGTGACAGCATATGTGATCTTTCAAGGCATTATTCCCCTGTTGCTTGATGAGATGATGTGGTTCTCATGGCCATAGTCGAGGAGGTAAAGGTCTATGTAGTTCAAGAGTGATGTAATACGATAGTATCATAGGTTATTGCTTCGTTGCTTGATTGTCATATAAACTTCACTTGGTACTTACTATCTATATTACACCCCAGCAGCAATGAATAGGTTTAAGTAAATGTGAGGCCTACGTTAAGCACATACGATTATAAATAGTAGAAAACTCGGAATCTCGTCCGCTCTCCTATAGATAAATTACCTCCCACCGGCCCTGGTTCCTGTACGTCGACGCCAGGTTGGCCATGCTGCTCAGCGTGTCGGGATGATCGGCCCCGAGCTTCGCCTTGCGAGTCTCCATCACTTGTACAAACAGCTTCTCGGCCACCTTCCATAGGCCTCTGTCTCGTCCGCGGTGATGAGACAGTAGTCCCTCAGCATCGCCACATCATCTTCGAAGCTAACATCGCCGTCCTGGGCAATTCTCGAAGGGTTTAGCACTGGAGATCTGATAAGCGATAAGCGATAAGAGGTGACGATAAGAGATAAGCGGCATGCTTCTTTTCTTTCCCACAATTACCAGCGTCGTTTGTTCCCACCTCTCCTTCTTTTGAAAGAGGCTACATGATTCAGATACGAAGGTTGTCCCGAGCATATCGCGCTCTATATCCACGACAGCTGACTACACAGGTCCTATTTGTACAGACGCGGGAACGGCCAAGGTGGTGATACAGCGGTGGACTTTCAGTCTGGATGGATACGTTCACCGCTCTTGATGAATTGCTCATGGTTCAGATTCGCTCCCTAAAAGACAACAACTCTCAAGGGCCGGCAAGCTCCGGCGGATAATCAGGGGGGCCAGTCAGATACTCCTTCAGTGCCTTGATGGATGGCGTGAAGAAGTATTCACCACCTCGTGGGATCACCCAGCGGTCGAGTCCAATGCGCGCCTCAGTAGGATGCTTGCCATCAGGCAGACCGATAGAGCGCTCCGGGTGGTGATTAAGTCTCTGGCCCACAATGGCATCGATACCGGGACCGTGCTCGCCAACAAAGTTCGCCTTGCGGTCCGGGAAGTGGTGGTTGCTAGCCCAGCGGGTGGTCAAGAAGTTGAAGCCGTTGCGGATGTCACTTTGGTAGCACACGAACATCAAGCCGCGCTCTTTCTCGTCATCAGACTTCTGTGCGGCCTTTTCTTCAGGCGTCACTTCGTCTCCGTAGGAGATGCCACGACGGATGATAACCGCGTGATCGTGGTTCAGGTCGCCGCGGGGCCGCATCTTGCGGATGTGAGCTGCAAAGGGGCATCTTTCGTGCTTGTCGACAGGGTGGAAGTCAAAGTTGTTGGATCGGAAAAGGCTTGGGTCTTTGTCGTGGTGAGGGTTCTCGTCGACGGGAGTTCCTAGTGTGAATGTTCATGAGCAAAATGAGCTTGGGACTTGATAGATTGGACACGTACCGTTCCTCCATCTGCCCATCAGATACGCTGCAAGCTTTTCCTTCGGGTCATCGGAGTCCGCGGCGAACGGCGCATTGTGTTTGTTGTCTTCGAGCCACCTGAAGTTGTGTTCAGTTAGTACTGACTGACTCTACTCCCGACGCATAGAAAACTTACTTCTCAAACTCAGGGACGAGCTGTTGAAGGTCACGGATCACGAGGAAACTGCCGTCCTCGGCCCATTCCGGCTGGTTCATATCGTCGCCGTCGTGTCTGGCGAAGATCAATCTGCGATCCGAATACCCTTTGTCAGTTCCGATAATCAATACCGAAAAGCTTCGGAACACCTTACCCTGACTTGACAGCCTTTGGCTCTTTGCCCTTGGGCGTCACTTCATCCAATCCCTCGATCAAGGGCTGGCTAATGCCGTCCTCGAAGCCGAAGCTGAAAATCTCGGTCAGTCCGTGCTGATCATCATAGGTAATTGTACAAAGCAGACTCACTGTTCCTTGCCCTTTTCAGGGCGAGTTCGACCATGGCTGGTGAACGGGAACTCAAGGCAGGGGTCATTGCTGTACCGAACAGTATCAGGATCATCACTGCCCGGCTCCTTAAGGAAGTGTTCCTTGACGCGAAGGACTTTGTATCTCAGGTCTTCCGCCCGACTCGCCGTTACCATCAGCACGCCATCAATCAGCCGCTTTCCCGCAGACGGCTTGAACTGTGATCGAAGCTCTTTCGGCTCGTCCCAGCCCTCACCCACCAGGTCGTCATACATGCCCTTCCCGAACAAGCCACCACGGAGCTGGTTCTTCTTGAAGATCTTGGATAGATTTCTGTCCTTCTTGACTGCGGCCTCGTTGAAGGTGAATTTTCCCAGCTAATGTGATCAGTTAGCGAGTCTCTCTAGCACGGCGCCTTGGCTAGGTATGACTTACAGCTGCTAGACCAGTCGAGGCAAAGGCAATGTTGACGCCTGGCAAAGCCAGAATCTTGGCCGGGACACCATGCTTCTGAGCTTGTGTCTTTGCCTCCAAGATCTGGTTCTTCATGTCACAAGCCTCCTGGGCGGTGGTGATATGTTCATCCGCGAAAGACCGGAGTCGCGTCTTGAATTCATCTGGCTTCCTGATCTTGAAGAATAGGAAGGTCTGGAACCTTTTTGGCAGGCCGGGCCTAATGGGAAGAAGAATCAGCAAACCATGACATCTCAAAAGAATGTGCAGTCTAGCAAGACTTACCAGACGTCACCCTGAATATTGGCTTTCCTCGCAACCCAACTCATGGTGACTGTGAACAATGATGATTGAGGTCAACAAACCGAGCTCCAACTGCTGGGGAGGCGCACAATATTAATAAGTGTTTAGAGTACGCTACACGACAGTCCAAGAAACAAGGTCCTCGTATCGACTTCTGGGATGGCCAACCCCGAATTCCACAAAGTCTATCACTTCGCGTACCGAACAAGACCCGACCAGTCGACATGAGCTCCCCTCAACCAGCAGCACATACTTCATACTCAGTAAGTCAGTGAGATAATTCGTCGATCGGACCTCCAAAGTCCGCAAGAATTGATCGGTCCTACCTGCCGCCCCGCAAGTTGCTACGCATAGGCAGATCTTCATCGTGCCTCGTCATCTCGGATATCAACTAGCCATTGATCCAAAGCATCGGCTACCTCTACGTATGGATCTTCTGGCAGAGCTGAAAGTGAAACTCACTACTAATCCAAAGAACATCATAGGGCGGTTCAGTTCCGGACCTTGCAGCAGTCGATCTTGACTGGGGATAGGTGCTTCTGCAGCAAGCAAACCTTTCAAGGCACCACCAGCTCTCTGTCGATCGTGTCAAGATGGATCCTTTTGTACCCACGAGAGGTTCATCGGGATTACCATCTTCGTCAAGGTATGCATATCTGGTGGATTTCTTATGCAACCCCCCCGCGTTCTCTGTGGAACGACAAGAGGATTTTCGATAACTTCGAGATCCACCTTTTTCTGCACAGGATGGATCTGGATCTACACCCGGCATCCATTGTCACTGGCCGGAAAACAATAGACGTCGACAATCCCCCTACCCAAAAAGAAAGCACTGGGGCTCGTGAACTATGGACCCAGGTACATAATCGATAGCTCATATCTAGAGGTAACTAGCCATGTGCAGTCGAACACATCTTGGAGCACGATACCGCGGAAATACTTAAAGAGGCCCACCTCAAGTAAGGACGTGGACGTCTTTGCACCCAACAACATGAACTCAGCTCAACTCCTTGCGCATATCAAAGACGCCGATCGCGCGATTTCAAGGAACCTTCACCTTCACCCGCATATGCACCTCCACGTCAAGACAAGCGCGCCGTGATGGTAGCCCATGGTTCAGCTGAACTGAGGGGTCCAGGGGTCCAAAGATGGACTTTATGTTGATCGTGGGTTATTTTTCTTGTCGATCGTGGACCGGCTGAAAACCCGAGTTTGGAAGACTCCACGGATTTGCGAGCTGAAGAGTCCCGCGCGGCGAATATGACTTGGAAGTTGCTACCACGCTGTTGCTTTAATGTTTACTAGCGAAGAAAACGCTGCATGCAACACAAGCCCCAGCACTGCGTCTGGTCTGTCCATGATCCCAAGGATTCCGTCGATATATCGCATGCCGAAGCGAGTCTACGTATGTATCCAACCTCCACGTCGACTGAGTGGAGAGTCTCCTCATCTCGGGCTCCAGTCGTGCTGAACCTCACCTCAATGAGATGACGATTTTGCTTTGCCACTTGGAATATCCTGTTATACTAGCCTTTTGGGCCACTCTTCGTCACTGGCATGCTGGTAGTCTCTAGATCATAGGTTGACGGACGAGCGGGGGTGCGGTCTGCTGGGCGGATACTCCGTACTGCTGTTTTCTGTTCTTATATTTGCGCTCTTCCATCCATTAGGGACCTTTCCTAGACCAGCGAGACTCCCACATCACACTTTCTTCCTCCTCTTCTCAATTCCCTTTCACTTCAACCGGACCGCCGTGATGAAGTTGCAATGGGCTGGGCTCCTGCTCGGAGCCTCCCTCGAAGGTGTGAATGCTATGGGCACTTATTTGCTCGAAGCAATGAACCAAGAACGCGTTTCTGGCTATGGCCCTGTCGACGAGCCGTCTTGGGTACCAACTTTCTTCGATGAATCGCCTCCTCACAAAGGTCATCGCATTTCCCGGGAAGATTGGACCTTAACATGCAGCAGCGAGGAAAGCGACTATCCGTGTCAGAATGCCATCGACGGCTCCAACACCACTTCCTGGCGAAGCGGCCCTATCAGCCATCTCAAGGGCCACATCAGCATCACAGTTGACCTCAAGAACCACTACTCAGTCAGCGCCCTGGTCATCCTGCCGCCGATTGACACTGAGAAGGACGGGTTGATCACTCACCACGAGATCTGGGTCAGTATGGACAACAAGAACTGGAAGGGTCCCATCGCCTATGGCATGTGGCCCAACTCCAACAGACAGCGCCTGTCTGCTTTCGAGCCCACATCTGCCCGATACGTGAAGCTCACTGCCAACGCTGAAGCCACCGAGTCCTCATGGATTGGCATCTCCGAACTGAACCTCTACGCCACTCTGTATACCATCCCTCGGGACCCCAAGAATGGTCTCTGGGGACCGACCATTGACTTCCCTGTCGTGCCTGTTGCTGGGGCTCAGGAGAAGTCTGGTAACATCGTCCTTTGGTCATCCTGGGCCTCGGATCAGTTCCACTCCACACCTGGTGGTCAGACTGCAATGGCCCGTTGGAACCCCTTCACCAAAGAGGTTTCCAAGCGTATTGTCACCAACACCCAGCACGACATGTTCTGCCCCGGTATTTCCATCGATGGTACCGGCATGATGGTTGTGACTGGCGGCAATGACGCCTCCCCGACCAGTCTCTACGATGGTGAACTGGATAAGTGGATCAAGGGTCCTGACATGCACCTCCGTCGTGGGTATCAGGCTTCCACTACCCTCGCCGATGGACGGGTTTTCGTCATCGGTGGCTCTTGGGCTGGAGGCTCCAACATCGCCAAAGATGGAGAAATCTATGACCCTGCCACCAGGAACTGGACCATGTTGCCCGGTGCCAAAGTCAAGCCGATGCTGACGGATGACATGGAGGGGCCATGGAGAGCCGACAACCACGGCTGGCTCTTCGGGTGGAAGAAGAACAGCGTCTTCCAGGCCGGTCCTAGCAAAGCTATGAACTGGTACTACGTGGAAGGAGAAGGCAGCTTCAAGGGAGCCGGAGAGCGTGGCGAGGACGACGATTCCATGTCTGGCAACGCTGTCATGTTTGATGCTGTGAATGGTAAGATCCTCACCATCGGAGGTTCGCCTGACTACGACAAGTCCTGGGCTACCAGCAACGCACATGTCATCACTCTGGGCGAACCAGGCCAAGAGCCAGACGTGCGGGCTGCCGGACAGGGGGGAAAGATGCACTCCGAGCGCGTCTTCCACACCTCCGTCGTCCTTCCAGATGGCAAAGTCTTCATTGCCGGCGGCCAGACTTTCGGTATCGCTTTCAACGAGGAGAACGTGCAGTTTGTGCCCGAGTTGTACGATCCAGAGTCAAACACCTTCACCGAGCTCTCCCAGAACAACGTCGTCCGCGTCTACCATAGCCTCTCCATCCTGCTGCCCGACGGCCGAGTCTTGAACGCCGGCGGCGGTCTCTGCGGCAACTGCTCCGCCAACCACTACGACGCCCAGATCTTCACGCCGCCCTATCTCCTGACAGAGAACGGTGAAGAGCGATCCCGTCCCGAGATCACCACCAAACTGCCCGATACCATCGAAGTCGGAGGGAAACTGAAATTCCACACCAACCGCCGCATCGCATCCGCCTCCTTGGTCCGCCTCTGCAGCGCTACCCACACCGTCAACACCGACCAGCGTCGTGTTCCTCTCCATTTCAGGAGGCGTATGCCGGTGTTCGGTCGCTACCATGTACACATCCCCAATGACCCCGGCATCGTCATCCCTGGGTACTGGATGCTGTTTGTCATGGATGAGGCGGGCACACCCAGCATTGCGAAGACAATCATGATCACTTCCAACGTGAAGACAATTGGAGGAGCGAGCGATGAGCAGACGCAATGTGAGCATGGATTCTTTCTTGAGTGTGAATATTTGCCTAGTTGGAAGCTAACACTGATTGCGCAGATTCCTCGTCGCGGATGAGGTTCCAAATTGAGTTGGCGAAATGATTGTTCTGTGGTGTGAGATGACAAGACATGTCAAAACAAAGCAGAGGGCTGTGCATGATACTCGACATGTGAGTGACTGTGCGATGCGCTGGTTGTAGAGGCCTCGACACTTTGGCCAGGAACGGATTGGGAGTCAACCTCCATCTCCTGGTCGTATCCAGCGTGCTGGTTGCTGGTGATTTGTTGGGTCGCTTGGGCAACCTCAGATGGGACTTTGATTGTTGAGCGGTGGTGCTCCGCCGCGGTCTTTCATGATGAATGAGATATGTAACGGGAAAAATGTTAGTTGTAGGGACTATATAAGGATAGGCGTTTGTGTTATTGTTTACTTTGGTCAATGATGTGTGATGTTGTTTTGAGGAGAAATGTGGGGGCCCGTGTCAGCACCCCCGCCCCCTGGTACAGTAGATACCCTACCTAGTAAATGCAACTAATCCGGGCTCTTTGGAGAAGGTCAAAAAAAGTTGCATTTACTAGGCATTTTGCATTTACTAGGGTCCCAATCACATACAAATAGGTGAATCCAGGCCGCCAAGCCAGTTGCATTTACTAGGGTATCTACTGTACGTGTATGGGGCTTGGCTCGAAGCGAGGTTGGAAGCCTTGATATCAAAACAAACGGTACCCGAAGTGAACCCTCTGGTTGCCTTTTTGGCATGTCCTCCATTGTAGCATCAAAGCTGCATTTGATCCTTGAAAGACGAAATGTTGGTGTGGCACGCTGCCTCGGGCTTGATGTAAAGGAAGTCGCCAATCCAACGGGAGAGAAGAGCCTGACTAGTAGTTGGGTCGGTGACGACCAGCGAATCCCAAGTGTTGTATGTCCCTCTTTTTTATTCTTTTTATTTTTCTATTTTTTTAAGGTGCGGTGCAATCTTGCTTTGTACCTGTCTCTCTTTCATTTGCTAATTCTGACCGTCTTTTGCTTCTTGGTTCCTGTTGTTGAACCAGGAGCGGTGGAGTGGATAATGTGGGTGATGAGATCTGGGTTTCTGGTACGTTTTTATCTGGAGATACAGGTACCGCTGCATACTTAGCCTATGGGACCGGTATAAACAACCGCTACTGAAATAAACATAGAACGCCGGCCCAGACAGATTGAGTATAACTAGACAAAAAGAATTTCAACCTGACAGAAAAGCACAAAGGTGATGTAATGAATATAGGTCTTTCGGCCCATCGATCCATTTAGCTTGCTGTGGACTGACTGACTGACTTTTCGGAGAAAACTTGAACCCTCCACAGCGAAGTCAAAAAGCAAAACGTAGTAGAAAGAATGGATGTCCGGCAAATTAGGAGAAGGCGATAATAATGAAAGGACCGAAGAAAAGAAGACAACCCAATACCACAGCGTTTTCCAACTTCCTTTGTGATCTTTCCTGCCAAGTTTCCTTCTCGCGACACTCGTCGTTGTCCTCTTAGTTCACCGGTGAAATCTCGTACCCAATCAACACCTCCGTCGACGTACCATCCCACCCCCTGGTCCCCGCCGCCGAGATCATGATCCTGCTCGTGGGATCGATATACAGACTTGAAATGACGCCCGCCTTAGGGGGACCGGGGACAACCACAAAAGGCACTTTGGAATGCTTCGTCGCTTGCGTCTCGCCCTGCAAGTCCCACAGCCGCAAAATGTCGTGCGACGCGCAAATAATATGTCGCCCGTTGGCCATGGGCCGCACGCAACTGACGGCTCCGCTGCCGTTGGGAAATTTCAGAGTGCGCTCGGGCTGCCATCCGCCGCGCGCCTTGTGAATACTGAATTCTTCGACCGTGCCGTTGCGTCGGCCGGCATATATCCAGTTGCCATCGACGGACCAGCAGGCGCCCATGCACCAGGGCGGGACGCCGCGCCGGTTGCCGATACGGGCGACGGGGTCGGGGACCCGTCGGTCCCAGATGCGGATGGTGCCGTCAATGGAGGCGGCCATGAAGATGTTGGGGGCCGTTTGGGTGTCGTCGTTTTGCGGGGCGGGAGGAGGGGCTGTGTTGACAACCATGCTGGGGGAGGCTGGGGCGATGGGCTCGAAGGGGATAGGTTCGTGGTCAGTTGGGGGGATGGGGTTCTGGTCTCGTGGTGGTTGTTGTTCCTGTTGTTGCTGGGTTTGTTGCTCGGGGTTCGCGGCTGGTTGGTGTCCGAAGTCTGACATAGTGTCATTAGAGTCGCCGTTGAATGTGTCCATGTTGATGGTCCCGTTCTCGGCTGGCTCGACGGCATCGAGCCCGGGTCCCTGAGCAGCGTTCGTGTCCATTATTGTGTCGGTATCCCCCATTGGGAAATCGTCGGTGTGCCCTTGGTTTTTCTGTTCCTCCTCGAGTTCCATGCCCATAGCTCTGGAAAACTCATTGTCGTCGTCATCGTCCCCAAAGGCATTCCCACCGCCTATTGTTTCGTTGTCCCCGAAGAGTGACCCTGCAGGACTACCGAACAGCGACTCATGTTCTGGTGACGGGACATCATTCACGGCGCCGTCGTTCGCATTGGATTGCCCTGTCGTATCCATATCGCCATGCGCGCCATTAGAGAAAAAGCCGTTCAAAACTGGCTTCGAGTTGTTACTCTCGAAAGTGTCCGTGATAATCTCGGGATCGCTCGCTTCGGCTGGGATCGGGGCACCCGAGGTCGGTCGTAACTCAATGGCCGATATTTGTCCACCGCTGCCCTCGAACCGCCGTATAACCGAGCCATCGTTGAGGTCCCAGTCCAGCACCGTCTTGTCCCAACTTCCACTCAGCACACTCTTCTCATCAGGTGCCAGTTGTAACACGCTAACGGCATTGGTGTGCCCGTTCGTCCGCAGGCAGTGTATTCTCTTTCCCTCGTCGTGCCTCACGCTCTGTATGTTGATGCCACCGCTTTCTAGACCACTCAGAGCCCACAAGGCCTGACGGTGCACCGCTAGACTGTATACCGGAGACAGAATCCTATCGTCATCTCTAGTGTTCTGTCCTGTCCACTCCTGGTTGTCCCAATAGCTCATGAGCACTCCCGACTTGACAACACTGTCAACAAACGGATGCTTCTGGGCGACGGTGAGTTGTTGCTTGCCATTGATTGTGGCTATGCCGTCAAACTTTCGAATGTAGCCGTCGGATCCGCCCGTCAACCAGTAGCGCATGTCGGGGGTGACGGCTATGGCATTGATGCTGGTGGCTTGTGGGGCAGCCATGGTAGGTACGATGTCGTAGGTGGAAGCCGTAATGTACTCTGGTCTTATCGTTGGTCGCCATTTTGCCCCTGATCCTGAGCCTGAAGGTGTCGCAGAGACGCGTCTAGCTGTCTGGGACGTGGTTTGGTCGGCGGCATTTGGGTCGTGGGCGTTTTGTGCTTGGGATTCGTCGAAGGGTTCTGCTTCCGGTTCGGGTTCTGGGTCTCGATCGGGCTCGTCTTGGTCTTCCTGTTCTTCCTCTTCGTCTTCATTAAAGTCTTCGCCGTAGGTGTCGTTCTCGGCATCATCAGCGTCCTCCATGAGCTCGTCTTGCTCGTTGTCGGAGCTTCCGTATTCTCGATCGTCTTCGTCCATTGTCCGTGTTGGTAGTGGTTTTGTAGAGGAGTTCGGCTATACACGTAGTTATGCCAGGCATATAAGGGCAGGGTATTCGATATCGTGTGACTGCTGTACCCAAGAGAAGAAAGTGGGAAAGTTGTGGGGGAAAGCAAAGAGATGACAACGGGAGGAAGACGTTTCCAGTCCTGAAGGTTCCCGAATCGAAGCTACACTACATGCAACTGCGGCAGGCATTGATAAGGTCCAACCTCGGTGTTAAGCTTTAGCGGATCAGTAGGCCGGAACGCTAACACCCCGCATCCCCCACCGATTGCCATAACAGGGGCAGGTCCTTGAGCTGTTGGCGGTTCAATGTACCTGGTTTTTGGCGGGCATGCAGGGACCATTGTCCAATTACATGCAGGGTTATCAAGGTGCTTTCCATGTCAACCTCTCTTGGAATCAGTTCAAGGTATCTTGCTGGCTAACATAATGCAAACAGAACGACGACAAATACGGAAATGAAGACAAGGCTGCAAGAGAAATGACAAAGAAATCCAACATGGATCGCGATACACCCAAAAGCGATCAAACCCCGAGCAAACAATGCAAACGTAGCGAAACCGAATCCTAGAAACAAATGAGGGCCTTATCCAACTCCGCCCCGGGTATGTATACTTCTCTTCTCTTCTCTTCTCTTCTCTTCTCTCTTCTCTTCCGAATATGACTGGGCCTAGCCGTTGACTGGCCTCCGTTATCCAAACTCAATCAGTCAGTTCCAGCCCCGTCTCACCTTCGTTCAGCACGACTACCACATACCGCCTCGACCCCTCCGGTAACTCTTGCTCGGCCGTTTCGTCTGTCGTCTCCTCCGAGATGTGCATTGCAAGATCATGTAACTTCGGATCAGCCTTCGACAACACCTCAGGCGAACCATCGCGATTGATGGCTACGATGTAATGCGGTCGGCTTTGGAGCAGCTCAGGCGGGGCCGCGCCCTCTTCGAACACCACCACGTGCTTCTTGCTTTTAGAGTCCACGGATTCTTCGTCGCCGTTCTTGTTTGACTGTTTCGAGGATTGATCAACCGCGTAGCGGTTTCCAGTAACCAGGAGCGGATCTGTCTCCGGCAGGTGAGGAACCATCTTCATAAGGAGGCGATGCTCGGGGTTCTGGAGACGTGCCGGGATCGGTAAGTCGGTCTCGAAGGATGCTTGAAAGCGGAGTTGGGAGGCTGTTGAGCCGTCTGACTGGAAACCTTCGCCCGGTGGCAGCGTGGACTGCGTGGTGTTTGCGAGGGAAAAGTTGTCTACGCTAAAGTGTCGGCGACGAGCCTTGGTTGTGGAGGAGCTGCTCGATCCCCATGTCAAGTTGCTCTGCTCCGTTTTGGGTGCATGGAGAATTTCGTGATGAAGCTTGTCAAGACCTCCACTATGGCTTGTATGTGGATCTTGGTAGTAAGGCGACCTGTCCGGCGGATCGCCCTTGTCCAACAGAGGTGCTGCCTCCTCGTCAGACGAATCTGCTGACGATGTTCCGGCGCTCTCAAAATTTGCTTCGGTGAGCAGCCCGCCCAAGAAGAATAATGCGGTTAGTCCTGCGCACCCGCACACCCATGAAAGCGTTGTAGTCAGCCCTCCCCATCCCGAAACTCCCATAACGGCTACAACAAGAAGCGGGCCAACAAAACTGCCCCAGGCATTGGCGAGACTGGGTAGACTTTCAGCCTTTGCTGCGCCAGTTGACAGGCCACCCGTTCCAATTACATCCTCTCCACCGGCGACTGCATCGAGAATCTCCTTCACTAACGGCTCGCCGCAGAGACCGAACGCTACAGAGATCCAGCCAAGGGTAGCCAGTAGTGCCGTCTGAACGGTCATCTTGTTCTGGGTCAACCCGCCTAGACAAGTGAAAGCCGGAGCAGCCGCAATGAAACCAAATGCTGTTAGCAATCGAGAAGCCTGCGCGTACCGTGCCGTAAGCGGGATCGTCAAGAGGCCGACCAAAGCCGCCGGAGCCGAAAGGGGGACGAAGACGAAGCCGCTGGCAGCCATGGGCCATTCGAATGTTCGCTGTACGAAAATCGGTAGCACACTTTGTAGCGCTGATCCGATCAGGCTAAGTGCGATGTATCCTCCCATGGGCACAATAAGTCGCAATACGGAGGGCGTCAGCACTCCCTCTTGAGTACCAGTAACTTCGGAGGCCGCTAGGCTGAGCCGTCTGATCGATCGGCTGGAGACATGGCAGGGAGACACTTCTCTCGAGGAATACCCCCCGCCGGAGGAGAGAGTTCCATAGTTTCGCGAATCATCTCTAGAGGCAAGGAGACCCTCTGCCTCGCGTCGATCGCCTCTTGCCCTGGGATATCTGCCCGGCGGCAGTAACACCGCTACGAGACTTCCAAACACAACCGTCAACGCAATAACGGCATAAGCCAGTGTAAAGACAGCCGCCTGCCCACCAAAGAAACCATGCAGCAATCCTGCAGACACCGGGCCGACCGAGATGGCGAAATTCTGGATAAACGCCGGTGTCATCCATGTCAGCACGTCGACAGCAGCAGTTTCGTCGTCGCCTCTGTCCTCTTCATCGTCTTCGCTAGCAGTCAAGACCACACCGGCAACCAAGCTGGAGCTGGCTCTCGCGATGGCCACACCTGCGATACCGTGTAGGGCGCGTGAGAGGACGAGGAAGAATAGATTGCGGTAGAATTGAAGCAGGACAAAGGAGCCCGCCGCTAGAGCAAGCCCGCCGAACAGGAGGACCCAAAGAAGGGGGCCTTGGCGGGTAAGGTAGGGGACGGATGCTAAAAAGTGTCAGTAACTTGCGTGTGTGTCGCCGCATGGAGGTTTGGTGACTTACAAGATACCGCTGCGAATGTGCCACCATATGTTGAGATAAGGATCGATGTCCAAAACTGCACTGGAAAGCAAAAGATGTTAGTTCAACACTGTTGTCTTGTGAAAAGGCATAGTAGCTTGAACTTAACATACCATGCTTGTGGTGTACTCCCGCTCTGGTTTCCAGGATGGTGGGAATGAGAGGGACCAACAGCGCCGTCAGAAAATCATCGGTGAACTGGGCAGCCTTGGCGACTACTATGAGAAGCGACATGGTGGTGTTGATGTCTGGCTGAGTAAGACCGAAAGTGGTGTCATGAAAACACGAAGGTAGGCGACGGTGGCTGTAATGGCCGCGACCGTCGAATCTGGTTGAAAGTGGATGATGATAGTAATTCACGTTGCCGTCGTGGGTGCTGCTGGGATCGCCGGTATGGATAGCGAGAGGCGGCGGTGGTGGTGATGTTGCGCTTGGTGTTATTCGGCGCGGAGATACGGAACCGGAGGAGGATGGCGGTCGTCGTGGTCTACTGCCGGACCTGCCGCGCGTCGTCGTCAGTTGTGACTGCCACTGTGATTGCGACCAGAGAATGGCCTTGGAAAACAGGCTGGACTCGGCGGCGGTCTCTGTTGCTGTCTCTTCATGACGAGGATTATCCTGTTGTTTTGAAGTTGGGATGATGGCAGCGTCCGGTGGGTCAGGGTTTGCATCTGCACGGGCGGGACCTGTTGTTGGAACATCCATCCCGTCTGCTTCGTCCCAGCTTTCCGGCCTTGATTTGGATATCTCGCCCTTGTTCTTTCTTGTCTTTGGACTGCCCTGTTGTTTACAGGCCGTATTGGAGGTCGAGATAAGACGTCGCGCGTTTTGTGTAACCACGTCGTGAACCTAAAGAGGTGTGCTTCCGTTCACGTCGATGCCCGAGACACCACAAGTGCTTGGAACTCCAATTCTTCCGGCGTTACACGACACTACCGATTTCTTCGGTTTTCGTCCTTTGCTCTCTCGGCCTGATAGCTCTGTCTAGAGCTCTCTCCACAGCAGCTTTCTGCAATGCATCATGCGGGCAGAAGAAAGGAGAGAAAATGAGAGAGACGGAAGAACGGAAGATACACACGCCTTTTCAACGGTCTCGTGAACTTGTTGGCTGCTTGCCTCTTTCTTTATCTTTGAAGCACCACCACACATTCACAATCACAAGCGGGAACCGAACCCTTGGAGCAGCACACCATGTCTTTGATCTACTGCAGTGTGAAACCCAGGCGCCAACCAACCACAGCCGTAGCGAGCTGTTCCCCCACTCCAATGGCACTCCGCTGGTGCGGGATTCCTGCTTGTCGTGTTGCCCATTTCTTCTCGATTTGCTGATGGCGATGATGCACTGCCGCCCATCCACACACACATCATGCCGGCGATGTACTTTGGGGTCTCTGTTCAACGAGCTCGATGACGGACGAACTTTCAAAGATGATATTACTCGTATGGTGTGACCATTGCACGGAGAAACAAATTCCAAAGAATGGAAGACCTGCGCGCTTCCCGAGTACCGGATCACAAAAATGCAAGACAAGAAAGAGTGGTATCCAAACAGCATCACCTGAAAGCTGCCCCTCATCATGATGTTACTCGCCAAGGAGCGACCAAGAGGTCCCTTATCCACGCTAAATCGTGCAGTTCCCTTTACATTGCAGTGCCATCCATGTCTGCAGCCGCGTAGCGCGCCGACATGAAGCAGGGCGTCGGGGCACTTCGTCCAATGTTGAATGCGGTTAGGACTGTGACTGGGTAAGGGTTCAAAGTATTGCGCTGTTGGAATACAAAAATGATAATAATGTGAAAAAAAAAAATGAAAAAAAACATGAAAAAAAAGTTGATTATAAGAGTGGAAAAAAGATTCAGTAAAGAGACGTCCACGAGAAGAAGCGGCTCGTTTAGAAGTCAAAATAGAAAAAAGAAATTGTCATATAGCTGCAACTCGTTTCGATCGAGTGACCTCCGGGTTATGAGCCCGGCGCGCTTCCGCTGCGCCATGCAGCTGTTAATGATGGTTGATAGCTTAACACGCAACGCTCTTCTATACGGTCCACGTCAATTTGGTGGATACCACAGCAGTATGTATGCAGTAGATAGGCTGACCCTTCCACAGACCACCAGCTTTCTTTCTTCCGACCAAAAAGCCCTTTCTTACTCTTCGTCCTTCACAAGCACCCCTCTTTGATTGGCATTTCGAAAAGGGCGGAGCACATCATCAATTAAACCACAGCCCCGATATGTTTTTGCCCCATTCGCTCTTCCTAATTACCGTTCCAAAATCAACACTCGCTGATTCTTCACACTCCCGTCCTTCCCCCTCTCCTCCTCCTCCTCGTCATCATCCTCTCCCTTGTCGGAACCCTCACCACCTCTTCTTCCCTCCTTTCCCTTCTGCATCAATGATGAGGATTTTGGCTTCAGGTAATCCTTGGCTGAGGCGCGTTGCTAGAGCATTTTTCCACGGTTCCTCGGCCGATGATTGACATGCGCGGGAGCTTTCAGTACCAAAGAATCACATGTTCATGTCCGAGTCCTGTTAGTGTTGATTGCGTAGTCGTATACTTAACTGTCATCAAATCTGGGTGCAAAGTCACATTGTCAATCCGTCCGAAGCCATTTTCTGGGTTCAATCATTTTGAGACCCTGAAACTAGGTCGTTTTGGGTAGTGAAGTAGTAGCGAACCTGCGGATACCTCTACACACACGATCTTTGTGCGCCCTGTCTTTGGTACCATAACAGCGCGGTGAATTAGGATCATTGGAGAGGAGAACGAACGCCATTGCTAGGTAGTTAACTACCTAATAGTCGGAAATGTAGACGCGGGCTGCGTATACATGGTGTTAGATCGGGACTCGGAGTATACAGGAAGACAAGAAAGCAGGCTCTGTCGCTCGCTGTATTGCAAAAAGAGTGGAAAATGTGGGAATCTCAAAGCTTGAGCCATCCAACCATTACATCGCTGTAACAACCTCACTACCGCTCAGAGTAGCCGAAATGAACGTCTCTTCTTCTTCAAAGCAAATCTCCCCTTTCTACTTCTTTGTTAAAGCTTTCAAAGAATCGCTGTCATGCTCAGGACGCCCCGCATCGAATGCATTCAAAGTGGCACGACAGACGATACCTAGGGTAAAATGGCCGTTTGAATCCATCAAAGACCCTCCACTAGCAACATGAACGGAGTTCCGCCTCGTCACAACCTCTCGCTGTGATTGACGACGAAGAAGACTCCGTGTTAGATGAGGAGGATAACAATGGTGACGCCTCAGCCGCAGGGAGTTGACTCGCTTCCCACATCGACACCATCAAAGTTGGAAAGCGATAACTGCTCCAGATCTAGGTTCAGAGTCAAATCATCCAGCTCTACTACCTCTGGTGATAACTCCTCAATCCATGTCCCTGACTGTGGTAAAATTCCTGGAACACGGAGATCAGTCCAAGGCTGCTCTCGGGTATCTTCCTTCAGCCAACACTCGATGGGGGTCGTTGTCGGCTTGCAACTCCTGTTTCCAACAAGATAGTCTTGCAGCTGCTGCTGTTGCTCTTGTAGTGGCTTGGGTTGGGTTTGCGGATGCTGGTGCTTTTCTCGGCTGGCATCAGAGTAGGCGATGCTTGGGGCGGTTTCGCTTCGATGATTGACGCTCCGTTGACCTGGGAGCTTTTTGCTATCCATGGAGTGGGTGGCGTGTATTGGAGACATTATGGCGAGGCCAACGAAGAGACTGCTTGGATATCAGAGATGCGGAGAGCTGAAGGTCTTGGATAGTATTAGTGGACAGCAGTTCATGTATGGCTCTTGGGGACAGATGTTGAGTTTCCTACTTGGATGCTGTCTCTCTTCAAATAAATAGTGATGATTGTTTCATTTGGAAGGTTTAAAAAACGAAAAGCCTCTTAAGGCCAGGCTAAGATCAACACCTGAAGCCATCCCCTCACGAGGATACGGTACCAACCGTCCCATCCCGGGACCGAAGCCATGCCAGCAAAGTAGTCCCAAGACTCCCAATTCCCACCCCTACCTGGTCAAAGTCAGCCTGAGATATTAGTCACTGCATCGATGACGGCTGCCTTCTGTTGTTATAGGCGTCAAGTAGGTAGGTGAACGACCGATAGTTCGATCGATCGCCCCCACGCCCAGGATTTATGGCAAGATTTGGATTGGGCCCGACGAACTCCATATACGGCCACATGAGCGAAACGTGGACGAGAGGAGGCAGAAAGCGGAAAGGCAGCGGCGACTACTAACGTAGAGTTGCATCATGTGAAACGAAGGTGAAGTTCCGTCTGGTCTCCGACAGAACCGGCACCGCTCACATCGGGGCGATACCTTGACACGTGCCGGTTTCCATTCCATCCAGCAGCGGGACGACTTGCTTAGGTTGTTGGTGGAGTAGTAGCCGTAGAGGTACCTCTACCGGAGAGGAGGAAGGTCCAGCCAGCAGTTACCTACCCAATCCTCGAACTTCCAAGACGTTCGCACTTGCCCTGAAAATCACTCGAACGTATGATGTACGTGGGGATCTCTCAACGCCCATACTCCAATTTCGAACTGTTGGCACACACCCGTCTCTTGTCCGAGGACTTGAGGTAACTATCAGACTGAGGGAGTGAGTATCGACTTCCATTATCAGACTTTTGGTTTGGTTCCATCAAGTCACCTGAAAAGTGGCTGACGCGGCTTCGTTTCAGTCTCAGGTTGGTGATCACTCGTTCACCCACCCGCATCTATGGAATTCTCCATGCGGTGAGAGACTGCGTGTCTAGTAGGGTTGAGGAGATGGAAGGCCCGAATGAAATGAGAGAGGACATTTAGTTGTGATAATTGACACGTCCCCAACTCAATGGAAATTTAGTACTACGAACGCAGACAATTTACGGCTTTCATAATCAAGCTAGACTAAATGAAGTAGTTCAGTTTTCTTCATGAATCTTCAATTGTGGTATTATCCAATATAGTATCCTGAACTAACTTCTCTTGGCTTTCATAGCTTTCTCCAGACTGCTTCTCATCTCATCGCAACACATCATACGGGAAACTTTCTCCTTTCCTCTGCCACTTCTCCCCACTTTGCTCTATGACCTGACTGTTTTAAGATCTCGTCGTCTCCATCATCCACGCTCACCACCCCTCAGCACCTCCACTCCCCAACCCTGTCAACACTCAACACCCCCGGCACCGGAAACCCATATGCCCGATCATTCACTATCACCACCATACTAGTAATACTGCTCCAATCCTAAATCTTAATATCCATGTTGTCAAAAAAACCATCCTTGGAAAGATTAAGAGGAGGTATCGTAAATCGATTTTGTTGTTGCTGCTGCTGCTGCTGTTGTTGTTGTTGATCTTGTAGATCTAGTTGGTGTTGCCTATTAGACGTAGCCGTCATAGTCGCGGTGGCGGCAAGTGTGTTCTTGAAAAAGTCAACTGTCGTTGTTGTCGACGCTGCGTCGGGGGTTTCGTATATAGTTCCCACAGGTAGGGAGAATTTAAGGCTGTGGGAATGGAGGTGGGAGTATTTGTTTGTTGGTGGGTTGGGGAATTGGGGTAAGGTGGTGATGGTGGTAGTGGTGGTGGTGGTAAACGGGAGAGAGAATGATCGTTGTTTTTGGAATGTGGGTTCCTGTTGTGGTTGTACTTGGTGGTGTTGCTGCTGTTGTTGGTGGTGTCGGGGTTGAGGGAATACGGTGTTGCCGCTAGTGGCACTGTTGCGTCTATCGAATTGCTGCTGCTGCTGCTGCTGCAGTATCGACTTGTGCCTGAGTGATTCCGTTGATACCGTTGATCGCTTGGGAACAGGTACCCGAATCGCCGTAATAGCCACTCCCTGGCGTGACCGAATGATAGCCTGGTCATGACTTAACCTCGCAAGCCGTTTCGCCTCCTCTCGTCCACCCTTGAAGAATTCCAGCAAATCCTGCAACTTCCCCGGAGCCTGCCCCTCCAAGAACCCCTGAGCGTGTCCCGTCGTTTGCGCATCCCACCCCAAGATGGGCTGTTCATCGCGTGCCATGTGTCCATACAACTGCGCAAACAACTCCTTCCATGCTTGGTGGACCACCGGCTGATGAAGCAGGCCGTAGATTACCAGACTATGATTCCAGTGCGCTTTGTTGTGATTATCTTCGTAGTGCTTCGCTACATGGTCGACAAATCGATGACTGGCGCCCATGAACGCCCCACAGAATCCACAGGCCCACGCCGTCCTCCGTTGCGTATACCGGACCACTTGCTCAGCGTGAGGGCAGGTCCTGCACCCGTGGGCGTTCTTGTGATGTTGGTTGAAGGTGTTGGCGCCCCAGAAGATGCTGTTACAGTCCGGGCAGGGGTAACGCTTATGTCGGTCGTGGAATTCGTCCTCGTGCCTCATCCAGTCGACCTTGCGCTGGAAACTGACATTGCAGGGTATGCACCAGTAAGGGCCTTGGGGTTTAGCGGCACCTTGGTTGTTGATCTTGAATCCTCCAAGGACTGATAGTGCGGTTTTGACTGAAGGCGAAGTGTTTATGTCGTAAGTGTTCTGGGATGAAACTGAACTCGTTGAGGTTGCCTCTGATGAGATGCTTGCCCTTCCTGATGACCCCGAACTGGTTGTCGATACGGAGTTGTGACGGCTCATGTCGTTTATCGTCGAAGCGCGCTGCTCCTGCGGTGAGAAAAGAGAAGAATGTGTTGTGTATCACCAGTGTCGAAGGAACTCCTGATTCATGGTTAGTCGATGGCTGTTTGGCTGGAGTTAGGGGCAGGCCGAGTTAACACACCCCCTTATTATAACCCTCCAAGAAAGCGGATAAAAGCTCGTTGCGCGATATTCCGGATTTAGTCAGGGTGTCAACATGTAGTCGAGCCGCAGCTAGACTGTTGGTTGATGCACGGGGATAAAAACCCGTTGCTTTTGAATGGTTGAACTGCTGGGCGTGCCAGAAAACGCCGTTTCAATAAAAACTCGCGGAATGGGTCACTGTGAGAAATGGCGTTTTGCTGTGTTTTATGGGGGTGAAAACAGGACTGCCGATCATGAACATGAAAATTGGTACCTTCACCATACATATGTACATAGGTAGGAGACAAGATCAGAGGAAGAAGGTTCGACAGACAAGCGCAGGCGCTTCATCCGAGCGGCGCGGGAAGCGAAGGGGATGGGAGGGGATAAAACAAAAGGTTATACCCCCTTGTTGGTAGCACGAGTAGTAATAAGAGGGACGCGAAAGCAATGGAACGCTGCGGCGAAGATAGTGTACCAGGCAGGGATGGTAGCGAAAACGAAGAGACTTGGGAGCAAAAGAGGCTGCAATCTCCACGAGACAGTCCAGCGAATTAAAGGCTTGACCTGGACGGAAAGAAGTGAGACGGCGGCGCGCCCCATTCACGTATTTCGGGTTCTTCTCCATGGTCCATCTCATAAACCTCACGTCCACTGGATGATATGACTCGCTCGACTCAGGTGAGAGCCCGGCCAAAGATAGATGGAGCATGCATGCTTGTATGAAAATGAGACCTTGAATGTGCGTCGTCGTCGGCGGTCAGCAATTAAGAAGACAACGGACGGGAACTCAATGCTGCACTCGTTCAAGGTTGTGAAAACGGGAAAACGGGTCGAACAGCTGACGATTATCGTCAGTCTCACCACGTCGAGTTAGAGTCTTGCTGCGGATTCGAGGTGATGAACAGAGGACCTGCCGTCTTCATAAAGTATACAGATCATTCTGATGCCCGTGCATGTATCATGTTAACAAGGCGTCGAGAGGCGTCGCATCTTGACTGGTCAGTCAGAAGCCGAAGAAAGGCAAAATCGATCCAGACGGACGGGAATGAAAGGGTTGAAGATTGGATTGCAGAGCATGGAGGACAAGTTCGGCAAGGGTTCCAACCCTGGGGACGGAGAAGCGCCTCTTTGCGCTGTGATTGGTCAGCGAGGTAGCATCCGAAACAAGGCGTCAGCTGTTTCGAAACACCCAAAGGCACCCAAGAAAAGCCGATGAACCCCTTCCTCGCCTCGCTCGCCTGCAGCATGGGTTACTGTGGGTGTGCTCCGGTGGGCGACCAATGAACAAGACGGAACAACGCCCCTGAGAGGTTCCGAGATCCTGTTGGCTGATTGTTTGTTTCCTTTTCTCTGATGCGACCTTGGCTGTCGCCGTCTCATCGGTCCCTGCCTGGGGTTGAGAATATGCAACATCGCCGCCGACCGAAGTGGATAGAATACATATTCAAAAAAAAACAAAAAAAAAAAACGATATGTTTGATTTGGACAGCATGTTGATGAATCTCAGATTGGAAGTTGTCAAACCTCCAGAAGACGCGGTAAACGCGCTACCTTGCACATTTATATAGTACATGCAACCCTGATCACCGCATCGCACATGCACAGCGGTTAAAACATCTTCGTGTCCGAGTACCCTTTCCAGCCATGATGATCTACTACATTGTTATTTTTATTTTAATTTATTTTTCCTCCTTTCAAAAATGAAAAGAGATTGTTCGTATGCCTCAGACGACATAGGGGTATCGAATGGTAACCCAGTAACACAAAACACACTCCCAAACTTTGTAGCACGCCCCAAGCGCCATAATGTCGTGCCCTAACCTCAAACTCCCGTCTCTTTACATGGCGCAAATTTGTACAGTTGATGAATTCCACTCGCGTTTGTTGCTGTTCTTGCCCCCCTTATGCAATTGCACAACATAACTTCCACTCATCGGTAGCCTCTAGACGTACTCTTCAATGCAAGTGCCATGCTCCAACCACCCTAGAAATCGCTGCTTCCTTCGCAGTCTTGATACATCGCATCTTTCCGACTTCGCCGCTCAAATGCTGAGCCTCACTTTTTCTCGCCCTTGTTCCCTTCCCTATTGAGCTCCTCGGTGCATCCCAAAAAGTGGCCTATAAAAGATCCGTGACAGGCTGCAGTATAAACGAAACACCTGAAACAGAATCTTGCCTCGGAATGCTTTGATGTGCGCCCTTGGGTGGTTGGCCAAGTGCTCTGCTCGACTGGCCGGATTTTGAAGGCATTCTTTCCTCAGCCGCTGACTACCCTTTAGCAATATTGCCCACATCACTGCCGGCAATCGACTCGGCCAACAGTCTTATGGGCTTATCCACAGCCTGTGGGCGATCTGTATCACGCTAGATAAGCTCAAAACCACTTTTCAACAGTTCAGGGCCCGTTGCCAGCATCGGACGTCCTTGCATCGGAAACGGCCAGAACAGGGGATTTTCCGTAGCGCTGGCCGTATGCTTATCACTTCCAGGCTGAATTTCCGTTCTGGTCGCTGAACCGTGTCCTGATTCTACCCCCTCTCCCCATTTGCAGTTGAAGTCTTCCTCGGTAACTTCGGGAACGAAGAAATTGAGGCTGTTTGTAACCGGTCGAGTGGTTTGATAGCGGTCGACCCTGATACGTTGCTGGCCGTCCTCTCCACCTATCGTCTTGATGTCCACATCAATATTCCACTTCTTGGCCAGGTACTTCAGTATGTTGAGCGCTTGTTCGGCGAAGTGGTGACATGGTGCCATCTCCGTAAGATCGGCAATTCCTCGACTTATGGCTTCGCCAACGCGAGGATCAAACCTCGGATGGCCATGGTCATTGGGTTCCGCTTGACCTATGCCTCCGGCGGGGTCGGACGGTACTGAGGTCGTGGCCCCAATCGCCAGGTGCATGATGGAGGACGTGAGCACAAAGTAAGGGACAAATGATGGCGTCCGTCTTAACGTGTACAATTGCGAGTACGAGCGCACAAGCCCCAATATGGCATCGGCTGCCTGTATACACACATCACGCGGAGAAATGCTCGATCCAACAATGCGAAGTTTGATCAACGGCCGGAACAGGAGAAGAATGGCAAAGTGATAATACATGCTATGTCCAGTATTAGAAACGCCTCTCAAATCTTGCAACGGACCAGAGATCTATAAACTTACTGCGCGAACAACACAGCGGGAGTGAAGTTATGGCCAAGTCGCAACACCTCTGGTATCCTATCATACCAGTTCAAATACTGTGTATATATCTTGAGCAGATCTCTGCTCGTAAGCGGCCGGCCAGGGGAGTGAAGGACGAATAATGATTGGTGAACTAGCTCGCTTAATTCACAGAAGCATTTGTACACCGATCGAACATTAGACGGTTGTTCGCACGATTGGTGCAGAGGAGCGCCTGTACCGCTCATCAGCTTACCTCCAAGCACGACCTCCAAAAATGATAAATTCTTACCATCATCTGTATATGGAATCCAGAGCGAGGCCTCAATGTCATCGATGATAGCGGGCTTCGGAGGCAGCTGTGGGAAGCACGAGCACTGGGGGAGCGAGCCGGTGGCCAACGACCAAGCACTATCACATTTCACCATTAGACAAACGCCGCGTGGCAATTCGGCGGGATGTACTGGACTCACTGGTCGAGCGCAAATGCACCCCAGAATGTGGCTGCTTGAACCGCACTCTCGTCACAATCCTTGCCGTCATCTTGAACCCGATGCAGTCCCATCTCTATCGCCAGTCGGATACTCTGTCCGGCGTAGTACCAACTCTCAGAATCACGACCACAACTTGCCTCTCTGATGGACATTATACCCAAGGCTTGAATGGTAGTTAGCGTGTGATGGTTTTCTTCTTGATAAAATAGTCGCTGGCATTCCTTGAAGAAGTGATCACCCGACGAATACGGGTCGTTCGGGTTCGCGCGAGTACTAGGCTGGCTGGAAAACCGGCAACCCAACGCCAGAAGCGCATTCACTAATAGGGACGAGCAAAAGCGAGGCCGCCCGTCCATAAAGTCCTTGAGGAAGTGTTCTTTGCTGAGCGACGCAAATGTGGGGTACTCCCAGCAAAAGTACAGCGCCAGCAGATGTTGAACAAGACCGTCATCCGAAGTGATGGTCGTCCATGTAGTAGGCGGTGCCCGCGAATGCAGTGCCTCGGTAGCAAGTACTTGGTCAAAACCGCGGAATCTCTGGTTTTCTGAGTTGACGCCAGCCCGAGCTTCCGCCCACGATTCCGCTCTCGACTGCGATTGCTGCCCATTTTCCGAAGTCCAGCTCATGGCCTTTGACTGCGAGTTGCCACGCACCGTCTGAGAATGAGAGGAGAGCTGGCCGTTCCAGAGACTATGAGGCTCGGGATCATGTCTGATAGCCCGCGGGAATTGACCTGGATGGCCTTGAACCAGTTGGTACTGGCTTGGTTGAAACTCAGCCAGCTGATGCGGACCCGTAGTAGGGTGCTGGCCTGGCAGCCCTTGACCTGGAAATCGGCTGATGGGAGCCAAACCTGGAATAGCGCCGCCATAAGACCCAGCTGGGTCGCCCGAGAAATTAAAGGCACCGGGAGCTGACCCGACTAATCGATCGATGGAAGGAAGTGTGCCACCGCCCGAGGGAAGCGTCCCCTCCAGCCACGAGGATATCATATCAATGCTCTGGCCGTTGCGCAAACGCTGTAAAACCCCGTCCCATTTATCCGTACGCCTGAGGGCGTTTATCACATGCTCGTTGTTCCGTTGCTCGCGCCTCAGCTGTTCGATCTCGTTTCTCAGTGTGTCCTTGGACTGGCGGACAGGGACTTCGTAAACACATTCGGTGTTCTGATATTTACATCGAGCACAAGGCTTCTCGCCGTCGCACTGTAAAACAATCGGGGGGATTAGCCAATGGCCATTTAGGGACATCCCAGGTAGTGGAAGGGAAAGGGAGACCAGGACTCAAAAGAGTTCCCAGCCAAACTAACACACCTTTGCGCGCTTCTTGCGGCACTCGGTGCAAGCCGTTGGAGTGACAAGTCCCAGTCCTCTCTTGCGTTTCGAGACGGTTTGGCTGGCGGGCGGACCCGAGGGCGGACCGGTGGGCGGGCCGGAGGATGAGGTGGAGGGCGTGGGCTGAGAAGCGGAAGCAGAGGCAGGACGGTTTCCTCCGGCCGTCGTGGAGGGAGCGGGCGATGTCGCAGGAAGGACCGAACGGCTCCCACTTGCGCTTGGATTGCCTCCTCCTTCCATTGGATCCATGTCTCAAGGCGGCCGTCACGGCCTGTGTTCAAATACCGCGCACCGTACGGTATACTCTGGAAACGATCCCGTCAACGCGCACTAACATGCTGTGCTGGGGGAGCAAGGATGACGACCGGGCGATGAAGACGAGGCGGCGGCACAAGGAATTGCTTTCGGTCGGACGGTAGGTATGTCGTCCAAAGGAAAGGTACAAGGAAGTGAAGCTGAGATATGCGTGAATATTGAGAGCTGCCAGCGTGTGTAAGGCTTAACGAACGGACCAGGGACGTAAAAGACGTTGACTCCTAAAAGGCCTGGCTCGCGACAGGGATGATGATGATATTACGTTGATTCGTTAACGGCATGGCAATGCAGGTTGCAGAGTTTCTCGTCGAGGTAGCTCCATGCCTTTCGATGGGTGGGGACTAAAGACGGGAATCTGTCTGCATCGGCGATCGAGGAATTGGACGAGCAAGTAGCACATAGGATAAGAACCGGAGCTCGAGTTGCGATGGTTAAGAGCTTGCGAGAGAGAGAGAGAGAGAAACGGACGCGAACGCGCTCGGATGTATTTTTCCAGAAAGGGTAAGAGTTATAGTACCTCGAGCTTCGGTTGGGATCAGAGGAAAAGACGGTTGTAGTGGTGACAAAACTGAGGAGCTAACTTCTCCATACCTTTTCTACCGCGAATCACGAATCGGCAATGGCAATTCCCATGTGCGCCTGCGCACCTCATCTCGCGATGTCGCGATGCTGTTCCCAGATCGTCCTGGTACTGGTACTAAAAAGCCAGGCTCTGTGGGAAGATGGTGGGCGCTTAGCTGAGGGGTGCAACTGATGCGATCGGGGACGGCGTGGCGGCTGAGTGTCTTGCAAGTCCCCTCCCAGGATGGGGAAAAAAGAAGTTGGAGAGTCAAGAGAGCGGAATGGGGAGACGACATGGATCCAATCAAATTTGATGACGGGATGACGGCCTTATCCACTAACGGTCCACAATGTGGGACACCAACCAAACCTCAACCCACGACGGCAAGGTGAAAGCAGATGAAGTCAGGCTCGAGCCAAGTTGCCAGGTTTGAGATCATGTTTTGGGATCTCGGCTCCTGCAAATGTCCGAATTGCCCCGAGCTTCACCCTACGAGCTCACCACACAGAACTCCAGGATTGCCGTATAGATATCCTATGTCCTTACCCGCGATCCCGTCTGTAGTGTAGATGTTACCCGCGTAAGCTCATCTTGGAGCATGGTCCATATACATTTTTTTTTCTTTTTTCCTTTTTAGGCTCGCTCATCTCCTGCTGAGACGGAGGGTTGGAGTCATTCTGATAGCAGTTCACGACAATATGTGTACATATCATGCAGATCATCTGGGAGTTGCGGTTGCCATAGGTGATTGACTGGCCTCCAGGGAACATATGGAGCGAATCTGGCAACCATCGGGTATCTTGCCGTCAGAGGCACCAGCTATTGTACGTATATAGCTGTGTTCCCCTAATATCTCACCGAGCAAGTGGAAATATCCATCTTGAAGCCCGCGTTTGCATGTGTCCTTCGGCTTCCGAAATCTGTGGTGGATGGACCCTGGAATATCTCCACTGACGTCGCGCCGCAGTCGGAGTAGGGGAAGGACAAGAAATCCAGTCTCAGGTATTGGAGTGTGTCAGGTAAGAGTCTGTTTAAAAGACCAGAACTTATCGGAACACTTTCATCACCAATTATCGTGAAAGTAGACATTCTCTGCACATCTTGTTCTATCATACAACCGAGCCTGGAGAGTCGTTTATTTGTAAACTATACACGGTTGGCTGAGTTTTGCCTTTTACATTTGACAGTGTTTGATTATGTTTGAGCAATAGCTCGATTTGCTGTTATTCTCAACGGTTATTTCTGAGTCAACATTCGTACGGTGAACATACACTTCTAGCACCTAATAATCAAGAGAAAAAAAAAAAAAAAAAAAAAAAAAGAACCAAAAGGACACACACGTGCCAGGAACATGCCAGTCGAATGCATGACATACCAGCTTGGTCATTGCCGATCGGAGATCTGCACGTTTCGCGAGTTAAAGTGTGGGGTTAGTGCAACCTTAATCCCTCATCGGTTGTGGCACGTATGGAGACATATGTTATATATCAAGTTCAAGTTCAAGCCGCCCCTACACATTCCGGTATACCGAAGCACCTAAAGCAATCGATGCTCAACCCTTCAAGAGATACATACCCAATATGGACTGGTGTTACACAGCGGGGCATCCAACATGTCAATATTGTCCTGCTAGCCTAAAATTAACCTAATGGTGACATGTATTCCTAAGAGTCCAGCATCCAACAACCCTCTAACCGTGAACACGACCCCTAGCCCCTTCTTCTCTCCCCTTTGCTTGGACTTCTTCGGGGGGTTCGCGGAGGCAGCATCATTCTCACATCGGGGGAATTATCAGTGTCGGTCGCCTCGTCGAAAAATTGCTGACGAGCTCGTCTCGGGGTTTCGATGGGCGCAAAGATGTACGCCTGCTGTGGATTGTGAAACGCTGGGGTGCTAAAGATTGGATGAAGGGGAGTCGGCGGCGGCGCTGCTACTGGTGCCGGTTCTGCACGCTTCCGGGGAGACGATGGTTTGAAAGCTCCGGAGTCACGTAGGGAGCCGAATCCTACATTGGTACCAATGATAGCGACCAGGAATGCTGATAGGATAAAACCCTTCGTACAAGTTAGCGATGGGCCCATTCATGGTAATGTGCGCGAATCTCCAACTTACCCAGGTTTTGTAGGATATGATAGTGAAGAATTCGTTCAATATCTCGGCCATATTCCTTGCTGAGATCTGGGTCATCATCACAGTCGACGGGTCCTGATTCATACACGCTTCCCATTCGTTACAGGGCAACTCCAAAGCCGGTGCTCGATTCAACTTGGGAGCGCACAAGTTTTTATGGTAATTGCTTGTACATTGCGATATTTCGTGCATCAGATTTGACCGAGCCCTGTCAGCAGCCCGCGAAAGATCGTTGCGTACAGCCATCACACAACTGAAGACTGCGAACAGGATAACGCCGATCAAGAACGTGTTGATGACGAACTGTAGCCATCTCGAGAGCACCGCCGGAGCAGCAGGGTATTTGCTGACGGTGTCGAGGAAGCTGGTAAGCCAGCCAGAACTGGCATTCTTGTCTGTCGATGACCGCCTCCTTCCAGGCCGTACGCCCTCCTCCCAGTCATTATCAGATTCGTCGGATGCATGGTCGAGGCGAGATCGTACGCTTCCAACGTCTCGGTCGCCGCGCTGGCGTTTCCGCTTCCTTACTTGTCGAGGACGCCCATTTTGAAAATATTGCCTGCTGAACATGGCCTTGCCTGCTTGTAGTGGTGTATAAGCCGTAGCTGGGATTCTGAAACTGTCATCGAACATGGTCTCTGGCGTGTCGGGTGGCATTTCAGAGATGTCCGTCATGGCGGGACTCGCCTCTGAGGGCGACTCTAGCGTCTGCTCATCGGGTCGCTTCTGAGGTGTCGTAAAGGCGGGGTTTCGGAACTGGGGCGCCGTTGGCTTATTGTGTAGTTGGGGATTGAAGGATGTATTAGGAGGTTTCAGGGTATCGCGGTGCTCGTTGACAACGTTGCTTTGGGGAGCAGCTGAGGTGGCTCCGAACGTGGGGTTGCTAGTCTTTGATGGCTGTGAACTGAACGAAGCTGTTGGCGCGATGACGTCCTGTCAGCAAGAAGCTACTAGAGAATAGCATTGGAGACGAAACCGAAATTGTGCCACCGCAGAGTCAATTTCAAGAAGAGGCGTTGGCATTTGTATGTTGCGCCGCATGCTGTAGAGGAGTGCGACCTACATAGTGGTGGTTGCTTTGACAGTAAAGAAGCAAAGGGACTTGTGTGATCCACGGGCGGTTTGTTATCAAATTCCCATTCCATTGGCGATTCGTTTCCTCGGCGATCCATGATGACGGGGCGGTCGACGTGCGCGTCGATGTTGGTGTGTTAGGAAGTTCACATTTGTCTTGGGGAGTTGATGGGTGGATGGACAGTCTTATGGTTGAGAGCAGAGTAGAGGAGGGCGGGACGACGTCAAATGGTCCTCCCTTATTTTTTTTTCTTTGGATACAAAGCTTCCAAAGGTCAGGGATACCGCGGAAGTTACCCAGGACAAAAAGTTCGGTCGTCGGTGGCAACGGCGCGCCAAAGTAAACACATGGAATTCGGTCCCAAATAATTTGGCCCTGGTCGTGACTGTCTGTCTTCTAGGTACCTACTCTAGGTAAGCGAGCTCCCTGGCTTCTGCTGCGTGCCTGGAGTGTCTTCAAGTAGTAGGGACACCCCACAGCGTGTAAAGCCACCCCGTGCAAACTATCACTGCACTGACGCAGCAACACCCGGCGCGGTAGATTTGCTCGTGGCTAGACAGCGCACAGACCAAGCGGCCAGCCCGTCACCTCGTTTGGGGATGGATTGGAGAATTGAACCGACTTGAACTATTGTCTTTTACGCAAAACAACCAAACCGCCACTCAAAACACCGAAGAAATTCCAACCATTGCGTCGTCTTCTTTTCCGCCGATAGATTCTGCGTCTGGAAGAAAGTCCACTCTTGAAATATCCCAACGAACTATCCCGCGTGCATCAGCATATCAACACCCATTCAGCAACAGCCATGTCGGACGCCGCTTCTCCGGCGGGTTCCCCTGCTGCCGAACCTACTGAGCATCGCGATGAGGACCAGGTCAACGAGACACACCAGGACGACGGAAGCAATCACGGAGGAAATGACGAGGATAACGATGGAGGCAACGATAAGGATTCCGATGTTTTGTCCGAAATTGACGAAAATGAGTTTGGCGATGATTACGGCTCCCGACCCGTTGACATTGACGAAAATGTGGCCATGAAGCTGAAGGCGCGGAGGAAGACGACTACAGAGACGACAAAGAAGCCAAAAGAAGGACGGAGGCCCAAGAAGCGGTCGCGTGGTGACGATGACGTTGACGCTGCGGATGACGACGGTGAGCGCCGACCACGCAAGGTCCGCGCTGAGGGCGAGCGGCGTGCTAGGAAGGAGGTAGAAGAGCAGGAAGCACAGCAGGAAGAGAACCTCACCCCAGACGAGCGCAGACGGCGCGCTTTGGAACGCGCCATTGACGCTGCTGTCAAGAACCCCACCAAGCGCAGGCGAAAGAAGGACGATATCGTAAGGAGTCTCCCAATGCCACGTGCAGGCTTTGTCATACACGCATATTGACCGACATTTAAACAGGACCTCGAAGAGGAGACGGATGAACAGATTGCAAACCTCAAGGTTGCCATGGAGAAGGCCTGCGTAGCCGACAACGAAGCCCGCGAACAAAAACAGCCGGCCGTGCACAAGCTCAAGCTCCTACCTCAAGTTACCGCGATTCTAAACCGGACCGCAATCCAGGACTCCGTACTCGATCCCGAAATCAACTTCCTCCAGTCTGTCAGATATTTCCTGGAACCTCTGAACGATGGAAGTCTACCTGCGTACAACATTCAGCGTGCCATCATGAGCGCGCTCATGAAGCTTCCCATCAACAAAGATGTGCTTTTAAGCAGCGGCATTGGCAAGGTCGTCGTTTACTACAACAAGAGCAAGAGCCCCAGCGCGGACATCAAACGTGATGCGGAGCGGTTGCTGGGCGAATGGAGTCGCTTGATCCTGAAGAGGACTGACGACTACAAGAAACGTCACATTGAGATGCGTGAAATTGATGTCGGGTATGTTTCTTTTATCCATCTTCCTCTTAACAACCAACCATGCTAACCCCTGCTTCCTTCACTAGTGCTGTGAAGCTAGGCCAACGCGAAGGCGGCAGCTCCCAAGTGACACTGACCCAGCGTCCCGCCGGCAAGTCCCGCTACGAAATCGAGCGCGAGCGCGCCCTCGCTCCCGAAGTACGCAACAACAACCGCGCCAGGCCCGTCGGTCTTCCCGCAAGCTACACTATTGCTCCCAAGAGCACGTATATCCCAGGCCAGGCGCCGACCGATCATCGCCCCATTGGTCACAGCGGTCACGAGGCTTTCCGGAGGATGACCCAGAAGGGCAAAGGCAAGCGTTAAGAAAGTCGTTTTATATCCTGGTTCCGGGTTATAGCTCGATTCTCGTAACGATACGATACATTCATATCAAACGGTTGATCAGTGCATATAGATATGGCTGAGCTCAATCGAAGTGGGGGAACAAACGGATGGAAAATGATATAACAAACAGTAGAGTTGAAAACATCAAGGGGGTAGGTGCAGGACTGCCTCCTAGCTGGATTCCTTCCCGAGAAAGAAAGCAAAAAAAAAAAAAAAAACACGATCACTGCTATTGCTGCGGCTGCAGCAGTTGCTAAGGGACGACGATATGGTTTGGTGAAGGATTTCTCTACATTTTCACAAACGAACGACAGGGTCCGCTCGGTTCTCACACATCCATAGAATGCAATAGGGGCATCTGGGCAAGCTCCGGGGCGCAAATTAATCGTTGCACATCATACACTTGAACACGTTTTTTTTTTTCCTTGCGGAAAAGATGGACTGATCTAGATAATTGTTCCCACCTGGTTCTTTTGATGGATTCAGTACTATCAAGCAGGTCATAAAGGGGTCAATGGATGGAATTACTAGCACAGACGTACCTGCTACCGACGAAATGCCAAGAGTAGTAGATAACTTACAGACTCACGTCTTTCGTATTTCAAATCATGGTCCACATCTCTATTGATCATTCCTATAGATATCCAGATGACGAGAAAGCACCAAAGTGAACGCTGGACAACGTGACCATCACTAACTTTTCTGCCTCTGTAGCATGTTGACTCGACCCAACCTAAAAGGATTTTTTTTTTTTTTAAAAAAAAAAAAAAAGAAAAAAAAAAGGAATATATCCAACGTAAAAGAAAAACCATAGACGAATAAGAACCGATCCAAGAATTATGAACAGCTTAGCTTTATCATGTATCGCGGTATCCTATCTCGAGCCTATCGATCCATCGCAGACGTGGGGAACATGTGAGAATGAAATGTCTAAAATGTACTTGCTAGTCTGAAATAAGGAAAAACATCGAAGGTATCTGATCTTTCGCTATAGACATGCAAAACACACTCCTCCTTATAAACACACGAGAAAGAACATGAAAAACAGCTCTCTGCTGAAGCTATGATAGACAAAGCTAGATCGACTCGCTGAGAAGGCCAACTTGCGAGCTAGGAAGAAGGCTAAGTAAGGTAAGGTGTGGATATTTTCTTGTTCCACGGGGATGGGAAGGTATATCAAGGATCGAGATGATGTACTTCCACGGTATAGATGCAAGCATCTTATCCTGATGTAGAAATTCTTATTCTGGTGCCGGCAGAGGCTATGTATCCGCCGACAAGAAGGGGACTTTCCGGATGTGAAACAAAGAAGAGGAATGTCTCTGATTCCGGTCTAGTACCCACTTGTCTTGCGATTCATAGCTTGCCTGCCAGCGCAGCGGTAGAATGAGCGTTCCAACATCTTTCTGCATTATACCAACAGAAGCAGAAAAAAAAAAAAAAAAGATAAAGCTCTCTCTCCAAGGTGTGTGTTTCCGCTCAGGAGTACTAGGAGTGTCCATACCAGCCAGCCAGCTCTCCCTTCGTTCTTATTGTTTGTCACATGCACTACCCTCTCCCCACACTAGCCCCTCTGTCCAAAAGTGTCCAGTGTCCTCGGTGGAATTTTGAGCCTCCGGGGTCGTGTCTGACATTCGGACGTAACGACAAAAGAAACAAAAACATTTATCGCTTCCTAACCTCACTTGCCCAGCCCTCTATACCCTCACCACGACTTCCGACCTCTACCTTGTCGATCTTGATGCCCTTCATACCAGGAGTGTCCTCGAGCCAGCTGTGTCCCGCCATACCGCCTGCATTGGCTCGTCTCTCGGGTATCAGCTCCAACATGGGCATAAGGAAGTCTGCAATGCGCTGAGCTTCCTCTGCCTTGAAGTGATATTTCTCACGCAGTACATCCGGCAGCGCCCAATGCCTCAAGCGGTGGATGTTACGTAGCTCGCCTTTTCGGTTGAAGATCTCTTGCGACCATTTGCCGGATAGACAAAGGGACTTCGGGAAGGCACCCAGAAGCTCGATAATCTGCGCGATGTGGTCGTCGTCCTTGCCATACTTAGTTCCGGACTGCGGATCGAAAAGATAGTCGCCGGTGATAAGCTCGAACACCTGTGGTCTTGTGTTAGCATCTGCGCTACATCATTATTCAGGTCAAATTTACGTACCATGGCAGCCATACTCCAGACATCCGTGCTTGCACCCCACTTGGCACCCAGAATGACCTCGGGCGACCGATACTGTCGCGTCTGAATGTCGTTTGTGAAGTGGTGGTTGACCCAGCATGCGTTTCCGAGATCTGCAATCTTGACACTGATAATGTCAAACTGCATATCGTCTAGGTTGCGCTTGTCTCCCGAAGTCGCAGGGGGTGTGGCCGTCTTATCTAGCGAAATTCCCGAAACCTCCTTGCTCAGGAGATCGGCGCTCTTCTCACGCCGACTTTGGTCGTCCTCCCCGTTCTTGTTGTGGAACGGAGATCCTTCTTGCGATTTGGCACCTGTTCAATGTCAGTCAGAGATTCGTGGATAGCACTTTCTGCAAATCATTTCTACTGACCTTCCGCCAACATCTGGCCAAGCGACTGGGGTGCTGGGGAGGGGAACATCGATCCCTGATTGAAGCTGGCATTGAGAGGCGAAGGCAACGGCTGGCTGCCAGTAATTAGGGTCCTCCGTCTCCTGCGACTATTCCGAGTGTTCTCTTTGTCGTTGGGCTCATCCTTCACAACCCTCTTCACAGTTTGTTCAACGTCGCCAATTTCAATCAGGACGTTTTCGGGCTTGAGATCCGTGTGGATGATGCCACATTCACGGTGCAGGTAGTCGAGCCCGAGAAGGACCTGTTTTGTAATTTGTTTGACGAGAGCCATCGGAATACCCCTGTGATTCCACCTCTTGATGAGACCTAGGAGGTTCTCTCCCAAAACCTCGAAAACCATGCACACGTGGGTGCCATTGGGGCCCTTGTGTTCGAATGAGTCGAGAAGGCTGACAACATGTCGGCGACCGGGGTGGTTGGGATTCGCTTGGACGATTTTGTTGAGAAGCTTGATCTCGTCGATGGCGGTTTCGGTGTAATGGGCGGCGGAGCGTACCACCTTGAGGGCTACGTGTTTTCCGGTGGTGTTGTCTCTTGATAGCCAGACTGTCGA